TGACGTTGCAGACACGTAAAAGATATGTCGGGCAATATAACTATCAACAATGTTAAAAGTACGGTTGTTATGCCTCAAACTACGGAGTGCTCTGATGAAAAGGTGACTGACTGACCTATCAAGAGCTCCTACTACCCAGCCCCAATACTAGTGACAGACCAGGATCTACAGCAGGTTGATAAAGATACACCGCAACAACCTATATGAAGTCGTAAGACCGAAGCGGAACCTTCACCAGAAAGAACCTTTGTTTTCCCATACCCGGTCAGGGATTCTATACAACCATTATCTCAATAGACTAATTTACTGAAAATATAGCTGTTGACGGTCCAAAGATGATTTCCATACGCAGTAGTTCCCCAGACGGAAGAGGGCTTGAGTCCTTCACTCGATCTTGGCCCAGGGGGTCTACGAGTCGGGTTTCATGGTAGCTCGTGAGTCCTATATCGCGAATGAAAAAAATGCAATGTTATGACTAGGATGGCAATAATTCGACTCTGCGTATACGCTAAAAACATATTTCGTTACCATTGGCAATTACTCACGTTCCTAGGATCATATTCAATCCCAAAATCCATAGCATAGTTCCCAGACAAGCTCATTGTCGCTCCTAGAAGTCGGAGACATGGTTCCCAGTGTGCCTACAGCTCCCAGGAGTGGACTGTATAGCTCCGGGGAACGAGATATAGTACACCGGGAGCGTTGGTTACTACACATTAGAGAGTACAGCAATATTCGAAAACAAATTCCCCTTAAGACACACACGACTTGTTTCTCGGCTTGGGTCTGAACCCCCACCAAACCGTATTTGACTAAGTCATAAATAATCCTTCTCCAAAAATAGAGCCCTCTCTTTCCAGGACGACTGGTGAAGCGTAAGATTATACCTTACCCTGCGACCTCTGCGCCGCTCCGCACAAATCAACCTCAAAACGCACAGGCATTCCTCTATGTATACGGCTACATGGTTGGCCATTGAATTCATAGCAGATAGCTTAGCTTTATTTTGATAACTAACCAAGAACTTGCCACATGTTAGCCAACGAGTGGCTGAACGCCAAACGAAAGATTTCAAATAATAAGACAGCGCCAGGCACCCATCAATTGTCTACCTTCACAATTCCACCCTAATGATCTGCACAAGTCAGGTAGCACGCCCGGGGGACCATTCTCCGTACGGAGGTGGGTCACCACATTTTGAATCTCACTAGTCGATGATAACTATGTTGGACATCAGCCTCACTAGAGGTCTGGATTGCCTTGAGAAATCCGTCCAAAAACTCTTGGTAATATCTGAGGGACAGGGGCCGCTCCGGGGGCCTACCCTGTGGGACTTGCCAAGAGTTGGTGACCAGGCTGCATAAATAAATGATAAACATATCAACTTGCCACATTCAGAGACGCTCTAACTTGATTCTGACTCTGCTAATTCGGATGACTGCCAAGAAAGCTCTTTTCCATTGCTTGGCATCGCCTCCGTCAAGTAACGCCAATGCAGTGACATTCCCCGCCCGAATAGGCTTTCCTAGTCCCGAATTGTGGTACAGCACGTGCTTCAATGCCGTATCTTTGATTGGTTGTATTGACTTTAGTGCGATGCCGGAGCTTACCTAAACATCTTAGCTTCTTGACGTTCATCCATTCCATTTATGGATCCCGCGTACCTACATAGGTATTTAACCTAGAAGGCACGGCGAAGGTTTATAGGAGCACTGTTCATATTTGAGAGGATCTCATCCTCCTTATCTATCTTACTATACTATTTGTGCTTGAGCGATCTATCTTCGCAGCTGTTAAGGAGCAGTATGCCACTCCTCGCCCCCTTTTCCCTTTCCAAAGGCCTCTCTTCCCTCGCTCGGCTGAATCACAAACGGGGAAGCCGGGTTCCAAGTGAAAATGAGGGATCGGAAAAGCCCCTGCCGAGTCGTCTGTTGGACGTTTTTCTGCGCACATGGGATCTAGGCTTTACAGCCTTCGGAGGACCACCAGTACACTTCCAGATTCTACATAGCAGGTTCGTGGAGGGAAAGGGCGACAAGGAAAAATGGGTAGATGAACAGACTGTACGATTCTCCCTCATCTTCAAGTTGGCGCGTTCCCATGTCATAGGGCCTCCTAATATATTTCATAGTATCAGGAACTCTTTGCTATCTGTCAGGGTCTTCCGGGTCCCGGTAGCACGAAGATGGTTTTCTGCCTAGCCCTATTACACGCAGGATTTATTCCTGCAATGCTTGTGTTTTTACTTTGGAGGTGATTAATTCATACCCTTATGCTGTAAAGCCCGCCCTCTGTTGACTTCAACTAACGGTTTCAGTCTTCCTGGCGCAATTGGCATGTATGCCCTTTCACTTGGGGTGCAAAACATGAGTGAAACTCTTCCCGAACCTACCTACTCCTTACTTTCTGGCCTCAACGCCTCTACAGTAGGTATCGTTGCACTTGCGGCCGTACAGTTGTCCGAAAAGGCTATTCGCGATAAACTGTCCCGTATCCTCGTGATCTTTGGCGCATGTGCTGGTCTCTGTTACAATGCACTCTGGTATTTTCCCGTACTGATGGTTATCGGTGGTTTCCTTACCAGCATCTGGGATAGATGGTTGTATCAGCAATTTTTGAGAGCAAAACTCGCGTGGAAGAACAGACATCATCGTCCCCAGGAACCGGACGAGGCAAACAGGAACTCTATAGCTATAGACGATATAACTCGGGAAGAGACTAGAGTCCAAAGGAGTGAGACGATACGATCGCGAAGGACGGATCCTAGAGTCGAGGAACTATCACAGAGCACAGTTGATACTACAAGCCCAATGCCGTCCGTTGAAGCTGATGCACAGCAGCATATTATTCGGATTCGGGTTGGAGTTTTGATTATATGTCTCTTTTTCAGTACGTACCACGTACCCTATCCTACTAAAATTCCTAAGTGTCAATACTAATATAGTTAGCCTCCTTTATCGCAATTCTTATTACTAGAGGCCAGATCGTTACTCCCCCATTGGTCCTAGACCTTTTTGCCAATATGTATCTTGCCGGCACTATTATCTTTGGTGGAGGTCCTGTCGTTATTCCCCTCTTACGCTCCTATGTCGTCGATCCCGGGTGGGTCTCTAGTAGAGACTTCCTAATCGGCCTTGCTATTATTCAAGCCTTCCCCGGTCCTAACTTCAACTTTGCTATCTTCTTAGGGGCACTAGCACTACAGCGCTCGCAATTCCCGACCGTCTTCGGTGCGTTCCTCGGCGGTTTAGGAATCTTCCTTCCAGGAATCACGTTGGCCGTTGCAATCCAAAGCTTCTGGCGCGTATCGCGGAAGAAGAAGTATGTGGTCGACTTCCTCAGAGGAGTGAATGCCACTGCAGTTGGGCTAGTATATACAGCTGTATACCGGTTGTGGGAGATTGGATACCTGACTTCTGAAAGAAGCGACGGACAGAGTCTGGGTAAGGAGCCATGGTGGGTGGTTGTTGCGGCAGTGACCTATTCAGGGAGCGCATGGTTCAATGTGCCCCCACCCGTGGCGATTGTAATGGGTGCTATCTTAGGGTTATGCTGGTATGGAGCAGTGGGGCGATAGTATGTTCTAGCAGCCATCGTTATTCTATTGTGATATGGTGCAGTGCGGTGAGTCACTTTGTGAAACTACCGTTTTCTTCCATATACTAAATTTTCCGGTGAGAAGGGGTATGTTCCCAGCAGTCGAGCGAGATGGTGTTTCGACGCTCAACGGTCGTGAGGGTAAACAAAAATTGTTCTCAAATTCATGACAGACAGAAACCAGGTATGGGCTCGGTTTCAGACAAAACTACTTCACCGACAATGATCCTCAAGCGATGAAAAATCGACTTATGTAGCGATAGATCGAGTAAAGAACCGATGCGATTACTGGGAGAGGGCTCGGGGTGAGGTAAGAAGACGGCCCCGGAACTCCTATACTATATGGTGTTTGAAGTGACGCAGGCAAAGCTAGTATGACGTAATATATCACCTATTAGTTACGGTCTAGTGGCACTCTTAACTACAGTAAGAGAGGGGCTAGCCGGATCTCGCGTTAAGGGAAGTCGCCAATTTCCACGTCAATATACCATAATTGGGGTTCGGTATGCAGTATTGCTGCTTTAAATCGACTGCATTTTGTACCCTTGCAACTGTGTTTGATGATATTCATGAGGCACTAATCCTATGCCTGCCATCATGCGGAGTACTGCTCCCGGACAAATCCTGGGGTAGTTAGCGAGGTATAAGATCCTGTGATAGATAGAGACAAGGCGACTTAAAGTAGCATAAAAAAGCTTGTTTATGGATGGCTCTCATGAAGGCTGGAGAAAAATTCTCCGCGCATTATACAGAGTAAGCCAACATGGTATGAGGGTGGAAGAGGGAGGAAGAGGGCTTGTAGGGGGGCCTGGGAAAAATGGCATGAAATAGGCTTGGCACAGGGCTTGCCGAGGACATCTCTAACCTCATGCTTTCACAACTAGGGGTCTTGTACTACTGTCCTCCTGGCAACATTAGCCGTGTGAACAATTCAACGATTATCTAGCTCTACAGTAATTAGGCTAAGTGAAGCGTAATCTGGTGTTGGTGGACAGCCTTGGCCGTTTTCTCTCCCTCCAAAAACAGGAGGCTGGGCCTTTCCGTTGCTGAAGTATGCATACGTTGGGTGAAACCTCGGCCTTTCCATTTCCCGCACCGCCCGGTGGTAAGGAACATTAACAAAACGCGGACTCGCTGCCTTTGCCGTGATATGCTCTCCACCAGAGCAGTCATTGTAGGATTGGCGGTCATGAAGACTGGACTTGATAATTTACCCCTGCTCCGTCTAAATCCAGAATCCAGACGCGGCGTATATGAAACTAATCGCAAGCAAGCAACTTCAGGTTGTTTAAGCTCCCGATAGAATCCTATTCCCGAACCTGACGCAGGTCCAAATAGCAACATCTTTGCCGTTTAACTTATCTTGCCATAATTCAACTCCATGAGAATGAGACAAAATCTTTCTGACACATCCCCTAGGCGCATAGATTGTATTACTGTCCATAACCTTGCAATATGAAGCTCCAATATCACAACGCTCAGACCCCGAACACCTTCATTGTCCGCCTTTTCATTCTGAAGCGCCGGGGGTGGGTGGTGGGGACAGAAGTTGGCTGCGCAATAGGCAAATCATCAGTTACAGCTGCTTAACTGCCCAGTATGCTTCGCCGCATCAGAGCTCTTCCAAGCCTCCGGCACAAACTCATCAATATGCTCCGTGTACTCATCTCCAGCAAGCGCCCAGCCCAGAATGCCCTCTAAGAGCGACACACTCTCGATATCTGTCTCGTTCTGTTCGCGAAGATAGTCGCCGAACCATGCTGCAGCTCGATTGCCTCGCCCCCGAGATGTGACTGCATGAGATCTTGTTAGTGATTTCGATCATTATAGTGGTGCGAGTGACATACCGCAATACCAGATCACAGTCTTGATGCCGGCGCTCTTGCACATTGCATGGAGGGTAGGCAGTGCCGGGTACAAGCTTTCGATGGGGAGGTTTACAGATCCGCGGAGAAAACCGCCCTGTCTTTTGTTAGAGGACATATTCTACGATCATTTTCTCAGAACAGGAGAAATGATTTCTTACAGTATGATCGGTCCGCCTGAGATCAACCACGAGGAAGTCCTGGCCGGGAGTACGGCCCTCTTTGATCCATGCCAGTAGTGTTTCTCTGGAGATTGTGGGCGGAGTGGTTGTCGACGGCTTGGGATAAGCATCGTACCAGGGAACTTGAGCGCTCATCATGGGGATTAATTAAGGAGAAGAGGGTTTTCACCTGCTATTAGATTGCCGCTATTGATCCAAAGGAAGCGTGAGCTGAATCAGAAAAAAGGACTCTTCAAAATGTTTAAATAATACAAGTTCTGGCCTTGCAAGATTGCGTGATCCAAGATCTTCAAGCTACTTGTACAATTGAACCATTCAGAATCAGCCATTAAGATATCTCCGTATCCACACCACGCCTTTGACATTCCCTTTTTGGGAACGTTCCGATTACGTCAACGTGTGCGTTCGACCTAACCAGGGATTTCCTTTCGGGATTGATCAGAAATTTAAGAACGCAAAAGTTCAGAGTATTAACGATAATTATGAGTATATACACCGAGAGCCATAGGAGACGGAAAGAATGCCACTCCTCCCCTCCTTCTCGCAAGTCCTCACCTCCCTCCAAACGTTTCGCAAACATAGCATCTCGGATTCACAGCAATCGGGGGACTGCCAGTTCACTTCCAGATTTACCACGCTAGATTTGTCGAGGAGCATGGTGGGAAAGAGAAATAGATTGATGAGACTGTAGGCGAGATTCTACGATAATGAGTTTGACTTGACCTCTAACAAGCCTCATCTAGTATCAAGAGCTTTTCACTATCTCACAAAGCCTGCCTGGGCCCACTCCTAGCTAACATGGCTACTAATGTTGGAGAACACAGCGCATTTGGAGCAGGCTTAAACGGAGGCGGCATGGATTTGCTAGGCCTCGGTACTTTCAGATCCGCTTTACACCCTGTATGAACGGTCGCAATCGCTCGTGTTTAGACTAGAAGCTCTCAACATCCTGCATCTCGCTCATCTAGCTGTGCTTTTGCGGATTTCTTCTAGGCATCTCAATATGGTGGGTGGCTGCCCATAGGGTAAACAGACCTATATGGACTAGTAGACTATGCGGGACGCCGATTACCGAAGACCCCACTCTTCCACAATAAGGCAATATATTTACAGCTGCAAGGCCTGGTCCTGCTTGGTTTGGGCGGAACAGTAATGGCGGGACGATGTGTACGACGGTCGTGGAGAACCATGTCGAATACTAAGTCCGAATACATGGTAGAAACCAGGTAATATACCGGAAACATCATGTGACATTGGGTACCAGACATACCATACAAAAGTGCATATTACAGTTAGTCATCATGGTCCGCACAGATTGTTGAAAAAGCGGGTTTTGTCAATTTAGTTAGAGTTGTCAACATTGGTCATCTATACCATACATTGTTCGTACACCAGCTTTCTGTCAAACCACTCTGAGCAGAGTACAGAGAAACGCTAACCGCTTTCGGCTCATTATACCCCACCCATATCAGTCCCTCTCATTCGCAATCAATAACATAGCTACCCACCTCATGGCTTATGAAAATCAGATCACTTGAAAATATTTTTGAGACGTCTATTGCTCTGTGTCCTTAATTGTGTCCTTTGTTTTCGGCTGCTTGAGGCGTTCTCTTAGCAAAGTGCACCATCTTGAACAAGAGAGAATACACGAACCATTTACGTGAGAGGTCTCGGTCAAGGTCCCCGATAGAAAATAAGCAAGGGTGTGAACATCAAGTGCCCAAACAGCGTGTATCATTGAACTGAATGAGAAGAACGCCTCAGTCGCTAATAGCTTTCCTATCCCGTGCTCACCTGTGAATCGACCTTCGCTTCTTCTGGGTTCGTTTTAGGTCTGGTGATCGTGTTGTCACTGGGTGCTTGACGAAGTGTGCTGATTAACATGATGTTGATATCTGAGGCAGAATTGGTATTCCGACGCTCAGTTCATTAATCTCAACAAAAAAATATGGCGAAAGAGAACACGCAATGTCCAATTTAAGCGCGAAATCCAAAGCAAATTTTGATTTTCCGTCATACAGTATTGCCAAACTAGTGTTTGGTGTAAATGCTCAACATGTCTGTCCCTTTGCCATACACCTAACTTGATTCAACTCGCTTCCATTTATTGGTGTTTATTATACGTCCTGAAACTGTGCTCATCATCCAAAGCCGATTGGCGGATACCAGTTGATATTTTCTTTGTGGAGAGACATTGGGTCCCAGCACTGTCCCCAAAATGCCTAAAATAGAAATATCAAGGGCGCATGTTGATTCCGATCCTTTTAAAATCGAGTTGGACTACAAGATGCTTCATTAAAGACCTCCTTTCCCTAACACACAGACACTTGCTTAAAATGCGACTTCCGGCGGAGATTCTTCTTATTGTGGTTAGGGTACGTGCCCCAGGCTTCTTACGGACTTGGGCAGCCAGCAGGCCTTACTGACCTCATGACTAAGCTATGCCATGAAAGGGACCTATTGAATGTGCGAGCAGTGTGTCGAGATCTCAATGAATTATGTGAACCCATTATCTACCGCTTTCTTGTCCAAGAAATATTAGCTCGGCGGCGCTTCCATCTGCATCGAGCCATGTCATCACGCCGAATGAATTCGATTCTACGACTCGTTGAGGATGGAGCACCTGTCACGCAAAAAAATGCAGAGGGGGAGACTCCATTACACATTGCATCGAGAAATGGTTATGTTGCTGGTGTTGAGACTCTGATTCGTTGCAACAAAGATATAGATGTGCCTACATCTCACGGATGGACGGCTTTGCAACTGGCGGCTCGGTATGGACATGACGAACTTATCGCTATATTTCTTCAAAATGGCGCAGATCCTGATATCCATGGCTTTCATGGTTGGACTGCCTTACATTATGCTACGCGAACAGGACATCGAAAAGCGGTTGAATTGTTGATAGGCGCTGGAGCACGCATTGATATTCTGGATAATGACCAAATAAGCCCAATCCATCTAGCGCAAACAGCTGGACAGCACGAAATATTGGAAATTTTTAATGCGGCTGTTTTATGTACAATATATAATGAATATCAATAATAGATTACACTAAAAGTCTTAAGCTATTGGTAATAATATCTACAACAAATGCAAGAGTAACAAACGCTTGCGTTAGACGTGTCAAAGGCTATTCCGCAAAATATATCATCGTTGGAAACTTGGCCGGAGGAAGTCAACCCCTGGAAATTTGGGACAGCGAGTGGATAGGATCACCGTTGCGGTGTTTCTCATTTAATTAGGAAGTTGGGCATGAGGGAAGGTGGTAGGCAGCTCTGATTGGCTATATAATCATAACCTTACCCCGTCATTTCCTAATCTAGTAACTCGAAAGGCGTGGATGAGTCATCAGTCCATGCCAACCTTGGAAGGTGTCCAAGCAGGAACATTTGAACACTATCCAAACGCTCCGCTATGTCGGATAATGGGCTTCCCTCATCTTTTTTGAATGATGTTGATTTGCAGTGCTCACTGTTCCCCGACCTACCTGATTTAACGAACGATGATGGGCTGGCGCTGAGCCCACTGGATCGCTGGAAGAACTCCCCACCAGAGACAGAAGCTGTTGAACTGAGTGATATAGTGAACTCTATCAGACTCAGCAACAGCCAAGGAACATTTCCGATGCGACAAAATTCTCAAGTGGCAACTTTTTCACAACGCGGTCATCGACGATCTCACCGGTCAACATCATCAGTTGCTGCGCCCGACTCAATCAGGTCTAGTGGCTCGAGCAGCTCAGCGTCATCAGCCCACAGCTTTGTGTCGAACCTATCAGGCTCCTTTGGAAGATTTTACGCGGGAGTACCAACACGGCGCCGGCGCAGACGCCAACGTAAGAAGTCACCTGAGTCTCATGGTCGTACTCAATCACCAGGACGGCTTTACCAATGCACGTTTTGCACAGACACGTTCAAGTCAAAACATGACTGGGTAAGACATGAGAAGAGCTTGCATCTGTCGTTGGAAAGTTGGACTTGTGCGCCATTCGGACCGACCTATGCGATTGAAGGTACGACTCTATTAAGATGCGTCTATTGCGATATAGAGAACCCATCCGACACCCATGTTCGTGACCATCGTTTCTGGGAATGCCAGCAAAAGCCATCCGTCCTTCGAACATTTTATCGAAAAGACCATCTTATCCAGCACCTGCGCTTGGTGCATGGAACCGAGAACGGTATTTCTCGGGCGGAAACATGGAGGTCAGAAGTGACACATGTTAATTCACGATGTGGCTTTTGCAAGGAAACTTTTACTCGGTGGACGGACCGGAATAATCACCTTGCAGCCCATTTTCGGGAGGGTCTCCTCATGAAGGACTGGAAAGGTTGTCGCGGTCTTGATCCTGCGGTAGCCCTTGCCGTAGAGAATGCCATGCCGCCCTATCTCATTGGTGCTGAATCTACTGGCATCAATCCTTTCAGTGCTTCAACGCGATGTCCAAATCCGCGTAATGACATCTATCGGAGTTCCGAGAATGAGTCGCTGCAAAAAGGATATATCCAGCCAACTCCATTCGAACAGTTGACAGAACGCTTGATTCGCTTTGTACGAGAAAGACAGGCGATTGGAGTTCCTATAACCGATGACTCTATCCAACATGAAGCACGCTGTTTTGTCTACGGCGATGAAGATCCGTGGAATCAAACTGCAGCAGATAATGCAGACTGGCTGAAATTGTTTAAAGTTGGAATGGGCTTGGGTCAATCTTTGTCCACAGCGACTAACGAGGCGGCCGCGGTCTCGCCAAAGCCATCGTTTCCACTCCCATGGACAACAAACACAACGGGTAGCAACGAGCCACAGAGCCCACCTAAAGCTTGTGTCCACGTTGCACCGCCGGTCGACCCGTGGGTGCCTTGGGCCTGGCAAAGCCCTGAATGCCTTGCAGAATTCCGCAGGTCTAATGATCCTTCATGACCTTTTGCCGGCTCTTTGTGGATTGCAATCGTTGGAAGGTTTCTTTCTGGTGCTGGTGGGTCGGGCATGACGGATTTACTCGTTGTCATTGTCAATGGTCTGTGGATTCTACCTCCGAGACGAAACAGTCAATATGAGCGCTATGAATTGTACTGACGATTTCAACGCAGACTCGGTGTCCCCAAGAAAACCCACAGGTTTACGTTCATACATATCGATCGTCATGACTATTGCTGTTCCCGTCGGTGCTCCGTTGGGCGGTGCTTTGACTGGGTGGATTGGCTGGTGATGGGCCTTTGTTTTAAAAATTCCAATGGGCCTCATTTGTTTAGCTATGGCTTCCTGGCGACTGAGAAGAGTCAAGGGGAGGAGCTGCTCTCAGAATGAGGGAAAGGTATCTTCTCGACCGGATTCTAATTTACTAGTGATATTTATTCTCGGTCTCTCCGTCGCTTCACTAATGATAATTTGTGAGTTCTCAGGTGAACTGAGATCCAAATTAAGAATTGGGTTGCCAATTGCATCGTCAATATTCTTCGCCAGCGTCTTGCTTTTTGGTATCAACGAACGGTGCTGGACAATTACCCCATTGATTTCGCTAAAGTTGATCAAGAGGAACGGTATCGGTGCAATGTATCTCGCACAAATAATTTTTTTCTTCAGCTATGGAGGTGTAGGTAAGTCCTACCTCGCCTGTCACACTTTTACTGATCGTGCCCGCACAGTTCTGCAGCCATATCACAGAATTCTGTATCCGGACAAAGAACTATGGCAACAGCCTCCCTTCTGCATGTATACTGACAATCGTATTTGGGAATGTTGCGAGCGCAGCTATCAATAGTATAATCGCGCAGAAGTATGTATGCCTTCCCTAGGTGATCCCAGATAAGTTAACTAATCCACCATTATGACTGGGAGATACAAGAAATTATTAATTGCAGGCTGTGTGGTCTCAATAGCTAGCAATGCATTGTAGCAGGACGATGGCCACATCGACCATTGTTTTGCGATATGATATTTTACGCTGGCATGGGCCTCGGAGTGGGTGACATTCTCGTATGTACCTTAGCATTGTCGGTATCGGTCCAAAGCCAAATAACAGCCACTGCCATGACAAATTATTACCTCTGCCAACAGTTGGGATTAGTAGTGGGTGTTTCTGTGGCATCTTCAGCCAGTCGCGCGGTTTTTGAAAGGTGTCTGTCCCAGCACATTCCACTGCGCGAAGATATATCCCAGGTTTGTGTTCAAATTTTGCTTGGCGCTTTGTTTCTCATCTAATATGGTCACAATTCTTAGTTTGTCGAGCACATTTTGAATGATTATCGATTTGGTTTTACCTTGTCTGAGCCGGTTCAGTCGATTGTAAGAAATTGTTTCTTGCAGTCTTTGGGGGTCATCGCAGGTATGGGAGAATTCTCAGAGTGCTATTTTCTTTTAGCTAACTTGGGCATAGCAATATCCTGCGGCAGTTTGGTTTTGGTTCTTCTTATATCCTTGAAGCTACCTGAGAAGCGACTTGAAAAGTATAGTCTCGGCTGCTCCCTCTTCAAATGTTACAATACATTCAAAAGAATGGCTTGTACTGATGCGGTAGTCAAAGGCCATATTTCTAACCGTTTTGGGCTTACTTCCTTGCGTAAATGCTCAACATATCGGTGCCTTGTCCACTCTCGTAGGACCTCTCAGGCTTGATATACCACTTCCTCTCGAAAGAACCTGTTCCCATCTGTTTGTCTTGTTTGGGAGGATAGAGGATTCCATCACCACCCTCAGCCAGCAAATTCCAGTACACGCCTTTCAAGGGCCATGGTGGGCCCGGATAACTGATTTCTTTGAAGAGAGGGAACTCCAGACAAACCAGAAGGCCACCCGAAAACACCAGATCAGCCATACGCGAGGCCCACTGAGCACGCATTTTCGGATGAAGAGCACAAAGGAACTGCCTTGAATTAGCTTGTGTGCGGCGGTCTACAGGTTCGATGACTTACAGTGTAGTCATAAATTACGTCGAACTTATCCCCTTTCGTGCAGTCTGATTGGAAGAAATCACCCTGAATGAAAGATACCGAGCCTCTTTCAAACTTATTTGCCCAAGCAGGCCCAAAGTTGTATGCTTGTGGCGCTTGGAGTTCTTTCTGCGCATACTCCTCTGCAGTGCAAACTCCCTTGGCTGAGATCTCGAGCCCAACGGCATCGAATCCATGTAGAGCAAGCATGACCACATCGTAGCCTTTTCCGCATCCCTACACAGAGGTAAACATCCTGGATTTGTGAGAAATATGAAACAAAGCCTCTTACAGGTACGAGAATCTTCTTCCTCTGGCCGTTAGCTGCAATTGGGCTCAAAACGTCGTTTCTTTGCTCCAGAAGGTCAATCAAGGCAGGTGAGGGCTTCCCTCTATCCCACATGTCGCTGTTATCAGTCTCCCAAAGGTTGTCCCACGCAGCATTGTGGTTCTCGATCGAACTGCAAGCTGTCAGACTTCTATCACTCTATTGAATAGACCAAGATCTTATACCTTTGTTCGAAGTGTTTGATCAAGCGAGACCGACTCTCGGGGGACGGAAGTCGTTCTGGTGGAGTGGTCATTTCAGGTGTCGGTTGAGTTTGCTGATAGAGAAATAGTCTAATGGGGGAGAATATCAAGGGAAGTCAAAAATTGGGTATCTGCGTCTTTTTATCGACCCCGTTGATGTGGGGCAAACCACCCCATTTCTTTCTCGGAGTCACCCGGAGTTTCCATTTGATACGATACGCCCTACTGGTTTCCTTTCTTGGTAGTGCACTTCTATTTGTCAATTTATAATGTAGAGCGGCCCAGAGTGATGTTTACCCAGATATTCTGCATCTGGGCATGCTACCTACCTAAGGATATGACGTCAGCGATATAAGGTTCCTAGAAAGGCTTGGCGCCGATTAAGCCCTTGCGATTTCCTTTTTGGGAAAACTGGTAACCGCCCAGGTGCGCCCTATCGGTTTCCTAAACTAGATGGTCATTATCTTCAAAACAATCCTTATTACCATCAAGCCTCATTACTCCAAAATGCCATACAATCCCATGGAAGAAACAAGCAAAGCCGGGCCGTTTCTCGGCCAACTTAAGAATGGCTCTGTCGCAGACTGTATTGGAGCTACGCCATTAGTCCATCTCAACCGCCTCCCTGCTGCGATCGGTATTAAAGCGCAGGTGTATGCGAAGCTCGAATACTTTAATGCGAGCGGTTCAGTGAAGGACCGGATCGCCAAACGCATGGTTGAGAAAGCGGAAAGAGATGGGACGATCAAACCTGGAGATACGTTGATTGAGGCTTCGAGTGGCAACACGTGAGTCTAAAAGTGGCTACATGAGTAGTAAGGGAAGGGGCTAATGTCATATGACGGGACAGTGGAATCGCTATTGCCTTGATGGCCGCTATCAAGGGCTACGAATGCATCATCACACTCTCGGAGAAGATGTCGCTTGAAAAGGAGCAGATTTTGAAAGCTTTAGGAGCGAAGGTCGTTCGTACTCCAGCCGGTGTTCCCATCGACTCCCCGGACTCCATCATCAGCGTGGCACAGCGTCTCCAGAAGGAGATTCCGAACTCCTTTATCCTCAATCAATACACAAACCCTGAAAATCCGGCTGCACATGAATTTGGGACCGCGGAGGAGCTGTTACACCAAACGGAAGGACGGATCGACGTGTTAATCAGCGGAGCTGGCACCGGAGGAACCGTCACGGGCACAACAAGGGGTCTTAAGAAACACAGGAAGGATATCCTGTGCGTGGCAGTTGATCCATTTGGATCAGTTCTTGCTCAACCAGACGATCTTAACAATCTCAGGGCGGAATACAAGGTTGAAGGCATCGGGTACGACTTTGTGCCGGAGGTCTTGAATCAAGCTGAGCCCGACCTCTGGATTAAAACCTCCGATCGGGATTCTTTCCAGTATGCACGACGTCTTGTGCGAGAGGAAGGGCTCCTTTGTGGAGGGTCTTCCGGTGCGACTATTGCCGCACTAGTTCAGCTGGTCGAAGCTCGTCCTGAACTTAACGCGGAAGACAAGCTCATTGTCGTTATACTGCCGGATAGTCTTCGTAACTATCTGACAAAGTTTGCTGATGACAACTGGATGGCAGAGCATGGATACAATGTTTTTGATAGCGGCTGCACTTTGGGACCTAATTCTAAGAGCACACAGTGAAATACATTTTATCCAACCAAGTGCGAGACTTTCGGATTGTTATCTTTTTAGCTTCCGTTTTATATGAACTTGCTCTTGACCAAGCACAGGGATTCTGTTTGCTCCACTTTATACTGGCTTCTGATGGAGCAATAATTTGCGTGCATTTTGCATCAATCCTGCTAGGAAGACCAAGTAGTCTGGAGCTTCACCCCCCTGTTTGGGTTGGTAATCAGGTCTCCGTGAGTCTCCATACGGAGCCTTCTTCCTCACGGAGCTCTCTTCCTCACGGAGCATTTAGACTAGAAAAGGAGGCTCTAGATAAAAGAGATTCTGGAAAAAGTGGATTGCAGAGAGCGATTGTTCTATCGATATTTCTCTCTGCCGATATTCCTCAGCCCATTTCTATTTTTCACTCAGAACAATGTTTGAGCTGTGTTTCTCAAGCATGTAGCTCTTCCAACCTGCTTTTTCTAGATCGATATCTGCGTCTCCAGACAGAAACTTCATGAAAACACCATGTGTTACGACCACGATATGTTTCCTTCGTTCATCTTTCAATTGATCAGATAATTCTGCGACGCGAGATCTCACTCTCTTCGCCCGCTCCTTTACTGCCTCATCTTCCGGGGCATAAATACCCTCCTTCACTTGCCAACCTTCTGGTAAATCTTTGACGCCTAGTCCCGGAAAAGCCTTCTCTAGAGCCGGAGATGTGGATCCAGTGTCACAGGGAAGCGCACTTCGTTCCTGCAAATCTGGATCCAAGATAAGGGTCGCACCATTTTCGATACCATGGCCAGAGTCTTGGTCGAAATAGCGTTTATCGAGAACGTGCTGGAAAGCAGCGAGCGTGGTTTGGATGGCGCGCTGTAGTGGAGAAGTGAGGATTATGCCCACCTGTGGAGCATGAGAAAACGTTTGGGTGAGCCGTGTGGCTTGCTCAAAGCCAAGAAGTGTTAGGCCAGGGTCAAGTTGAGAGAAGTCTTTGGAAACATTGTGGGTAGATTCCGCGTGACGGACAAGATGGACTTCCGAAGTCATAGCTTGAGAACTTGGAATGAGTAGCGATCTGTTGCAAATCCTCCCATTTATAATGGTTATAGCAACTTAATGAAACAATTTCTAGAGTATATTGCGTGATTCTTTCTCGTTCTTTGAGTGGTTATTATTATGAGAATAATAAAAAGTGTAACCGAATCTCGATGTTCTAGGCTAGCGATATTAGTAACTGCTGGTGTAGACCCGAAGTCTATCTTAAGACCCACTTAATTATAAACTTCGATAATAGCGTCTCGTAAATCTAAAGGGGTTAAAAATGAAGTCTTATAATTCTCTTAACTCAAAAGTCATCTAGAGATCCATTGACACTCCAAAACATGTTCAATTCCTTACCACCGGAATTATCCAGACGACAGATCGGGCTTATCACCGGGAAGTCATATGCCGTATGTTCAGGCTGATCCAGACAAATTTTGACCACTAAATTATGATAGTTTCTATTATTATTAAGTGAATTGCCTATCTGTACGCCTCGAAATCGGTCCCCTCGCTTCAACATAGCCTTAAGTCGCATATTTTCCTCTTACTTTTCGATTTTGTCTTTCCAGCCAACTCGCTTGGCTATGAATTTGGCAACGTAGACAAGGCCAAGCAGTACTGGAACCTCGATCAACGGCCCGACAGTGGCGGCAAGCGCCTAATTGCTGTTGGCACCAAATGTTGCGACAGCGACAGCAATAGCAAGCTCGAAATTATTGCTGGCAGCAGTGAAACTTTGAGTAGCAGCCAACTTGTAACCAAACCCGAGCTTGTAGGTCACAAGAAGAGTGAAGAAGAAGACGACGATAAAATAAACGATTAGCGAAGTGGCAACTCGAACGACTGATACAATCTGATGAACTACCTGGCGGCCCCGAGATGCGAACACCATAAGGATCGTAAAAAGAAGCTCAAGGAGGGACCACGGGCCAGCCCGCTTCAGAAAAACCTGGTCGTACCAACGTGGGCTAGCTATCTTTTGAAGTACAATGCGGGTAATTATTGCGGCACCTAAAGGAATTCCAAGAAACACCACCACACTTTTGGCGGCGGTAGAATATGAGAGTGTAACTTGACCGCCCGAGTGGCCAATGATCTTGATGAAGAGAATTGCCAAGGGAGCGAAGACCACCTGAAGCAGTGAATTGACCGCAACAAGGATAGCGCAGTATTCATTGTCACCGCCAGCGAGACCGGTCCATATGAGAACCTATTACTATGGATAATTAGTCTTCAGTACAACACAGAAAGGGATAGCTTACCATAGCGATATATCTGGCTAATCCAACGAGAATCAACCCCTCCGAAGTTCTGGTTCATCCGGTAGAAAAGCCCATGCTAGTGCAAGCTGGATCATATTAGTACACACCGCCATGACGAGTGGGATTAGTCTCATCATCAATAAAGGAGCAATAATCCAATTGACAAAGATGCTGAACCCAATTTAAATCCAGACCCCACCCTCTCGGAATACATGGTGCAAAGATTCGTACCATACTTTGCAAAGAATAGGATAAATCATGACCAAAAGACCAATTGCTTGCATCAGTTAGCCAAGGCCTGATAAATTCACAGTCAGCACATACCGATTGGAATGGAAACCCCAACAAATTTCCCTTTTTGCAGGCAGGACCCGTATTTTCGACGAAGTTGCCTAGGATAATTCCGACGGCCATGGCAAGAAAGATCACAAGGCGAGAAAACGATCTAACCAGCCAATGCCTTTAAAGGCAGATTACTTGGCTGTGGTCTCTTCCGATTCTTGCTTTTCGACATCCTCGGCAGTAGGAATTGACGGCTGGCTATCCAGTGTTGGGTTATGATATTTCGGTTCCTCCGTCGGGGGAAGACATGTCTGATGAGTTGGGCGGCCATCTCCAGCTCCAAACAAGGTATTGTTCTCAATGGATACTTCGAAGGAAAACCAAAAAGTACGCCAGTGGTTACAAGGCGATAACGGCCGGCACTGTAACACAACACTGAAATGGTCGTGGTATTAAGTTGCCGCTCCCGTACCCTGACCTAAAGGCATAATGGATTTTGACGCATTACCCACTAGGTGCGCAGCTCGTTTGTGAAATATGTTACAAGACTAACTATTTATCTCTCCATTGACAGAGGAGGGTCCACATGTGGGTTACTCTAACTAAGTAAATGATATTATAACTTAACTACCTTTTGGCTAACATGATATAACTAGAAAAGAGTGAATTTATCAGGTGAAGATAGAAACAAAAAAAAAAAAGAAAAAAATATAATGAGCGACGCAGGGATCGAACCTGCAATCTTCTGAGAAAGATTAAGAGCACAAAACTCCGCCGAAATCAGACGCCTTACCATTAGGCCAGCCGCCCAAGCTTATCGTTTGCTTTGCTTATCATTTATAAGAATAAGTATCACGTCAAATCATCCACTTTATTGGCTACATAACGGAAAGATAACTTATAACATGATATTGCAACATTAGTTGCCTATATGAACTTTTTCTTATGCAATTCATTGCGAACGGAGTGAGCATTTGCTCATCAGTCTTTTCTATTGGATTCTTCAATACACAGGCTGTTCAATGCCGTCCCCAACTACCGTCTACACTGCCAGAAATCAAGTGAAGTACTTGCTCAAGGATATAAAACCTCTGTCACTCGCACGCTGGTTTTTGTTGAAGTATTACCAGTTGAATGAATACTGCATTTGACTAGACGTAAAGGAAGGATCATTCAACAATGTATGTGTATAATTGGAATGGTGAAAATTCGCCATTCTTTATATAGAAGAGGGCTAGAGGGCTACTCTATATAGATCTATTAAGAGAATCCTTTAAAAGCCTTTAAAAGTGATTTCTCCTTGATTCAAGTTAGCTTATGCAAGTTAGGGCGATACATCGCGCGGAATTTAGTCCTACGAAGACATGCCCAGAGGGTAGATTTGGGTACGTCAAAATAACGAGCTACTTTACGAATAACGCTAATTTCTTTATTCTTAGTGACCAAGAGAGCCAATAAAATCCTACCTTCTTACCCTATTAATTTTATATATGATAAAGTGCATATTCGTGGCATAGTGGATGGTTGAATTAACTAAGTGCTAATTGCTAGACGCGTTTTAGGTGGGATACGCAGCTCGCTTACCGAACACGTTATTGTACATATGTCTACTGAATACCCAATCAGTTAGGCATCTATAAGACAGATCTTATTTGCTAGATAGATGGTAGATGGCTGTCTGCCTATCTGCCTCTTTCGCTCTTATCGGAATCGATTACATCGTTTCTCTGCCTAGATCTCTATTGTAGTACGACTATTAAGATTGAGATTATATTCTCGATAAAGGTCTTCCAATATTTATATCCACCCTGGATTCCTGTTTAATTTGATTTGTTTTAGAAAAATGTTCACCTAAAAGACTTCCAAAATGCACTCGAAGAGTCCATAGCATTCGTCTTTTTAAGTGTATTTAGACGTGAATATCAAAACAAGAAGGAACTTAAAGATAGCATCATCTGTTACCGCGAGCTAGCGCTCACTACGCCAGAAAATTCAAATCTTGTTGAGACTGTAGTGGCCATATTTTGTAATCAGGACTGTATTTAGTTTGTTCCTTCCCCTTGTTTTCCCTAGTCCTCTGTTGGTAGTAATAAAAGCTACACTATCCTCTCTTTCTGCTTCCTGCATCTTGAAGAATTATCCTCCCGTCCTGTTCCTTCTGATCTAGTGTATCTTTACACTACACATTCGAATACATTCGGGAAGGAATCTACACCCAATCAGAAAGAGAATAGAGAGTCCTAAAACGGCGGTCACCTTCGTAGGATGATACACTGCCAGCCATATACAAGCGCACAAGAACGCTATACGGGTCTCTACCTAAGAGCCGAGCCTACTTATACAGCTACGCACATAACACTATTCGCATGACGCTATTAGTTATTGGCGCATGCGAAAGCTTTCCCATTCCGCGACGATTATCCGTGCATCTGTAGAAACTAGGAAGACGGGAACAATACGTGGCAGCTAGCGTATCGCTTATACATCGGCGTTTTCCATGACCCTTCATAGCTCAATTACAGTGGAATTCCTATAACTGGTCACATTTGGGCAAGTTGCTAACCCTGCACAAACGGACACCCGCTACTACTGCTCTCGCTGCTAATCTGGCACTCTTTGCTAATTTGGCGAAACATTGCCATAGGGTCATACCAGATATCAAGAGTCTGCACCTGTAGTTTATCATTGACCTTGGCCACTGTAAGTCCTTCAATATCAATCGGGCCACCGTGCGCTTGAATCTTGACCTTTTCACCGGAGCTAGGATTGTAAGCATAAAACTTAATCATCATGGATAGTAGTGACCAGATACCTGTTGTATCCCACGTAATCATTCTTCATCTCGCCCCAATGTCTCCACCGAAAGGCAACAACGGGAGGACCAGAGTATACTTCAAGTACCTCCCAAGCAAACGTTGGCATCATCCGCTTAAATGACTTGTGCGAATCGTTGAAAGTGTTGTGTGCAGGATCATAATACTGGCTCGCGGTCAGGAGAGCATTATAAGTCCCCACTTCTAACATATGGTGACCTGTTCGTCGTTCACCACCATTCACGGAAACTGTGTATACGTCGTGATCTATGGTACGCCATTCGGATAGATTTGTCTTGAAGGAGGCTTCGATTTCCCAGTTCTTCACGAGATTTTCAACTAGGAAAGGGAGACTGCCGGGTTCGTGGGTCTTTGTCTTAGCTGTATGATGTAAGTAATAGAATTCGGGTGATTAGGAACAGGAGGGAGGTACTTTTTTCATAAAAGGCTCTTGTCTTGGAGTAATCCGGAGCATTGCCATGGCGCCAGGCTGCACTGATGTCTTTAAGGACAGCATCAGGATCAAGCACGTAGTCAGGTAATTCACTCATTATGAAGTTTATTAGGGTGAGAATCAAGTAAGAAATGAACCAGGAAAAAATGAGACTGGGAAATGACGATTTTATATGGCCCCTCTCCCATAACTCCTCTTCCGTCATCCATCTCCCATGGCCCCCAAGTCAATGAGCATGGGTATCCCTGTATGTAACCTACATGGTAGAAACATCTTCATGTCTCAGACCGGGATATGCCCCTCCGCTAGGCCTTAAACAGGAATCGAGGCTTTTTGTTATGGTCTAGTGGTAAAATTGGCTGTAATTTTTCCCGCATCCTAACTGGTCCACGATATTTTTGGTTAGGTAGGACGAGGAAATGAACCAATCAGGTTAAATCTAATATGAGTTATATACGGCCTATATGGAACGTAGTATTTCCGCTTTGTCCGCCCCGGTTTATATATTAAATCTCGTATCAGCCCTTTTACCCCGTTCTTAATTCGTTCATAATTTGCTCTTACCTCTTATTACCCACACTCGCTATCAGACAGATTTTCTTACCACCTATTATTCAATCACCCCCGAGGATTAACTGTGTAGAGTAATAGACTTGTATGTAGCTAGTAGTCGGGTAAGCGCCGCCTTGGCGTGGAACAGGTCAGTGCAGTGTGTCTCGCAGCTTGAGTGGTTCTCACCCCTGATTCTCACCCTATCTGTTGTGCATGTGCCCCATTCTCACCCCACTCGCATATCTCCGATGACCTAATTGATCCTTAACGGATTATACTCTAAAATTTTTCTTTTCATAATAAATCTAGTACATGCGATCATAGGGTGTGGAAAACAGGGCCTCCCACCCGCTCAGCCGTACTTAAGCCACATATTCTGCAAGCCACATATTCTGCACAGTCAATACTAACGTAGCCCTCAGCACCTAAGCGGCACTCTAGGGTGAGTACAGGTGATATAGGTAAGAAGTCCTGAGACTAGGGCAAGAGAGGTGAGAACGGGGTGACAACTTTCACCCTTAAGATGATAGGGGGCAACTCGCTCTAAAATTATATCCATCTTAAGAAAAATACATATATGCAAGCCCCGGGGCCTTTCTCCTACTCTGCCATGATTTTCTTTGGACTTAGCGGCTAGCTCTTGCCCTGCTCTTTCCTCTTTCGTCTTTTCCTTCTTGTATATAACTTCCATAACTGGTTTTATTCTGGTCAGTCTACCTATCGGCTTGTATACTGCTTCTATTTCTTTCCCTACCTCGGATCATGAATTATCTACGCCACTAGAAATACTTGGTTAAAGGTGATAAAAATTTACCACTAGGTCATTATATATATATATGAGTAGATTGAAATCTACATAGGTTCGCTGTTTGCATATATGATAGGATTGAAGTCTAGGGGGGTGTTATTCAAGTAGTTTTTGTATATCGGAGAAACGAGTAGAATGCTATAGCCCGAGCTATTATGAATATCAACTAGGGTAGTTATATAAATGAGCATGTGTTTACTAATATTCATAAGGTTAATATACTTTAAGTCGTTGCCGGCGATCACTTTAATAAAACAAGCAGCTAAATTGCTATGTTGAGAGTCCGCTAATGCAGTCGTAGAAGCACTCGTCTGAGAATCCGATGATGTGGTCGCTGGAGCATCACACAGCGAAATCGCGTCGGCAATAGAAGAAGCCTGGCTAGTCCCTTGGCCCAAGGCAGCTAAAGCCGACTCTTAAGGAAGGCTATGTAATCATTGTCGCTGCCTTCGAATTGGAATGCACGGTTGCTTTGAGACATAATCGTTGTTGAGTCCAAAGAGATAGACGGAGATTTTGATAGTTCCGAATGTGGCACCTGTGTATAGATAAATAATGTAATCTGCTGCGTAATCGCACGAGTCATCCCAAAGCGCTGACTCCAGCCGGCGATGATTTTCACCAATGTCCGATCCGGGGGGGGGGGGGGGGGGGTGATAATATTTTCCGAGTCACTTCCAAAGTCAATTTCATGTGTTTTTTGTAGTTAATTGGCTAATAATAGGGGCTTGATACAAACTTTTTGGATGTATAGTTTCCCGAATTCTCCTCTCCAGTGATTTTTGGGTCATCCAGTACTCCGTAGAAGTTGTGTCCATTGGGAATTGTGGCTTGGTGGCGTTGCTCCGCTGGAATCTGAAACATTCCGTAGCCACCTCGTCCGCGCGGTCGCTACAGAGACTGACCAAGACAACATCTTGTGCGCTCTAGACGTTAACTTATCACCTACCAAGCAACCAATACGTTGAGCTACAGGACACTGTCCTTTTCAAATGATGACCTTGTGGCGGGCATAATTAATCAGATTTTGACCGCCTAATCATTTACTTAACTTAAGTCGTCCGGTAATGGCCTTCGTGATCAGGTCACGAAATTCACTTTGGGCTCGTCAACAAAGCTCTGTATACCAGGTGTTCATTCACCCAGCATCTTCCTCGTTGCTCTGCTATCCTTGTTCTTGGAAAAATTCTGTTGGTGGACTCGCATGCAAGTCATTTATGGCTCCTAAGAACTTCTCGTCTAGTGCTGACTCTGGTCCACTCCCCTTCAAATATATACCGATAGAAGAAGTCGAAAGACTTGAAAAGTACCAGCCTGGTGGATATCACCCTATTCTGATAGGTGATATTCTTCAATCCCAATACCGAGTCGCCCACAAGCTAGGCTACGGAGCCTATTCAACCACTTGGCTCTACCGGGACTACCAGTCTAATACATACGTGGCCCTCCATGGCCCTAATAGCACTCACCCTTGCTATATGACAACCCTAGCAATGTATAGTGTCTCTAGTGCGAAGGAAGGGTCATACAAACGCATCTTTCAGGCCATGACCGCTCGCTCGCTTATTGTGCAACTTTTGCTAGCCGTTAAATATATCTATAGTAAAGGAGTTATTCATAGAGGTTAGTCACCATTCTTTATAGCTTTATAACCATATGCTTATACAATAACTATATCAGACCTTCACATTGGCAATATCCTTTTATATCTCCCAGCCGATTTCGATTTTCGATCAGCTCTCAATTGAAGAGTTATACGAAAAATACGGTTCGCCCACGTTAGAACTAGTTATTCGTTTCGATGGTCAGCCCCTTGAGTCTAGTGTTCCGTCTAGCGTCGTCCCTCCTATCTGGCTTGGAAAAGCTTCAGAGGAATTTTCCCTTCCAGAATCTAGACTCCTGCTCAGTGATTTTGGAGAGGCATACTGACCCTCTATAGAGTACCGATATAGCTCGCACGCCCCTATGTCCTTTATGCCTCCTAAAGCTCGATTTGAGCCAGAATATAGCCTTTCTTTTCCAGCTGATATTTAGACACTCGCATGTTCCATATGGATAATCCTCGGCCAGCGCCACTTATTTGAGGATATACTTGCCACGCCGGACGATATCACAGCCGAGCAGGTTGATACTTGAGGAAACTTACCCCTACGGTGGTGGGAGAAATGGGCGGCGCGCCACAAATATTTCGATGAAAGTGGAAAACCAAATCAAGGTCTACAGGTGAGGTCTTGGGAAGACCGCTTTGAAAAGCATATTCAACTCCCACGACAATAGGCTGGAATCCCAGGTTTTGACGTAGAAGAGAAAGCAGCTGTTATGAATATGTTGGGGTCGATGCTGTCTTTTGAGCCGGAAAAGCGGCCAACTGCGCAGGATATTGTAAAATGCCAGTGGATGGAGAGATGGGCAATAGCAGACTTTAAAAAATCTCACCTTTGGGAGTGCCGGGGCCGCGAACAGTTCTTATGATGCTGTTCGTTCCCCTGGGATATGCTGTATGTTGTAGCCGTATGCAAAATCTCCTCTGCACTCCGGGTTATTTTGTTTTATTCTTTACCACCCAACCGATATCTTTGTCTTGGCCTATTGATTATTCTGCCACCTCTCATTTATTCTTAAAACACGTTGAAAGCCTGGCGACCCAATGCTATTGGCACAGGATGGATCAAAATCAGTTTCACCACTTACACACAGAGATTCTTTCTTGAACCCTCTTTCAAACACACTAGTTATACCTATTTTAGTTACTTTACCCTGGACCCCATATCTTGACAGTATTAAAGTATATAGGTGTAAATAACACCGCAAAGATACCTTCGGTATTGTCCTGCATGGTCTTTAGGGTGTCTAGAGCATCTGTAAACAAGCAAAGCAGAAGGGGCAATTGCCCGGTAAGCCAGTCGACTTATTGGTCAGAGCTCGCCTTCTCTCTGTCAAGCACCCATCCTCCGTAGTAGTGATCACTATGAACGGACGAGGTATAAAAAGATAGTATTGGTGGATTGAACACTGTTTTTATATGCTTTATGTAGTATGACTGGCCTTCTGATTGGGACGTGACTACACACCAGGGAGGCCTCCCTGACCTCTCACTAGGGTTACTAGCCTTAGGCATCAACCAAAAAATCATGTTTGCCTTACGCCTTTCTTGACGCTGCGGCAGACACTGTTCAATTTCATGCGACGTCTCGCTCTCTTTGGTCTGGTACTTGACATTGCACGTAATGCACTCCTCTCGGCTGCTCGTTTTTCCGCTTCATTGAGCGTTTCAGGGCATGCAGCGTGCAACAGCGCGCGTCACCAGTTTCTAGTGTTGATCTGGCGAACTCATAGTAAATGCACGTGATCTGGACGATATGTGTTTTTTAAACATCTGCTACCTTTACCTAGTTACAGGAGGGTTGTTTAATCATTATTGAACAATACTTGAGATGAATACTCGATGAAAATTTCCTTTTCATTCGGCGTCAATGGCAGTATTATGCCGAAAATACGGATCAAGGATTTGATAACTTTGTTGACTGGTGTGTTGAGAAGGTCGGAACTAGAGCACAAGTACAAGAGGTTATTTCCAAAACGCAAGACTTGATATTGAAAATCTATGATGGGAAAAGTTCACATATGTCATCCAGAAGGTAGTCTGGGGTATGTCCCTCTAATCGTAGGGAGAAGAAATGCTTATGTATACGTAAGTAGGGAACGATAGTCTTCTTTTGATATTCTTCTACACCTCTCCTAGGTTTTTCTGGTAGGACGCCTTGCATACTGGGCAGCATGGCCGGCGCCAGAGTAGCCATTTGTCCACGCAATCAACATGGAAAGCATGGTCACAGGGAAGGCCGCGCACTTGAACTCCATCTTCGATAATACTCAAGCATATAGCGCAGACATAGTTCGAAAACATGACATCTGAGGCCGACTGAGTTGTCTTTTGCTGCGCAGCTGGAGGATATTTTTTATTGATATCCGGCGGCTGGGACGACTCGAGGCGCGATTCCTTTTTTGGTGATTCGTTGGGAACGGACATTCGAGTTTCAGCAAAAGCATCTTTCAATGGCGATAAATGCACCGGATCTTCAGCTGGAGAGATGGGAGCAAGAGTAGAAATATCGAAAGTGGAGATAGTGGCCAGGACATCCTGGGTCGCAGGTTCGATTGAGTTCGCTCTTTTTCAACCATTAGCAAAGACCTATATAATATGATGATTTAAGGTCGAGACAGTGCCTAGCTCGTAGTTGTTGACCCTTCCACGTTTTAAAGTCCGTTATTGGTAGGTATTTATTAAGATCATCCTCGGTCGGCAGCAGCTGAGGCTGTTTTTGAACCTCACTTGTCTGCGGCTGAATGAACCTGGATATTGGCAATACGGGATGATCCCGTGTAGACGATCCTGATTGTACTCTATGGCGATAAAACCATTGAGCAAATGCTGCGATACTATTAATGTAGGAGAGAGTATTTAGCGACACGGACTGGTAGATCGTTTTGGTAAATTCATACCACAACCCGGAGACCAACACAACACAGATGACAGCTATGACGGCAGAAGAAGTAGTGGGACTATTTGAAGTATCCGGCATCTCCTGTTGTCAAATATAAAAAAAGAAAAGAGAGGCGGCCTCGTGTTTCCGGGGAAAAAAAAAAAGGTTAATATACTATTCACTCCTGTAGTGATATACATTATGCGGGATTTTCCTGGGGCCATCATGAATAGCTGTACAAATTTGAGGTGAGCACTAGGCTGTGAAAGGATGGCTGGAAGGAAGTTGCAAGCCGGCACTGAAAGAGGTGGAGATGACCCTCAAGCCGCAGGCAGTGGCGCTCAACCCGCGACGTGATTTGCCCGATCAAGTCGCTCACACGAAGAGTTGGATGGTCACGCTAGATGTTATATGCGGCAATTGTTTCAACGTCCAGATAAGCTTGAGCTATATATTGATTTTCGCATGAGCCCTTGAATACTTTCCCCCTTGACAGAAGTTCCCGATTTTTGCGCCATGTGGAAGCCACCGATAAATTTTCTCTCCCTGCATTGTACGTACATAGTCTGTATGATATTCCACTTGCTAACAGCTTCTGGTAGACGCGTGGATTATCACCCTCAGCATTCTGAGCCTGGTTATCATCTACCCTTATGGCAACCTCAAGGCTATTGATGCTTATTTTTTCGGCGCTAGCGCCGCAACGGAATCAGGTCTAAATACGTGAGTGCTCACCTTTGCTCACCCTCCCGTCTTTCTAGTCTGCTAAAGCAGTGCCATGTCAAGGGTTGACGTGAAAGAGTTGAAGACCTACCAACAAGTTTACATCTACCTCATTCCGATTCTGGGAAATCTGGGCTTCATCAACATAGTTGTCGTTATCTTTCGGGTTAGATGGTTTGAAAAGCATCTCCAAGCGATCGGTGAGGAGCGCCAACACTCCGGTCCCCTGATCGATGGCTAACTTGCCAAACGCAGCACCACACCTGTTGAAGCCGGAGACCCTTCCAGGCCAGGATTCAGAGGCACAACTCAAACATATCCGGGATCTGAACAACTCTGTTCACGAGGCTCCGACCGATGGATCTACAAACCAGGCGATAGAGAATGTGGCCGAGGCCAAAGGTCCTGCTTGGGCTGGAAAATTGTCGCCGAGGTTGGCTTCAACACCACAAAGTAGAATAACATCGCAAGATAGATACTGACACACACATCAGAGTTTCTCAGGAATCGAGGCATTCTACAGCTGATGATGCTCTGGGCCCAAGCCTAGCTGCGGGAAAGCAATCTATTCGATTCGCAGAGCCCGATCAGCCGGCTGCCGGCAACGACAACGCTCTGTATATCCCACCACCTTGGAAGCGGGATAAAGGTATATTCAATCAGCTCCTGGCTTTTTTCCCTTTCTAACAAATGGTTTCAGGTGCCTCTTTTTCCGAAATCAATGACAGAATTAACGATGAAGATGAAGGTGAGTCCTCCGCTTGCCAGATATGCCTGAGCTTGAGATAGCAACTGAACAATCCAATAAAAGGAAAATCCGAGAAGAATCTACGCTATCGCCAATCTACCCGAAGCCTGCATTCACGTACTCACACTCTCGAACGGATGGTCACCTCCGTATTTGTTCCAGGAAAGTTTCCTAGCTACGAAGGAAAGGGCCACATAGCGACACAGAACAACATGAAGCAACTTGATCTACCGAAAGTGTCGCCCCAGGCTACGATCGGCCGGAACTCTCAGTTCCACAACCTTTCCGCTGAAGACCGGGAAAGATTAGGGGGCATTGAATACCGGAGCTTGAAGCTTTTGCTAAAGATCGTCACCGGATATTTCTGCGGTCTGCATCTGTTCGGTGCGATATCTCTTGTGGGATGGATTCTACATGCTGATCAGAAATATCGTGACTATCTTGCTGAATGTGGCCAGGGTAGCGTTTGGTGGTAAGTAGACCTCATATTCGTGTTGGTAACAGAACAGCTTATTCCCTTTATCTGAAATGAAAGGGGTTTTTACTCTTCTCAAACTATGATCGACAACCTTGGTTTTACCTTGACACCGGACTCGATGATCTCCTTCCAAGATGCGACCTTTCCGATGCTCCTTATGAGTTTCCTTGCATTTGCCGGTAATACCTGCTACCCATGCTTACTCCGAATGATCATCTGGATCATGTATAAGGTTTGCCCAGAGAAATCATCACTTAGAGATCCACTTAGCTTTCTGCTCAATCACCCTCGACGATGCTACACCCTACTCTTTCCGAGCAAGCCAACGTGGATACTCTTCGGGATCCTGTTCATTATGAACTCGGTTGATGTCCTTCTCATCATCGTGCTGGATTTGAATAACCCGGCTGTGAATAATCTAGCACCCGGCCCACGAGTCCTTGCTGCTATTTTCCAAGCCGCATCAGCGCGCCATACGGGAACAGCGACTTTTAACTTGGCTGATGTTAGCCCGGCCGTACAGTTTAGCTTAGTCGTCATGATGTATATTGCCATTTTTCCGATCGCAATTAGCATCAGAGCCTCCAATGTCTATGAGGAAAAGACACTGGGTATATATGGCTCTGAGAGCAGTATGGACGAAAGTGATGGCCGATCGTACATCCTCAACCATATCCAGAACCAATTGAGCTTCGACTTGTGGTACATCTTCCTCGGATGCTTTTGTATCTGCATTGCTGAAGCCGGCAAGATTGCGGATACATCAATTCCAGTGAGTGGGCAGTAACCAATTTGGTGATGGCAGAACTAACAACTCTAGGCCTTCTCCGTGTTCTCCGTGTTATTCGAAGTCGTTTCAGCATAGTGAGTATCACATTTAAGTTACGACTTTCAAAACCTAGCTAACTCTTCTGTAGCGGCAACGTGGGACTCAGTCTCGGCTACCCGACCGTCTCAACATCTCTTTCTGGGGAGTTCACAGTTTTCAGCAAGCTCGTTATTTGTGTGATTATGCTCAGAGGTCGTCATCGTGGATTGCCTTATAAGCTTGATCGTGCTATTCTTCTTCCAGGCGAGCGCTTAGAAGATGAGAGGCAAAGGGATGAGGTTCAAGCATTTCGAAGCGAGCGTTAACTCAAATTAATTTTTTTTCCAAATTCCGTATTATTATAAAGCCTTCGATTTTTTTATATCACCTAATTGGGCAGCTTGTAATAGTCTACCAAGTACTGGATGAGATTTAAGTTGTTAAGTTGTCCACAACATTCCAGGGATGTATGTTGTAGTGTGGAGTTTGAATATTCTTCAACTAAATTTTTAAGCCAATTAATGTTATGCGCGATAACCGAATGGCTCAATAAACTGGCAAAAACAAAAATAAAAAATAAACTAGCATGTGTATTATACGGATTCCCAGGAAAAACATTGCCCGCGATGAGTTCATAAAACTTATCGGCTCTTCAAATGACGAAAGACTCCTAGAATAGGTTGGCCCAACAGGCCTCCGGAATGCGAATTTCTGACCGTAGGCCGATTACCCGACCTCATACCCCCGTTACTACGACTTCGACTTCTTTGAGTGCTACAGTTTCTAGTCGTGGGGAAAGAAGGGAATTGAAAGGCAAGACGCTATTCAAGTGGGTTAATGGCCATGTAAAGGACGCTAGAAATGAGCATGCGGATCTCGTCTCCGTCAACAGGGCTCAGAGAGGCATTGCGGAAAGGGCAAAAGCACTAGAAGCCATTCGTGATATGCTTGACGAGGTGCTGGAGGAAGATTTCTAACTTCCGAATACTAGCCATGAATAATGCCAGGATGAATACCACAGCACCGTCCCAGCATACAAACTCGTGTCGTAATGATAAGACGTACCTGGGAGAAAGGGGAATCTAGCGAGGGCCTTGCTTCTAATTCCGAATCCAATGATGTTGAATTATTCGAGTCACAGTACAGACATTTCTTTTGTCAACGTCTGGAGTTCTTTGATGGACCACGGTTGCAGCCCACTTCGGCCCGGACGGTTCGGGGCGACTCTCGTGGACATGGCCCCGGGGCCGAGCTAATTGCTGACATCCCACCTGGACACCAGACATGATTGAATCCCCGTCAATTTTGGGGCCAAAACCCACTCTCAACACATTAATTTCCGCTATATGCAATAAGGGGACGAGGAGTAAGAGGCGATTTTATTTCCCTTTTCGCGAGGCTGAATTGAGACCGGTGGAAGAAGAGCCAGGGCTCATAAAATGAAAAACTCGAGCAACAGAGTGATTATAGTCCACGGGTACTGATGTTATGACAAACACGTACTAGTCACCCTCTCTGAGTCCCAACAGATTCATTCATGACAGCCCTCGCCCGACTGACCCTGCTCCGCCAACACCTCGATCCTTCCTTTCACCAACAATGATCAAGGATCCAGACAAGGACAAAATAGCGATGGAAAAACCCATCCCTCCTCTCCCTAAAGAGAGATTACCCCTCCCCCACCGCCTAAACTGTTTCCTCCAACTCTGGCTGCTCAAATCCCTTGCCGCCCTCTACTTCCTCTACCTCCGCCTCGTCAACCCCCCTCAACCAGGCACCCAACCAACCCTCACCAAGCATTACACCTGCCGCCCGACATTGGAAACCCGCATCTTCTACCCGCGCTCCTACAACCCCGCCCAGCGCCAACTGCTCCCGCTCTACCTGAACGTTCACGGCGGCGGCTTCGCGCTGTGCGATGCCACCGTCGACGACTCCTTCTGCAGTGCCTGGGCCAACCGCACGGGGATGCTAGTCGTCAGCCTCAACTACCGCAAGGCGCCCCTCCACCCATTCCCAACAGCCACCTTTGATGTTGCCGAAGTAGCCAAGTGCGTGCTAGCAGATGACTCCCTCCCAATTGACCACACCCGCATCGCCATCGGTGGCTTCAGCGCAGGCGGCAACCTCGCGCTGTCTGCCTCGCAATTCCCCGGTCTGAAAGGCCTGATCAAAGCAGCGGTGATATACTACCCCATCGTGGATTTTGGCCACCCACCCAATGAAAAGCTGGATTCGAGACCGTACAAAAATGGTCCGAATGATACACTCGAAAGGACTTCCTGGTGGCTGGACTGGGGGTATGTGAGTGTAGGGCAGAATCGGAGGGATCCACTGCTCAGTCCAGTGTATGCGGGGAAGGATGAGCTACCGCCGTGGATTTATATGATTGGAGCGCAGTGGGATATGCTCCGGTTAGAGGCACAGCAGATGATTCATGGACTGGCTGGGTTGGAGGATAGAATCGGGGTTGAGCAGGAGGAGGACTTTGAGGTGGGTAGGTATAAGTGGACGTTGGCGAGAGGTTGTCCGCATGGGTTTACCCATGTGTCGCCGCGGAAAAAGGGTGGTAATAGTAGAAAGAAGAGGGAGGAGGTTGCGCAGGGGATTTATGAGGAGGCACATAAGTGGTTGAAAAAGTCTCAGGTTCTTTAGGTACCATACCTACCTACTGCGTATACGCGACAACCGTCCACTTTGACCAGTGAGAAAAACACGAGGTTTATGTAAGATTATTAGCTCTTTTTAGGCTCTGGAATATAGACGATAGTGGTTAACACGCACTCCAGAACTACTGTAAATATATGGGCCAGGTTTACCATCGGACACATTTGCCGGGGCTATAAATATGTAGCCAGGAGACTGTGAAAGCCAATGATGAGAACCATGGTACCATGATACCACATATGGAAGGTAATCAGACTTCATGTTGAAATACCCCGAGCGCCACAAAATGATGCGCAGAAGGTCCATGGCCCACTTATTTTAAGATCGGACATACCACCCTTGCCTAAGCATGTGGATTGGAACCTGAACTTTTTTCGAAGCTAAGTAGAACTAGCGAATAACTGCCCAGGATAGTGCAGATCAATGGAGTATGCACAAGATGAATCTTGATCTTGTGCATGAGATCGGACAATCAAAAACTGCCCTACGTCAGTGATAATTATAAATTGATCCTATGGGGGAATAACCCAATAAGCTAGATGTAACAACGATCGGGTTGATCAAGGATCAAACTTGAATTTCTTTTGGATTGAACCCTTTGGTCATGTTATTTTTCTGCACTCGAAGCGGGCATTGGCAGGCTAAGACCTAGCCCAAAGAAGATAGCCCAAAGAAGAATGAATAGAAAATATCAAACTAGGGTGATTTTGAACTGACCCTCAGCCCAGCCTCCATAACCTCAATCGAACTGGTCGACTTTTCCTTATTATCGCCTTTTTTTTATTAACCACTGCTGTCTGTACCGATTTGATCTTCTCGCCGTTTTTGAGAATAAGGCTTGCGAGAGTGGTGGAGTTTGCCTTCGAGGGTCCAGCTGCCTGGAGATTGTACTAGAAATAATTGGAAGTAGCCAGACAACCTATCGCAGTACCTATCAACCACTGGAGACTTGGTCCTATTGGCCGTGGAGATTCACCACTTGGATATCCTTGATACTATGGAATAATGTACACTTCAATTCAGATATTAACCCCTAGTAAGAGTTCCTATAGGTTTATGGTGCGTTAATGATTTCTAAGGAAGCGGAATAGTCGGCCGCTCATACGGCCTCTATACTCCACGAAATCGTAATTGGACAACCTGAATATTAAGTTGTCCAGATGGTTTAATATAATATCACAAATGTATTGGAATTTAGAAACTTTGTTTTAGGACGGATACGAATTCCTATGTCTTGGCCAAAGTTTTTAAACTGTTGCTTGTAGCACTTAACATGAATATGGCCGAAGGGACTTCAAACTGTTCCTCGTGAATAATGGAACCATATCAGACACATTTCGCCCAGCATGCCAAGAACAACAATGTGCTGACTAGGAAGGGAAGGGAAAGGAAGGAGGGGAGGGCACTAGTTACAGCTCCACCACTAGCTTCGTGGCACTGACTCCTGCCTTGGACTTTTCTAACGCAGATTGTATATGCTCTAAGCCGTTGCCAATGACAAGCGGAGGTGGGAAGCACTGGAGCTTTCCAGACTTCAAGGCAGGCGTAACATATTCCTCCCAGACAGGCGTCGCAACATCATTGACAGCAAATATCATACCGGCATTGACATTGGTGGGGAGATCGGTAGCAGGAGGAGGTGGATGCACGCAAGCAAGGTGTCCTCCGCCCAGCTGAGTAAGAATGGTGATGTCGTGAGCGTAAGTCTCGGGGGTAGCTATAGCATCAAAGATGCCAACGAATTCGCCACCACTCGCTCTAACTGCTTCGCTAACCTTGTCGGCAAGTGAAGTATCATTGCGATTGAATACTTGAGCTGCACCGCATCGCTTGCTGAAGTCGAGATTGTGTGCACCGGAAATGGCGATGACATGTAGTCCGGCCGCTTTGGCAAGCTGGGTCGTCATCGAGCCAACAGAGGATGAGCCACCATATATAACGAGTGTCTTGCCAGACGATGGCACATCCTGCAGCGAGGGGTATGGAAGGCCCAGTGCCGGTGTAGCTACACCGGGCATGGCTACACCGGGCTCCTTGAGAGAAAGCACGCAGACAGCCGCCTCCAATGCGAATGGCACCACAACGCCATCCGTGAACGGTATTTCATCAGGGAGTATGGCTGCTTTGTTTGCAGGAATTACCGTGTAAAGAGCAAATGCACCATCCTGGGGGCGCCCACTTGTCAGATTGATGGCATGTCTATTGAAGAGAGGTTAATTTATGTCAGAATGGTATTATATCGATATGCTGTCAAATAACATACCCAATTACACGATCCCCTTTCTTGAAGCGTTCTACGCCATTTCCCACTTCATACACCTCACCGGCGATATCGCAACCGAAGATGGCGGGCCATTTCTGCACGAAGACACCGGAGTCTTGCATATGACAGTCGAGCGGGTTGATAGCAATCGCGGCGTTTTTAATGACGAGTTCTCCTGGACCAGGTGTGGGGAGCGGAGCATCTCCCACTTGTAGGGGAGAGCCAGCTTTGATGAGCCATGCAGCTAGGTTCTTAGGGGTGGACATTTCAATGGAAGAATTGGGGAGGTGGTAAATTTGTCTTAGAAGAAAGACGAGAAAGGTAAATGGTGCTTGTAAGATGCTTTGTTTGAGCAGACAGTTGATGTAAAAAGCAAAATTGGGCAGAACACCCCAAACTATAAGTACTTTCGCATACCTGAAGTGATTTCAAATTAGCAGGTAGTAAATATTACCAAGTATAAAAAATGTCAGAACCGCATGTGCCGTTCCCATCAAGAACCATATATGCTGTTCCACCCTTAACTCCGATTTCGGACTTAATGCCGCATTGTCAGTTTACTCAGAACAGATAGATTTGGATAGAATCCATGGAGACAGCTGTTTAGTGGTCCATTTCTACGTAGACCTCACCGACTCACCGATTGACAAACTATTCAATTTGACCAAGAAATGTTTCTATTAATAGAACCCCAAGAATGAGTTCTGAATACCTGAGTACATCCATGGATGTCCTTTCGGCCCCGCGTTATCTTTTAGCGTCTATCCTAACCTCCACCCTCCACCCTGGAAAGAGTTGCTATTTAATATGCGGCTCGGTCCACGAGATCTACTCCAGTATGATGCGAAATACAAAGTGTTGATCTGTCGAGATTGCCAGTACGCTATTCAGAAAAATGCGTTGGGGAGCCATTTGCTCCGCCACAAAATTTACCGAGAAGAAAGGCTGAGTTTGCTGTCCACCATCCATCAACTCGACATCGTTGAGCCGGGTGATCTTTTACTGCCTAGCCCAAGTACATCGCCGGTTCATGCCCTTCCCGTAGTGTCTGGGTACTCCTGTACCATGACCGGGTGTGGGCATCTCTGCGCAAGCTCTAAACGCATGAGACGCCACTGGAGTGATGTCCACAATGTTAGTGGGCCAAATGATTTTGCCTCTCACGCACGCTTAGTGAAGCTCCAGACGTTCTTTCGCGGTACAAAACTCAAGTATTTCGAGGTCTCGATAGCAAGAGCCGCGGAATCACAAGGTTCAGATGAAGGGGGTGGACATAACAGAAATGACTCTGGTGTGGATGAAGTGCCGTCAGTAGTACAGCCGATGCCACTTTCTGAGTTTTCTCTCGTGGTGGACCTAGAGACGTTGACCTACTTCCATCATTTTATCATCACAACGTGTTTGACACTTCCTCAAGTCGAGGGTTCTCTACCAGCGTCACAATACTGGGGAACATACATTGTTTCATTGGCTCTGCAATGGCGTTGGCTAATGTGCGGATTGCTGGCTATTTCTGCACACCATTCAGCCATGCTCGAAAACGAGACAACAGCCCAGCAAAAGCACTGTGAACGGGCGACAATGTTCCGTTCCGAATTCTTCGTCGGGTTCAACGAGACTATGGTCAATAATTCAAACACTGTGTCCACCGAGACTTATAAGCAAATGAAAAAGGCCGCAGTTCAAGTAAGGGGCATTATGAACTGTGCGCGATGGACCTTGACTGGATTCACTGCGAATCAAGAGAATGTCCTAAGTCCTGCCACTTCCATATCTTGGCTGCAGTCTTTACTATGCGACGTTCGAGATTTTGCATCTTCTCAGCTAGGGAACTCTGTAGAAATTGGGCAGAGTACGGGTGATGATCTTCAAACATCTTTGGGTACAAATAACCCGCGAGGTGCCACCGCAGCACCGACTGTGCTACTCAACCGTCTTCAGATGCTTCCTTATCGCATGGTCGAGACATTTGGTAAACCAGATGATGAACAAGATGCCCCGGCTATTCTCCTCGGCATTGCATCATTGGTCCAATGCTGTAACAGCGTCTACGAGTCCAATTTTTTATCAGGAGGGTGGCAAGGTATAAGCGCATGGTTAAACAAAACCACGGACCACTTCAATCATATGGTTTCACTTCAAAGTCCAGCTGCCCTTATTGTGCTCGCCCACTGGGCAGCTATTCTGGTTAAATGGACTGAAATTCATGAGTGCTGGTTCATACATGGCTTTTCGGGGGCAATTGTTTCGCTTATTCACGGTCATCTTTCTACGGATGGTGGAGTTCAAAGTTTAGTTGAAGATCTGCTGGAGTGAATGAATGCATGCGGCTGTACTGAGCTAGTTATAAAGTTTTTTGTCTAGTGTCTCAAATCTCGATGGAATGGATTCACTTCAGTCTGCTAAACCGCAGGCGGAACAACTGGATGTACTAGACTATTCATCTTCGTCGGGTTGTCTAATTATAGTGAAATCTAATCTCATCATGAAAAGCGCCATACAGACAATCGCAAGCAGTCCTATAGAATGCCATCCCAATGCCATCGCCACGGTTCCCACATGGCCCGAGACGACGCCATAATTGAGAATTTCGGTCATTGTCGCTGTAGCACTGCTGTTGATGTGCTGCCACAATCCCCAAGCTGGCACTCACAGTGAGTAAACAAATTGACAATGAAATTTGAGAAGGGAATGGTTTCGTCTCTCTGATCTGTTATCATCAACTTCATCACGCCATCCAGGGAATGTAGATAGGCTTAGGATACAAATGAACATCAAGGCCACCACGATATATCTCTACATCAGTACCATTAGTAAGTATATTGCAGTATCGAAATAACCAGAGAAAAAGGCTTACATCAATCAGCCCATTGGATACAATCTTCTCCTTAATTCATTGGCAATCATAATCAAATTGAGCGGATCGGGCACAAATTCTGTGCTCGTATTCCCTCCCATTGCTGACAGATCTTTGTGTCTGAAACAACTTTGCCAGCACATTCACATCTCTAGAGCAGATGCGTCCCGTATGGCTCTGCATCACGCAGATCCCCATGCACCCCGCTCGCACTTGGAGAGTCGTTCCGTTGCCGGTTTGCGACACATTGTGAACAGCACGCGCAATAGCTGAGCTTACTTGCCCGGGTGTTGTAGGGAATGAAGACTCTGTTGCTGTATATTCAGCGACAATAGGTATACATTGCTTAGCTTGTTGGAAGAAGAACAGCCCGCAAGTAGAACTGCTGAATGAATACGTTAATCGACAAATCCAGAATCAATAGATTAATTTCCTTCACATAGCAAATTCAAGGATGCTGATGTTCTTTAGAGTCAATCAATAATATGATCGATATTCTTACAAAGCTCCTGGATATCTTGTGTAACCTCTAAACCCATGGATGCAATCTCCATGGGAGAGCTTAGAGGATGGAGGTTGATGAGGAACTCAATAGAAGGCTCTATCCAGGATCTCAGCTCTGGGAGCTCTCTCTGGGCACAGTTAATGATCTGTCGCCATAAGCCCAATCTGTCCTCCATCTTTGTATCATCTAGAATTTCGATGTCTATTTCGTCAAGAACCTGTCGCAGCTGATTGAGAAGGGTCAAAGTATCTTGTTTGATGATTCGAAAGATCGGATTGATCAGGTTAAGTGATCTCCCGTGCATTTCAAGCGCACCACAGATCTCTGCTTTTTGTTGACTTAGTTTCCCTGAGTTTGTCCTCCCAATTTGCCATCGACTGCGATGTTTGGAATACGCAGCCTAGGTCGACTGAAGCCGCTTGGCGAGGGGCTATTTGTTCAATGATAACTGTATGCAGTAATTCAGAATCCGCGTCGGATTTGGAGCTTTTTCACCTTTCTCTGCCAATGATCCAGTCCAAAGACCTAGCAATCGAACGTTGATCCCTGACAGGTTGTGGCTCCTCTTCAATCATGGAGTGGTACGACGCATCATGGCCATCGTCATTGTTCTCCTCGTTCTCTTCCTGGGAACCAGTTGACGCCCAGTATTGATGCATCTCAGATATCTTCGGTAAAGGGTCAAGGAGTACAATTACTACATGGCCTGTCAGTATCTTGTATTAGGTCTTACTTCATGTATACATCACTTCTCAATATCAGCATTTTGATCAATCAGCTTCTTCCTCCAAATTGACAGTCTCTCCTCTAACCCACATATTGCATGAGGAACAAGCCGTGCTGGTTCAGGTATTCGACCTTCTTGGCGTGGACTTTGGGTTGATAATGGTCTAGATACAGGCAGCGGGAGACCAGATGGATCTATTGGAGCGGGTGATTGCGAGATCATCTCTTGGCTAGGTTGAGATCCAGTGTCATTCTCGGCATCAATACTAACCGATCCCTCTAAATGCAAATCATCACCAGGTGTGCAAGATTCCACGAGGGTCAACAAATTTGCTTCCGGGGCATGGTCATGTGTAAAATGGTTATTGCGCAAAAGATCTTCTAATGAGTTTGTTGCGTCTCTTGATACAAGATAATTTTTAGGGGGGGACGGCGTTTGATTGTGAGAGATTAGGGTCATATTGTCGCCCTATTACCACCATATAGACCGGCGAGACAGTTCACATAGCATGGCATATGCCGATGTAGGTGATGAGCACAGCTCAGCCTCAAGCGAAATGGCCCATGCACGCATATACCCCTCTTCTCAGCTTTCACGTATAAAGATGCTGATGAAACTAAACGCATGGGAAGTTCGTTGAATCTTGTTTTGTGTGCTTCCTCGCCCCTTGCGCGTGTTACATTAGAAGTTACCGATCGAACTTTATTAACAAAGGCGACCCTGGGCATGACTAGCGCTAAACGCTGCTAGTGTCTTTTACCAACTTCCGTGATAAGATTGTTGTTAAACGCTAATGACGAGGGGGGCCAAAAGTGTTGGTAAGACGGTAAGCTCGTCAGTTTCTAGGTCGAATAATGCATGTAAGGGCGCGGTGAAGTCGAAATTGCGCGTAGAACGATACTGTCCATGTGACAGCGAAGTAGCCTATAAGAACAAATGGCTCAGAGGCTCTAAAGAAGGCGAGAGGAAAATAACTTCATGGACTGGGCTAAGCTGGCGAGGGGAAGGAAGAGAGATCAGTCCTGGAGGATCAGAGGCTCTATCAGCATGAGGCAGAAATATCCACAATTACCATTTATCCTATACGAGTCTGAGAATATGAACAAAAGGTCTGACAGTTGGCCGGCTGTAATATCAACCCCTCAAGGCTTCAAAGTCAGCACGAATTGATGAGCATATCTCATCGACCAATGGCATTTCCTCCTCTACCGGCACACCCAAGGCTCCAGCTTGCCAACTCACTGTGCACATCAAGCTACCCCCTTTGACACTGATAATGTTGAAAACAAGCGGTGCACTAGTAACATTGCCAGGCTGCGAGAATACCATCTTGACGACCTTGCACTTTTGATCTGCACCATCACCCATGTTATCGAAGGCAAGCAGATTGCTCAGTTCGTACGAGGAGTCCCGCTGCTGTCCAATTTTACCCAATGTCCAACTCCTGATGCTGGGGGCATATCTCAGCAGGCCGATTGCTTGGTCCTGCAGCCTCGCACCGCATGCAGCAAGATTTTTTGTCATCGAACTCGCGGCTGCCCACATCTCCTCGGACAAAGCAGGCTCCGTCACATTTGGTACTCGTGGGTGTACCTCGTAATGACCAGATACGAAAAGGCCCCATGTGAGACCCGGCATCCCGATAGACGCTCGCATATCGACAGGCGTTCCCGAGACAAAATTGGTTACTTCGGGGTTAGAGATGGCCCTGCTTAGCGCTCGAACAATCATCTGATGCATCGTTGCCGTGAGCTTGGTGCCGTGGCTCCTTGACGTTTGCAAGGCCGTTTGGACCAGCGGAGCCTCAATCTCGAGGAGTTTTACTCTACTCTGGAGGGTGGCTGCCGGGTCAAAGAACATGGGTGGCCCAATCCAAGTACCGGCATCTAGCACGCTGGCAGATGCGCGGAGCCCAAGAAGTCTGGCCACAAACTTTGGCAAGTAAACCGCTATCAATGGCTCAAGAAGAAACTTCCAAGATATGGGAAGCCTTTCGGGTGTGTCAAAGGGTGCCGGAAGAGTCTGACTTGGCGGAGTCACTAAGAAAGATGCATTATCCTCCGCGCCCATAGTCTGGCGCCACGCATCTAGAAAGGTGCGATGGAATGCAACTCCGACCATGCCGTCGCCGAGGGCATGGGAGAACGCAAATGCGATAAAGCATCGCGTCACTGTGGAGTCTTGCGGCGACACCAGAGGGAGGACCACGATTCGCCAAGGTGGGATATCAGCAGGCCATGGCCGGTCAAGTATGGCCGGTAGAATCTTTTGAATTGTTGCTATCTCGCCATTGCTACTGGCTTCATCATCGTGGATTATAGACACATGATCGTGGAGATCAATGCTAGAAACCGCTTCGTATGCTGACTTATCGGTGTGCTTGTCCTTGACGACCACGTTTAGGTATGGGTACTTCTCGATGCAGTGTCTCAAAGGTGCAAGGAATGACTGGGCGGCATTGATGTCTATATTTTCACTCGCAATCTCATAAACTGCGGCTATAACGAGCGCGTTGTAGTAGCCGACATCTTCGCGACTAATTGTACGGCGTTCGTTGGGGCCTAAGTTCCGGTTAGCGCCACCGGCATAATTCAAGAAATGAATTTCACTGACTTGCAAGTCTCATGAATTCTGTGGGGTGCGACATTTCTATACAACGACTATGTACAACATAGGAGCACCATATGCTGTCAAAATATAGGGGAATATGTCGGCATAACTATCTTCCGAATATATTAAATCTATTTTGGGACATCGACAGATTTTGGGGGCTGGAAAGACCTTCAAAGCAAGACGGAAACGTATCGCGGCGCGATAAAAGATTTCATGAATGACTATCAAGGCTGTATGGGTCAGCAAGACTAGAGATTGCGAAATGATGTTCGTCAGAAGAAGGTGATTTATTCTGCAATTCCACAACCCTTTAGCGCCTAACCCATACAATGAAACTCATTGGAGTTGAGATTTCATATAAGTACTCTAACTACTTAGCCCAAATATACTAAACGTTTGTCCCGCTTGCTAGATACTCCTTGCTGAATGGGTAATCCGAATAACCCACTGCCGACTCGAAGACATAAAATGTGTCTCTCTGGTACGCATTCAGCTCTAGACCCTTCTTAATCCTAAATATGAGATCCGGATTGGAAATGAAGTGCCGTCCAAAGATAACCATGATGCCCTTGTCCGGATACTTCTCGTCCACCAACTTACGGGCCTCATCCGATGTATACCCGCCAGCAATAAGAAAAGGTCCGTTCCATATATCGTATGCAAAGTCCAGAGTGTCATGGCCGTCGTAATCTTGGGGACCAGAAATTCGCGACTCCACAAGGTGAAGATATGCAATGTCCGCCTGACTGGCTTTGCTGATCACGTCTGTGAACTGTGGGATGGGATTCTGCATTCTCATACCCTGGAATGTACTCCACGGGCTCAGCCGAAGCCCGACACGTTCAGGACCAATGTCATGGGCAACAGCTTTGATCACTTCGTCGAGGAGACGAGATCTATTCTCCACATTCCCACCATACTCATCGTCACGGTTGTTGCTGACATCTTGGATGAATTGGTCGAGCAAATATCCATTCGCGCCATGAATTTCAACTCCATCAAAGCCGGCTTGAATAGCGTTCTTCGAAGCGGCGACAAAATCCTGGATTGTCTGCTTGACTTCGTCGGTAGTCATGGCCCTGGGCACCACAGCGCCTTCTTCCTTGGGAATAGCACTGGGTGCTACGATATCGATGCCTTCTTTCCGAGCTATATCTACATCCGCTGCACGGCCCATGGCGAATAGTTGACAGAATATGAAACATCCCTTGCGATGAACTTCATCGGTGACGATCTTCCAGGCAGCGACTTGATCCTCGCGCCAAATCCCTGGTGCGTGCGGGAAACCGCCGCAGATTGCTGATATAAATGTTCCCTCGGCGATGATCAAGGTGCCTGGTACAGCGGCGCGTTGGCCGTAGTATTCCTTCATGAGGAGTGTTGGCACTCGGTCTTCAGTTGCTCTGAAGCGAGTGAGCGGTGCCATTCCGATTCGATGTTTCACTTCCATGTCACCAATCTTGAGGGGCTTGAAAAGACGTGATTGAGGCATTGTCAAGAATATTTAGGCAGGTGTTCTTCAGTGGGAGGGTTAAGAATATTTGACCCATAGTGAACCTGGTTCACGGCAGGCCAGGTATTTGTACTCGACTTTCAAATAAAGATAACCTGTATTCATCGGATGAATGTTAGGAGCTCTATACGAGTAGGGTAGAGAGATACTTCTCAAAAGGGAAAAAAGATACTTCCTATTAGGGAAAGGCTAATGAGCTTGACCATTTGCGGTTAGAGTTTTCAGCATTTGTCCAATCATCCTTCTGTATTATGAGGTTGGTGGGGCACAATATCCGGAGAGTTTCTCCCTTCCAGCCTGGAAGTAATCCGGCGCCACCTAGGCATAATTGACCGGTGACAAATAGAAGAAGGCTGCCATCAGTTCCGAAATTAACTATATATGTATGATTTGAAATCAACATTTCAACACTTTGACCGCTTAAGCCCAATAGTTGATTGAGCAAATGGGGCTTTCAAGGAATTTCTCAATTGAGCTAGTCTAGAGTGAATTTTCTTCCCAAAAGGCTTGAACCTGGGACAAAAATGCTTCGTCAGACCATATGAACTGCTTAAGAATGAGAAGCAGCTCTGCCCATGATGTATAAAGCCACCTTAATCTGCTGTGGTTCAAATGCAACAACTGCACATAGCCCTGTCGTATAGACCCTGCGGGAGCAAAAGCACCTCCGATGTGCAAGAGCCAAGCCAACAAATCCAGCGAATCATCCCACACTGGACTATTGATTGCTGATTGTATCTTGCAGAGCAATTGTAACGAAAGGTGAGACTAGCTGGAGTTAGCGATATCCAGTATGAGCGACTGGGGGACAAACGCGGTCAGCGCGATTACTTACGGGGATGGTTGAAGTCCGCCATATTTTGCAGCGCAGCATAGTCGAGCATAGATATGCCGCTTGGTGGCAACATTCCGAGATAGGTGAGCAAACTGGCAAACTCACTAGCCTCGACTGGATGGACGCTTGGTGGTTATCGATATGTGCCATCGGCATTGCCTCCTCTTTATCGAGAATTTCTGTATCTCGGATACATTGCAATGCAAATATGTCCTTGAGAATTTCAACAAAATCCTGGTCTAGTAAATAAGAGCGACTTTGGAATCCAGGTGGAAGAGTAAAGAAGTCCGGATGGGAAGGATCCCTCTTCCATTGGAGCTCAGAAAATGTTGTGTGGTCAACAATTCGGCTTGAGCCTGTCATTACCGAACCATTCAAGTCTGACCTGTCGACCAGTATAAGGCTTAGCTATCAGGAAATGCTCTAAGTTACTTACCAGAAAATTGCACGCTTGATATCGTCGCTCAAATAGACGCGCTTTCTTTGGCATACGTCAAGAATGTGTTGTATTGCTCCCATATGAAGCTGGACTTGACGTGGCATTCGAAGCCGGGCCTTGATGATGAAAGCTTTAGATTTTATGGCAAAATTCGAAGGAAAGCTTAGACAAACCTCTATACCGGCAAGTAGCAGAATGGCTCCTATTGTAGACTCCGTAGCAGCCTTATCCGGAGAACTCATTCTTTGACGGATAGAGCTCAGAGCCTTGTTTTGGTATTCTAGACACTCCCTGCTGGTCATGCCTGCTGTGACGGTAAACAGAAATGTGAGCATGACGGCGCTCAGAAGGGCGTTATCATCTAGTTCTTTCCGAAGGACGGAGCGGAAGTTTAGAAGCACAAGCTCATCTGCAACACTGAATACCGGCTCCGTGGGTGGTTGAAACTTGTCTGTATCTTAGATTTGCGTGAGCCGTTGTCGGGCACCGGGTGGTTTCCATAATCTTGCCTCTTAACAATACCCGTAGTATTGGGGACTCTGCAGCCATCATTTGGAATGGATCGGAGAAGCCTACAGCAAGGGAGGCTGGTGGTGCGATAAGAGCTTCATTTTTCTTTGCTGTGCTCGCGGAATGGCTCTTATTGTTTGCTGGGCGTATAACATGGAAATTATGGCCCGAACTTTGCTGAAGCCTTCTTTTGCTCCGAAGACCATGCGCTACAGCATGCGACCGGGCTAAACGCTTCGTTGTGCGGTCATTTGAATTTTTTATTGGAATAAAAAGGAATTCAGTATCTGAAAAGTCAAGGTTAATCAATGGAGTCATGTCCACTCCCTTGAAGCTCGGCCCTACCTGTATTTGGCTCATTGTGTGTAGACATCGAAATGGAACAGTATTCGTAGATTAATTAAACGATCGCCTTTGATCAAAGCGCGTGCATATTCTTAAGAAAGGCAATTTTTATAATATGCACATCCCTTTCATAAGCGTACAATAAATTAGCTAAATCAGTATCTTGTCCAGGGTCGATGGAGGGTGGTTAGATTACAAATCAGGCGTGCTCCGGGCGGACCCAGCGGAGGTGACCTCCCGAGGTCGGGAGGTCGCTGGGGCCCCCGAAACCGGCAACCGGCATGAACATATCGGTGATAAGGTTTATGAGATCGGGGCCCGCTCAGCTAACCAAACCTTAGAAGAGGCCCGCGAAACTAAAAAGCAGAGTCGCCAACGTAATAACACATAGGCTGTATTCCAAGCATCTTTCCCAGTAGGGATGACGCAGCGAACAGTGGAGAAGCCTTCCAGGCCAACTCTCAGAAAGTGCCGATATAGCCAACAAGATGACAAACACGATATCATATGCATTGATCTCAATCACCGCTCGACAAAATATGTATGTACATCCCTCGACTACCAAGCTGTCATACCACCATCCACCCGAATATCTGCAGCAGTGATATATGAGCTCTCATCTGAAGCAAGGAAGCTAGCCACAGCGGCAATCTCCTCTGGCTGGCCGATGCGTCCAATCATGATCTTTTGCATCACATCTAAGGCCCACTCTGCATCCTCAAGCAAAGGTGCTGTTTGCAAGGTCTGAATAAGACCTGGTGAGATTGAATTGGCCCGGATACCATGCGCACGCCCTTCCATTGCCAACTGGCGGGTCATGGAAATAACACCGGCTTTCGCGGCTGTGTGAGCGATACCAGGCACTGGACGAATTGCAATCCAGCCGCTGGCAGATCCAACATTGATGATGGATGCACCGGACTCCTTCAGGTGTGGCCATGCGACACGAGTCAGCAGGTAGACAAGACTTAACTCCTGGTCAATTGTTTTGTACCAATCGTCATCCTTGCGGTCATCGAGCCAACTCATGTGGGCCATTCCCGCGTTGTTGTACAGCACATCGATACGTCCATACGTTCTGATGGCTAGGCTCACAAGTTGCTCGCAGTTTTCACGTTTTGTGAGATCACATGAGGACATAGATATCATTTCACCACCTAGCTCTCGTACAGCTTCGATAGTTGCGGTGTCGTTCACGGCGTTGATATCACAGCCGACGATTTTGGCACCTTCTCGGGCAAACTTGAGGGCTGCTGCACGTCCCATACTGCCACCTGTACCGGTGATAAGGCATATCTTGTTTAACAAACGGGGTGCCATGACGGTTGGTTTGGGGGTTGGTATATGTTCAATGAAATATTTGGAAAGCTGTGATAAAAGTATTTCTGAGAGTGGAGGGAGGCCACAGAGGGCAATATGAGGGGGTAGCCGATTATCAAGGATCTGGTAGGATGCTACGAACTGATCGGTTAGTATCTATTTGAATGTTTGCTTTTTTGGAGGAATCCAATCAAGAAGGAGCTTGGATCTATTCTTTGTTGGTTCCTCCACATTAACTAAGCCCCCGCCAATTATCGAACCAGAAGCTCGGTAGGTGCATATTGTGACTCCACGATGCACGATCGAAGGGGCCGGTTGCATCCACGGATGGACGATCAGGGTTCGATAACGTGACGCTTTGTAATTTATCTACCATCGCCTTAACCGACACTACCAGGGTTCTCCTGGTAAAATTAGCTCCTAGTCAACCTATAGAGGGCAAACAAGTTAGCACATACCCCTGGTTAAGCACGGATATCAATGGATTCTCCCTCGAGTCCCACCCCTACTTTCCAAATCACAAAACTAAGCTCGTTTGGGCTTCTGAGATGCGCAATCTCGCCGATATCCACCAGAGATTTGGATCCCCATTTAGCACGGCATATTAGGAAATTCAAACCCCTTTGAGCTTCTCAAGATTAGCCAGTATCAGCATCGGTTTGTATCGTTTACTGCTTCCGACTCCAAAGTGGGTGGGTGGTCTTCCAATTCCCCGCTAACAGCTTCCAATCAGAATTAATCGTGGGCCTTTGAAACCCCAATTACCCAAATACCAGCTTAGTTTGTAGATGATTCATGGCTTGATATGATGGCTCTCAATTCCGAGATTTTGATGTTAAATTCCAACTAGCTCCCTCCAAACCACAACTTACATTGCCCGATCGAGCCATGCTGTGATACACAGCCTCTTTTGAATGAAACCCACCCCTCACGCGAAGCCCGATGCAGAAACTTGTTATTCACACATGGAGAAGCCATTAGCGGGTCATACAACACCAGGTATAGGTACGGGGCACATGCAGCTAGATGAAGCATATTAGGCCAGCCTAGCAGTGAAGCTTCCTCCGGGAATACCATCTATATATCTTCCCTCAACAGAGTTTCTAGCAGATTTACTCCCTCCAAGGCTGTCTTCCTGTCTTCTAGTGTCACATCCCTAGTGCTAGTAGATATAGTCTTGTCAATGGTACATATTAGACTTGCTACCGAATTATTATCTTCCTTCCTTCCTCCTCCTCCTCCTCCTCCTCCTCCTCCTCCTCCTCCTCCTCCTCCTCCTCCTCCTCCTCCTCCTCCTCCTCCTCCTCCTCCTCCTCCTCCTTCTTCTCCTTCTTCTTCTTCTACCCAACTATTATAGTGGCGTAACTACATATGAAGGCCTTGCAGATTATTTTCTTTGTTGGGAACACGACTGTTTGGGGCTTTCTGCCTGTTTATTGGCTAGCTCTCTGGGTTTCCTCTAGTCAGATAGGTATTTCTCCCCTTCCATGTATAGATGGATAGTTATCGGTTCATAAACTATCTAACAGCCATTGGGCCATATTGTGTTAAGGATCTCAGATTGTTAAAATCGATCTCTCGCCTTTATAAAAGTAGAGCACCTTACCTCCTGCGTCTAGGACCAATTGCCCTATTACAACAGTGGCTTAAGAACAGTCTCAACCAACTGTCATCACTAACTTCCAGTTGTAATGTAAGACGGTCTGTCTGATTTGGAGAGACACTTAGGACCGAAAAAAGAGATGGGGCGAGCTGGGCAAGACATATTGTGATAGGAGTAAACTTCCATCGCCTAAGCACCCGAGGACGCCCAGCTGAGCTATCGCCCCACTTGATGATATCCCAAGGATTGGCAGGGAAAAATACAAAAAAATAATGGGACGAGCCGGGATCGAACCAGCGACCTTGCGAACTTCAATCGCACGCTCTCCCAACTGAGCTATCGTCCCATTTGGGATGAAGATTCATACGCAGGTTGGCATTATGAACCTAATTACGTGCTCGGACCAGCATGACCGGATTTGATATGTGCGATCCAATGCACCTACATACTAGTTTAGTGAGGATTTCTTGATATAATTATCTTTTATATAGGGGTACTGTACTCCGTACAGAAGGTCTAGGGTCGCATTTTCTTATAAAACATATTAATTACTCAACTACGATCTTGGAATACCACAAGGATCGCAGGCCGCTTATGCGGCCTTGTCATGTCGTTTTAGTAGTCTGTTTAGATGTCTTCTCCCCCTTCTCTGTTGAGAATCGAAGTAAATTCTCAGGAATCAGGATTCAACCCTAACGCTAACTCGGTATACATTCCGACTTGCCAAAAGTAGGCTCCTCCGCAATCGAGATTAGCGCCTTCGATACAATTTGAGACCTACACCACTAGTTTCTACATATATCATACATTCTGTTATATCACAGGAAAGCATTTCAATTCAGGTTACTTTGATTCAATAGAATGTAGTAGAAACTAGCATTATCACTGTTCATTTCTGATTCTATTACAGATTCGAATTCAACCAACGAGGGGTTTTTAGATCTATAGTGATAGTGAAGTCTGACAGAAATCTGTGGTACGAACAATGTATGGTATGGATGACCGATGTTGAGAACTCTAACTAAAATGACAAAAAAACTCCGCTATTTCAACAATCTTTGCTATTCCAACCATGTACTCGACTTAATATTCGACCAAGTCCATAAATATGGCCTTCCATTCCAACTATGAACAGATTATAAATTTTTGCAATATAATGTTGATACCTCCCAGCATCGCATTTGCAAGATATCATCCCATCTTTTCATGCAGTATAGACCTATCTGCATTTCTTCAATATTCTCAGAATGTATCGTCTACACGTCAGGGAAAGGCGGAAAGGGTTCAAGAATTGCAGACAACTTTTCAATGCATAATTTTGGACAAACAACGATAGTCGGCCGCATCAGCGGCCTTGTGGCGTCTTTTTAGATGTCTTCTTGAGCATTCTTCTTCGGATACCTTTTTTCTTGGTATTTTCCCGCTTATTAGTGCTGCAGCGAGGATATACAACATAGACGGTGAAAACATATTGAAGTATGCGAAGGGACTTTCTATGTACAAATTTTGCCCTTTGGTATAGATAGGAGAATTCCTTTATCTAGGCAATTCCCCTGGGAGAGGATATGCGGTCTATTATTACTCCGCATACACAATGAGGTCCTCCAGAGTGCTGGTTTTTTTTATCGCTTGTTTTAACACAACAATATGAAATACTCTCGTAGAACAAAACCGCTTAACTTTTTCGACGCATGAAGTAGCATCGATTATTAATCCCAACTTACTTTATCTCCCACATATTCGATTTGGAAATAGGAATTGATCTCAATTACCTTTGGTCTTTGTCCAATTCAAAAAGAAAAGCTACCACTTACTTCACTGCCTTGCTTGCCTACGTGGTAGATAGTAGTACCTATATCACGAAATTTACTTCGGACTGGCTATCCTTCTAGAGTCGTACAAAACAAACCTCATGCATTTTTATTGAGCCGGGTAGCAGTGAAAAAAATAAAAGAATGTGCAAAAAGTAATGGGACGAGCCGGGATCGAACCAGCGACCTTGCGAACTTCAATCGCACGCTCTCCCAACTGAGCTATCGTCCCACTTGGGATGAAGATCACAGGATTCTTAAGGACTATGAATCTAGACACAGTTATCGGAGAACCAGTGGTTTCCGGAACAGTTACAAGCATGTCTAATTCATCAAAGGTTATTATATATATATTATATTATATATACATAGAAAAATCTCTTATACAACTCGTGGCTTTTACCGCCTTCACATATACGTAAAAAATGAATACAAAAAAGGTGTGACAAGGCCGTATAAGCGGCGGACTATTGTTGTCTTATATACTATATAACTATACAAAGAAAGCCATTGATATCTTCAACGATGGGTTTTTTCTTTTTCTTTAACGACATATACATCAACTGTATTTTCAAAAACAAGTCCATATAAACAACAGTTGTGGGTGTGTCCTTACAAAAAAAACATAGTTACAACCTTCGAAGGTTGGAGCGTTCCGTTCGCACGCCATCGTTGATCAATCCATTCATTCATTCATATTTATTTATTCCTCCCTCCTCGGATGTGGTTAGTAAGTAGGTAGGGGAAAAATGCAAAAAGAAATGGGACGAGCCGGGATCGAACCAGCGACCTTGCGAACTTCAATCGCACGCTCTCCCAACTGAGCTATCGTCCCATTTGGGATGATGTCATGCTCACTATGATAAACTAAGTATAGAAATATCTTTGTGGTTCAGGAAGATGTAGAATTACTTGACTGAAACTTACGGTTGATAAAAAAAAGCCAATAGTTGAACTGTAGAAAAAACTATGACTGTCTTATCTAATTTTCACAAGTCAAGAGAACTTGGGAAACTCCGAAACCTTGTGTCATACTTTTTTACCGCGAAGATTATCTCTACGGGTTTCCAAGCTTGCTGCATACCTCTTGAAGTCTCGCAGTCAAGCTCTTTTCGTTCTCCTTTGAGTTTTGCGTATCATGTGCTCGTGTCTTATTGGGCATGTTTAACAGTTGTATTGTGTTGAATAGACATGCACGGTTTTATTTTTACGAGGTTCATTGTCATTTCTCTATATCTAAAATATATTTCTTAAATCACACCCGCTGATGAAATATATATATTTTCAGAATCGTCCCCCCATATTATAATGCAAGTACATATGTTGTACATATATGTAGGCATAAAGCACATATTTTATCGGCAATTCCAAACGACAGTGCATGTAAGTTACGTATATGGCAGTAGCATGTACTCGACATAACAAGGAACTACATGCGAAAGAGTATATAATACAAAAACCGCACAAGGTAAAAAACGTCCTCGTGCTTAAGCCTTCATAACTCTGGGACCTAAAAACAGGCGATACATAACAAAGCCCCTGGTAAAGATATGTAGTTCGAGACAAAGTCTAGAGTCGATTGGTAGATATTTAGGAACCGGAATCGAAGCCATCACTGAAAAAAAGATAGCCCCCACTATTTTCTCTTCTTCCCATTAGAGTGCCTTGTACCAAAAAATTTTGCCGGCAAAAAGAAAGGTCCTGCCCGGGATCGAACCGGGATTGCTGGTATCAGAAACCAGAGTGATGAACCATTACACTACAGAACCTCGCTTGTTTTTTAAACGTAATTTTCAAGTGTCCTATAACTTTTTCATCCCAACCAGCCCGCGAAAAGTGGCGAACTAATACCCAAGGTAGTTAACGTATTCGGTAAGCGAGTGGGCTATATAAGCCAGTGGGCCATCCCAAAAACACCATACTAAAGGCGCTTTATAAATACTTTATATCTCAACGGCCACAAAATATATTATAGTCTTATGACATTATAGTCTTGAAAATAGGATTCCTAATGTATTTACAAAATTTTAGGAATTATAAATAAGTATTAATTGAGTTGTATGTTTTTTTAACAAAACGATCAAAAATATGATGTATTTTTGGTAAAATCAACGAATAATCATGTAAATCTCCTAAGAAGTTTGGAATATAGCTAGTAATCTAGTTATCAACGTTCTCTATGAGCTTCAAGTAGTATCAATGAGTTATTGAAGAGATATAAAATCGCCTTTAGTATGGTGTTTTTGGGATGGCCCACTGGCTTATATAGCCCACTCGCTTACCGAATACGTTAACTACCTTGGGTATTAGTTCGCCACTTTTCGCGGGCTGGTTGGGATGAAAAAGTTATAGGACACTTGAAAATTACGTTTAAAAAACAAGCGAGGTTCTGTAGTGTAATGGTTCATCACTCTGGTTTCTGATACCAGCAATCCCGGTTCGATCCCGGGCAGGACCTTACTTTTTACCGGTAATGCGTAATTCTTTTTTTTATTATTATGGCTCGAAATATCTACCAACCGACTCCAGACTTCGTCTCGAAGTACAAATCTGTACCCCGGGTTCTATCTACCACCCCAGGTAAGAAGTCTGTCAATATAGATCTCGCTGACCTTTCCAATGTGATATTCTTCTTGGTTTATACCAACCGAGTACTGTATTTTATAGTGGTTATCAATTACATGCAATACTCCCCGCTCGCAAGAAGTAGTCTACTCTTGGCGGAACCACATTGACAGACTTCTTACGGGGCCCTGGGTCTCAGTTCATATACGGCCTTTAATGTTGACAACTACTGTGCGGCGGCCCTAAGCCGTCAATTGGCGCCTCAGACACCAACACCGTATAGGTAGATAATCGGGCAGCTCGCTCTCCGTAGCAAACATCAACTCTCCCTCCTTTCTTGTTGGCCCTACATTGTCGACGCCACAACAACAACCCCTCAGGTGATACCTGCTAAAATCCTCCGTGGATAACAACAGGCTACATGTCGAGTTAACAAGCGGTCGATCAAGCACGCATTTACATACGAGTAACTTTCTACAGTCTGACTCTTTTTTCCCCCCCACCTAATTCCATAGCTATGTAGGTCCTCTAGATACCCATAGGAAGGCTAAAGACATTCAGGTAGATAGGGCCCCACAGCTCCGTCCGGTGCCTCCTTGTGACGTTAAACCAATACAATGACACAAGGTCTATGGCCACATTTTGTAGTCGCTTTCGTTTATTTTTTTTTTTTGGCTGGACAGCAAGTAATATTATAGCTTTCCCACTACATGTATTTTTCAAGGTTCATTATAAAAGGTAGTACATACATAGTGTTTAGTAAGTACAAAAGGACCTGGTAACTAGCACCTGGCCACGTTGACTGCAATATATGTGGATCTAACCGGGAAGAAGTTTAACATCCCTCCAAAAGAGATCTGGGCTATGGCTCACATGTTGGGTCATAAATTAGATACTCCGTAATCTGCATCTATTATATGCAGCTTGTACTCCGGGGTCTTGCATTGATATTCTTTCTTAGCCATTGTTTAAACGCCGAAAGGGTGAAAGTTACCATACACAGCATGTGTTGTCCACCTTGATGATATTTATTTGGATGTCGATCTTCATCCCAAGTGGGACGATAGCTCAGTTGGGAGAGCGTGCGATTGAAGTTCGCAAGGTCGCTGGTTCGATCCCGGCTCGTCCCATTTCTTTTTGCATTTTCCCACTGCAATCCGCATGTAGGAAAAACCTGGCTAGCCGGATTTTTTTTTGTTTAACTAACGGATTTCTCTCCCCTTAACTAACCGCTAACCCGGTTAATTCACCTCCCATAGAACATTCATATTATATCGAAACCGAGTCAGCTAATTTCGACCAGTTAAAAATACTTCACCGTCCGCCTATTAGACGGTAGTGGTGACCCGGTGTTAGAACCAGTCAATTATTTATCCCTTGAAGAAATATAAGGATTGCTATACCGTAGTAAAGAAGTAGAGCTTTAGAAGATAGAGGAAGTAGATATATATATACCTTGTATTGGGGGTCTAGGATTTAGGAAAAAAAACCCCAAAATCAACGAACATTTTGCTACGTCTCAATTCATTAGAGTTTTGCCTACAACTATTGCATTCCGATCAAATTCATTTAGAATCATAGAGTCTAATGGTGCATCAATCGTCATCCCAAATGGGACGATAGCTCAGTTGGGAGAGCGTGCGATTGAAGTTCGCAAGGTCGCTGGTTCGATCCCGGCTCGTCCCATTAACTTTTTGCATTTTCTTTTTGTAAATCAATCGATCTACCTAGCTAGGTAGGTCTATTTATCCAGATGTGTGTGCGTGTGTGTTGTTGTGTATGTGTATATCTTGGCTTGGCTCAACAGCTTTGGAAACACCTCAAGTTCGGTAAGGCATTCCAAGAAGTCCCTCGGCAAGAGACGTGTGAAAATCGGTTGTTGTATTGTGGACGCGAGTATTGCGCGCCGAGATGGAAGGAAGGCGACGTGTTAACTTTATTGATAGATAGATGCATGTGGATAAAGGCTTGCTGTACATGATGGCCTGCTATAGTTATTGGGTGCGCCACGCGATAGTGAGATATCGGATAGCGTGCTATGCGAGACAACTTTAGCGAAGTAGTTATATCTATCCATATCCAACTCATTTTATTCAATCCAGGTACTTCACCCTATCGGAAGTTTCTTGGACGTTCGGGCAAAATTGAAATTTTCCTGTGGACCATGCTCTAGGGCCTATGTAGAGATAATTACATTCCCCAACTTGGGATCACCCATAGAGTGTGCACAGTGTCAGTCCATATATAGATAGCTCCTACTCATACACTTACTATTCCAGGGAAAAGAGCTCACTTCAAATAGCTTGGTCACTACGGTTTTTGCACCACTGATTTCGAAGCACTCGTCAAATTTTATATTAAGAACTTCAACATCGCCACGACATCGAAAAGAAGGAAATAGGAAGAACGTGGCTTTATTTACCCATATGGATCGTGGTAAAAAGCATGTCGACCACCATATCTTCTTCACGAGCTCCAATCCGACAAGCGACGTCCACCGCTGCTCATTCGAGGTTCATGATTTTGACACACAGAAGCTCGGCCATCAATAGCTTGCGTAGAAAGGGTACAAGTCTGTGTGGGGTGTTGGTTGGCATATTCATTCTCGTATCACAGGTCTCCGACTACTGGTGGGATGGGATGGGACATGGGACTGCCACATTGACTTTTGGCCTCTAATAGTTTCCAGCCTTGGTTGCCGCGGTGAATTTGTAATTGGTAATTTCTTTTTTCTTTTTCATCTAACAAGTAGGTTCACTATTTCGGGATTTGAAGATATATATAATAGACATGTGAAACTTGATTCTAATTGGTATATGATGAAATGGGGAATGACAATCTTTGCCATAGTAGAGATATACATCGTATCAGAACAACCACCCGAACCTCGCAACAGCACAGTGATCATGCGACTCACTGTAGACACAACAAAGAGCGTGTTCCAAACTCCTTCTCCACTGTTCCATCTCGCAATAACATGTCTCTCAACCAACGTTTCGCAGCATCTACATCCCGAGCGCCGAATTTGACTATGACAGAGCCTCGCACGGAAGCCGCAGTCCATGTTTTGACAGATGCACCTGAGTGAAAATCAACCGGTTCATGAAGTTTCCCATTTGCTCGAATACGCGGGAGACGGGAGAATTCCGCGAGAAAGAAGTCACCGAGAGCACGAAACATTGGACCCCGAATGATGAGAGTACCAAAAACCCCGAGACTGTCCATCTCATTTTTATAGCTTCGTCTCGTAGACGATGTTTCATCCAGAACCAGGCTATCTCGGGTCAAAAGCTTCTTCTTGGTTCCTTTTTCCGGATCAGGAAGTGACCAAATCTCATTTCGACCCTTCCATCCAAAAAAATCCCAGGCCTCGCCTATCGCAGTTCGTCCTTCGGAAACCCAGTCTAGGGCTAGTATACTGGACAAAGAACGGTGGACATGGAAGATTTGACATTGCTCATACAAACTGTCTTTGAATGGCTGTACTGGGTCCGGTAACAGCAGGAGCGCTGCTCCTTCCTCCACTGTGACAGTGAGGTTTTGGTGCGAACATATTGACATGGATGGTGCCTTGTACACCTTCGTGCTTCCTTGCGTAAGAAGGGCTAGTCGTGACTTCGGCCGAACTCTGATGTCCAAGTCTACACCGTCGCCGGCGACCAGCCCACCACCATAACTCATCATAAAGACGAGGACAGCACGGTCGGTTGGTCTGGATGGCGGCGACACGAGTTTCAGAGGATATGTACATGAAAGCGTGGAAATAGAAGAAGAGCCACAAAAGGCGTGAACTTCAAGTTGGCCGGTACCTGACTGGGGTTTTTGGGGCACCGCCATGGTGACTGTTCGCACTGATGAACCCTCACAACTTCGAGGGAGACAGCCACGTTGAATTTTTCATTTTACTAGTAGTAACGAATACTGGACTGCTGGGAATTGATTGAGCGTTCGCGAGTTGAATTTGGCGATATTGACAGTGGAACCATAAATTGAGTCCCCTCGGCGAAGAGAACCTGACACACACATGGATTTCCACTTAGGTACCATCGGATAATCTATAGTCGGTGGAGTTTAGCTTTTGGTTAAATTTTCGCATGGCAGATTGAACATGAGATTTTGTTAACGTCTGCCGCTTGCGGACAACGATGGCCGATAGGTCGTACCTTGAAGTCCTCCCCCACAGCTTTTGTTGGCCGAGCGGTTAAGCCGGCGATGACCAACATGACTGTTGGTACCTACATATTACCCACTCTTAAAAGGCCAAAGCGCCTATTTTATATGCAGGGCCGATCGAGTTCATGCGTGAATTCGTGACTAAATCCTTTTCCGCTCCATTTGCCGAATTTTTGAAAAAGATCTGCATCCCAACTTTCTACAGCCGGGCATTGAAGTGTATGTTGTACCTGTTAATATCAGCTTGTATCGCTTTTACGAGGAAAAGTTGACTTCAAATTGTGAATCGCGATGCAGTTAATAGCCCGTGAGGTACGGCGAATGAATACTTGATCTTCTATTCCGATAACTAACGAACAACCTAGTTGGATAAATTGGTCATTGCCCAGACCGGGCTTTTGGCCCAACGACGACTGGCGAGAGGAGTGAAATTAAACTATCCCGAAGCTACGGTACCTGCTACCTTCATCCCTTGGAACCCTGCAAGGTTCCAACGTTAGTGATATTAAGGACTGCATACTAACAATAGACCAGGCGTTGATCACAAATGTACTGCAAGAAGTATGTATCAGCCTCGGACCGAGCACAACACCTAGCTCTAACCATCCTTAGATGATGCGAGATGGCAAGCACGCCGCATCAGAGCTCATGTCTATCGGGAAACATATCCTTGGCCGCCGACATGTCCTTCCGCCCGTGATAACAATTCTCACAGTACTGCAGATTGAAGGAACCTTTACGACAGGAACGCATCTAGTTACTGTCGATCAACCCATCAGCAGCGAGAATGGCGATATCGAGCTGGCGATGTATGGGAGTTTCCTGCCCATTCCACCAGAGAGCTTATTCCCCTCATATCCAGAATCCGAGTATGAGCCTTTGAAGATGCCTGGAGCAATCTCACCTGGTGAAGGAATGATCGAGCTCAATCCCGGCAGAAAGCGAACCCAATTGAAGGTTACGAACAAGGGTGATCGGCCAATTCAGGTATACATCCTTTATTCTACATACGCCTCGACGAGATGTATTGATAAGATTTTGAATCCAGGTCGGCTCTCACTTTCACTTCATTGAATCAAACCCGGAGCTGGATTTCGACCGAATTAAAGCCTATGGCTATCACCTTGACATCCCAGCCGGGACTTCGACTCGTTTCGAGCCAGGCGATATCAAGACCGTGAATTTGACACAGATCAGTGGTCTCAAAACTATTAAGGGGGGAAGTAGTATTGCGACTGGAACTATTGACCTGTCGCATACCAATGCAGTACTGCAACGTCTCCAGGAGGAAGGCTTCCGACACAGTCCCGAGGAGGTGCCCATTAATATACAAAAGATAGAGCCATACAAGATGGATCGACTTTCGTATGCCTTGATATATGGTCCGACAGTCGGTGACTCGGTCCGTCTCGGCTCAACAGACCTCTGGGTGATGATTGAAAAGGACTACACAGCACACGGAGACGAATGTACATTTGGAGGCGGTAAGACTTTGCGCGACGGAATCGGACAAGCTGCTGGTCGTGCAGATGATGAGTGTGCGGATCTGGTTTTGGTCAATGCATTAGTCATTGACTGGACTGGCATCTTCAAAGCTGATGTTGGAGTGAAAGACGGCGTCATTGTGGGGATCGGAAAGGCGGGTAATCCTGATGTGATGGATAATGTGAACCCGGCTCTGGTGATTGGATCCAACACGGACATCATTGCCGCAGAGGGGAAAATCGTTACTGCTGGTGGTATCGACACCCATGTTCACTTTATCTGTCCACAACAGGTTGAAGAGTCTATCTCGTCGGGTATCACAACCATGTTTGGAGGAGGCACTGGTCCGAGGTAAGAGCACAAGTATTGGTATTACGGTGTCTGGAATCTGATATTCTATCCAGTACGGCCTCTGTTGCCGCCAATTGCACCCCGAGCAAGACCTATATTCGACAGATGATGCAAGCGTTAGACAAGCTGCCAGTTAATTTTGGCGTCATTGGAAAAGGCAGTGATACTGGCAAGCCAGGTCTTCATGATCAGTGTAATGCAGGTGTAGCTGGCCTCAAGCTGCATGAAGATTGGGGATGCACTCCCTCAGCAATTGACTCTTGTCTGAGGTAAGGGAATCTTATTTTCTCGATCACCGCAGATACTGATAGCCAGTACAGTGTCTGCGAAGAACACGACATTCAGTGCCAAATTCACAGCGACTCTTTGAACGAGTCCGGGTTTGTCGAGCGAACGGCAGCTGCATTCAAAGGAAGGACGGTCCACGCATATCATATCGAAGGAGCTGGTGGCGGACATGCGCCTGATATGATTTCTCTCGTACAGCACGCCAACGTCCTTCCTAGCAGTACCAACCCAACCAAGCCATACACCTGCAACACAGTAGACGAGCACCTCGATATGGTGATGTCCTGTCACCATCTATCGAAGAACATTCCCGAAGATATTTCCTTCGCAGACAGCCGAATTCGGGCGGAAACAATTGCTGCAGAAGATGTCCTCCACGATACCGGTGCGATCAGCATGATGTCATCTGACTCTCAGGCAATGGGGCGATGTGGAGAGGTAGTTCTTCGCACTTGGAATCTGGCTCATAAAAACAAGGTAGAGCGTGGCCCGTTGCCTGAGGATGAGGATACTGGAGCGGATAATCACCGAGTCAAGCGGTATGTCAGCAAATATACCATCAACCCTGCCCTGGCACAGGGAATCAGTCACGTTGTGGGCAGTGTTGAGGTTGGCAAATTAGCCGATCTGGTGATCTGGGAACCTGCAAGCTTTGGCACCAAGCCATTCCAAGTTCTTAAGAAGGGATTTATTGCTTCAGCTCAAATGGTATGTCCTATATCTTACGTCGATGTAAGTGATATACTAACAATTGCCATAGGGTGATCCAAACGCATCGTAAGAACCACTCTGCAATCTATAATCTTCTCCGCTGCTCTTATGGATACTTATTGTCACAGGATCTCTACTGTTCAGCCGATAATTGCACGACCGATGTTTGCGGTAAGATTAGTCCAGTCATCGCGTTATCCGTGAAATCTTCCGAGCTGACCACAATATAGCCTCTTCTACCCTCAAGTAGTGTGATGTTTGTTTCCAAGGCCGGCATGGAGAACGGTTCCGTTAAATCCTACGGCCTGAAAAAGCAGATTGAAATTGTGAAGAATACTCGCACGGTCACCAAGCTTGACATGAAATTCAACAATGCCACGCCGAAGATGGAGGTTGATCCCGAAGCCTTTGTGAGTCAGAGCTCCGTGTTTGAAACCTTAGAATTAGACACTAATCGTTTCCAGACCGTTATGGCCGACGGACTGCACTGTAACGCAGATGCGGCTACATCGCTTCCACTTACGCATCAATATTTTATATACTAGCCTGAACTTTGTAAAGGCTATGTGTTGAGTTAGTGAGTTAGTTCTTACGTACCAGGACTGCAGTTCCATGTAATTCTGGCGTTAATATGGCTGGGTGGAAGGGGAGCCCTATTTCCCATGTCATTTCATTGTATGTGCTGGAGTTGCCTTTAGTGCTCAAAAATACTTGCATCACAATACTTTCAAAGGAAGGATGGAATGAATTAAAAGAGTCTCTCTGTAGGAAAACCGGACAATAGTTAAACTTGAATTCCCCAAGATAAGTACAGAAAAACCAGAAAGCCAAACATAAACAATGAAACAGCAGTAAAATTGACTACATAATCAAAAGCGAACCAAAAAAAACCTCAGCGGGTATAGAAAGCATTTTCATTGATCTCATTGCCTCACAGGACAGGGATCTCACGACCATCCCTCCATAGGCAGCGGCACACCCTCCCATTCATTGCCCTGCGTCACAGGAGCACCGACCTCCTCCTCACAGGTCCCACCGAGCATCTCCTCAGCAGCACCCCAGCCCATAGACTCAAGTTCTCTCACAAAGAAATCACGCTCTTCTTCCATCATAGACGCACCCTCATCACCACCCATGACATCCTTGTACTGGCGCAGATGCCACCAGTGCGTGAGACCACGAAGCGCCTGCTCCAACGGCAAAGCCTCTTCAACCTCAGCATCGACGTCAGAGCCAGCGAGCCAGTCGTCGCGTAGCTCGGGACGACAGTACAGGTAGATAGCGGTGATGACGCGCATGTTACTCTGGCGCCATTTGCGGCCGCAGTAGGGGACTTGGGATTTGAAGAGTTTGAGGGTGTAGAAACGGAGGTGTGGGTCTGGGATTTTGAGTCCCTTGCGGAGGATGTTGCTTGACTTGTACTGCACTAGTAGCAGGCAGCGGTGGGCTTTATTGCGCGTGATCTTTTGCATCACGTGTAGGTAGTTGATGGCGGAGAAGAAGTTGCGGAAGGAGAATACTTTGATTGGTTCTTTGGGGAGGGGGGCGGTTGGGTAGCCTAGTTCGTCGACTTCGGGGCGTGTTGGACCGTCGAGGATATCTGTTAGGGATTCCTCTTCGGAAAGACCTAGCATACTGCCGTTTGCTGTTGGATCCGTGCGGTGGCGGGCGATTGGGGGTGGCATGGCTTCGTCTTCGCTTTCGGTATCGCCGCAGGAGCTTCCTTCGGTCTCCAGGGGGAAGTCCGTGTTGCTTTGACAGAAGTGGAAGAAGCTGAGTTTTGTGTTAGTGGGTGAGATAACTTAGCAAACGAGGTTGGGTAACATACGATAAATCCTCGCGGTCATTCTTATGTGCCACTGTTTGGTCCACGTCTTGGTGTGCGAACATTTTGAGAATCAAGGGGATATAATTCGAGTCAAGTAACAGCTGTGTCATGTACTCAAATTTCAAAATATCTTGGTTAGTTAGCAAAACGTCATTCAGGAAAAGAAACCGAAGTGTATACTCACGAGATCGCTTAAACCACTTCAGGAGAAGCAATAGAGTTCCAGACACGGCTTTACCGGTGATCTCGCGGAGTCGAAGGTTGTCTAGCTCATCGATAGATGCATCGGAAAGGAGATTGTGAGAGGAGCCATTCATGGAATGACTGTTACTAAAATTTGTGTTAGAACGCATTCGTTATTGTTTCAAGTGTCTGAGCTCACCTCATGCCCTGCGTAGTCTGGCTAGCAGCCTGGCTGACCACTGCGCTGACATTTGTCAGGATGATTTTCAAAAATACAATGGTGATGGACTGAAGGTGAGATAGAGTATTGGTCTGGTAAACAGTAAGAAAATGTCGAAATTTGGCATCGAAAGCGTGCACTCACATAAAACGAGTCAACCGCATCCAGACGGCGCTGGATATCAGGATCATCTGTCTCCTTCTCTACTGGTTTGGGTTTAGGTTCGGCCTTCTCCTCGTCGCCCGACAAATCTAGATGTTCAAAATCATCTGGTAGATCATCCGAGATGTTATCGGGGAAGTGAGCAGCGTCCTCGGAGTTCCAGCCACGGTCATACTGCATAAAGTGTTCACGCTCCTGCCAAAGCTGTCGCATTGCACGGGTCATTTTCACATGGGTCGAAAAGAGCTTTCCGGCTTCAATAATTGACGCAGGGACATCACTACCTTCCCATCTCTTTCCAACCAAGGTATCCTGGCGTTCCGTTGTGCCCTTCCCGCCAATGCGGTTGCTGGAATCATCTAAGGGAGGGTACATGAAGGGGAAATTTTGGTTGGTCTGATAGTTCTGTTTCTTCCCAGCTTTCCCACCTGGGCCGGCGGGGGATGGCGGCGGGGATGGGGCTGGGGTTGCGATATGAACGGCCTGTTGGAGGATAGAGCCATTTCCACCGGAAATCGAGGGGGCAACACCACAAAAGATGCCGCTGGACGAGTTCATCCTAGCTGCATTGTGTGGAAGAGGGGGTAAAATGGAATTGTTCTCTAATTCCAGCGGAACGACAAGTGGCGGAGGGTTGTAAGCTGGGTATTTGGAAGTAATTTCCTGGCGGAAGAGATGGTAATCCAGAGGGGAGGCGTGTAGAAATGGTGTCCTGCGTTTGGATTCTTCCTTCTCAGAGGACACAGCTGGCTCTAGTACCTCCTTTGCGCGCTTTAAATCATCAGTCCCGCCAAAAACGAGAAGCACGGACTTCCATAACAACAGAAGGATTCTGGTCAGCGGGATATTGGCAGATTCGTCCCAGCGCAGCCGAGCAATGATTTCAACAATGGAGACCAATAGACTAGGGTTTGAGCTGCTCAGCGCATCGCGGATTGAGCTGCATTGAGGGTCGCGCGCCTGTTGCCTGCGACCCACTTCCACAGCGAAGTATAAACTTGTAAGTACCAAGTTGGCCTCGCGCTCCGGTGCCGCAATATCACCAGGGTTGATTCGCTCGTAATCAATATCACTGGAGTCTGATCCGAGTGCCGAACGAGTCTTATCAAAAAGGCTGCACATGTACTGTACCAAGGCGGTAACGCCCGAGCATTCTTGAACAAGGGCAACATTCTCCTCGATGCACTGAATCTGCATTGACTTGAGCAATGGCGTTTCGGCAGCTGACTCAGAATTCCCATCTGAAGGATAGTCGGGCGCCACTCTCCCACCGCTGAGACCCCATACACCAGTGACGACATAGCAAATGGTTTCAAGGGCTTCCAATCGCGCGGGGGCTTCAGAAAGTTGCAGACCCTCAAGCACCAGAGCAATAAACGAACGGCGCAAATCCTTGGATGCGTCAAGCCAAGAAATCCCGGGCGTCTCTCGCTGGCGTCGCTGGCAAAAGGTGGGCCATTTCTTGTTAAAAGTCGCTTTCGTGCCCATCAACATGACACGATCAAAGGCGTTATACTGGAACCACTCATCGAGCTCATCGGGAAAAGATTGGGCATCGGCATATTCAAAAGCATAGGCTGGTTGCTCGATCTTGGGCATTTCACCCACAAGCTTCCGCAACTCCGATAGGCTTAGAGAGCTCGCACCCCGGTCCGTAGTCTCCTGGACGGGAGCTGGAGGAGGCGGCTGCATTGGAGGAGGTGGAGCGGAGCCTTCACGACGAAGCTCCGGTCGTTTCATAGATTTTTCGGGCGCAGAGGGCGCAGTCTCAGGAGCGGGTGCGGCCTGTTCCTGGCGGAGCCCCTCAGCCACCTCCTCCATGAGTTGGTCGTCTGAAACTGGCGAGATATCGGTCCCTGTTTGGTCGACCTCATCCGCCTTAACAATATGATGCTCCTGCATAGTGGCTTCGGGTGGGTCTGAAGGCACGTCCATCACTGGGGACTTGTTGACTTGTTGAGTTGTGTTCCTGGCAAAAAGTTCGGTGGATCACCAGGGTACCAACGCTCCATACATCAGGCAAGAAAGCGAAAAGAAAGGAGCGCAAAAATCAAGCGAAATTCATGCAAATGGACCACTACACATTTTGTAAAGTCTTTGAAGTGCACGAGGGGTGGTCGGTCGCTGCGGTGTTGATGCGGGAGCAGTTAACACGTGACCCGACTACAAAGCCGTTGTGTTGTTTATTTTGAGATTTACAATGAATTCAGTAGAAATACATAGAATGAAATTGATTTCAAATAGTTAAATCAACAGGCAGGTGTTCGCTCGCTACTATGGTAGGTATACGCTAAAAAGGGACATCCCTTACTCCGACTTCTTCTCACTAAGGCCGCGACGCTTCAATCTCTGAGCCTCCCAACGTTGCCAGCCAGCCTCAGCCAGGTCTTCACTTAGGACGAGATCCCGGATTCTGATCAACCGGGACACAGTAGTCTCCATGGCCCATTCAATCAAACCAGAGCTTCGAAGCAGGCTGGTGATCATGAACCAGCCACAAGCGCATACGAATCCAGCGGCACAGCCGGCAAGGACTTGTTTCGGGGTGTGGTAGTTGAGGTAGACTCGACTGGCAGCGACACCAGCAGCTCCAATACAAAGGGCCAGCATGACTAGGACTCGTAAGAGGACGGCGACATTAGGGTAGGAGCTGGCGGAAGCTTGGCTGTGACGGAAGAGAAGGAAAAAGGTGAGGTAGACGGAGAAGAAGGTCATGAATTGGGCGTGTGAAGATGGCATTCCATATCCCTTGCCGAACATTTCTGTAAATCACACGTGTCAGTTTGGGAAGGTACGCACGAGACCGTCAATGTCGACCACTTACCTTTCGGTCGCTCTTCCTTGATCAAACGTTTGAGGACAAAGTTCAAGGCTTCACAGCCCATTTGTCCTGCAAACATCAGGATGACTTCCACCTCTCTTGTTGACCAAATCAAGGTTGCATAGGAAACACATAGTGCCTGTGGGATCAGGGCTAGCCATGCTGAGGCAAAGGACAGTCGGTCCTCGGGGTTCTGGAAACATAGTCAGTGACAAGTCATATAATGGTTATAATGATGTGAACTGACATAGTGAACATGAGTCAGAGACAACGACGCCAGCGGAGTGTCTCCCATGATGTTAAAAAAGGAGTGAATAAGGGAAAGTTCAAAAGTTCCAGAGTCCCCTAAACTTGGAGATTCCCTTTTCAGGGATTATCAGGGTCAATGCCAAGACAAATGCCAAGACCGTCCTTATCAAGGCGATAAGGAGATTGGGCAGCGGGGACCTTCGACTTTCAAATTGTTTTTTTTTCTTCCATCTTTTTAGGCATCCGAGGAGGATTTGCCATTTCTTTTTTTCGGTTTTGAATAGTTTGGTGTCTTCTTTTTGATTTCTTCCTATCGTCTGTCTTGTGTCTCACTACTTCAACTTTCAAACAATGACGCCGTTGTTCTCTCTCCAAACCCCAGACTCTCTATTGCATCATCTTTTGGACCCCTCCCGACTTTCTGCCGAACATTGGCCCATAGAAGGAATACTCGGAACATCTTTATCTTTGGTTGGTTTGGATTTTTCCTTACGGTCTCAGTCGCAACGCTGATTCGAAGTCATCTTCCTGCAGGATATAACCCCCCCTTTTGTGCCCGATCGTCCTTAGTGACCGTTCACTTGGGATCGGTCATCATTATTACCTTGGTCAAGGTTTTTTTCTTCTTCTTTTTTTACGACAGTCATGAGCTATTGTTGCTAGAATTTCTTGCAGGAGACACCATTGTCTCCAAATTGCGATCCACTGGCATCACACCAGAGGCAAATATACAACCCGCCCCCACCTGAGAAATCTTCACAAGTGATCATACTCGGTTTCATCTCGCCATGACCGAACTCGACTTCCCAGAGGATGACCGCTCGGTCGAACTTTCCTCGATTGCTGCGATCTTTCCAGAAATACAAATCGATCCTTCCTCTCCGTTCAAAGCCGTTCTTGATCTTCCAGTCGCACCTTCCGCCCCAACCTCAATATGTTTTCAGCAACCGATCGATGCCGCAGCTGCTATCATCACACCTCCAACTTCATTAGATGAGTCTAAGGGAGAATTAGACCAGCCGCCCATTAAAGACGTTCATGCCCTCTCGCACTTGCCCCCGCTTAATCTTGAGATTGAATTGCCAGAGGGTTACCCAGCCGAAAAGCCGCCTATCGTTCATCTGAAAACAATCCCCTCATGGCTACCTCCCTCGGTCATCGATCAATTGTCCAGCGATTGCCACCGACTCTGGGAAGAGTGTGGAAAGGATCTGGTCGTCTTCACCTACATCGACCACCTCCAGCAGCTTGCAGAAACAACTTTCAATATTCAGGATCCGTCTGGGGAAGTATCCTTGTCGCGGGACTTGAAGATCGGACTACTGGACTACAACAAAAAAGCCGAGCGGGAAAAGTTTGAGCAGGGAACTTTCGAATGTGGGGTATGCCTTGAACCGAAGAAGGGAACCGTTTGCTATCGATTACTTCGTTGCTCCCACGTATTCTGCATTCAATGCTTGCAGGATTTCTACAACTCCTGCATCACCGAAGGTGATGTTGACAGTGTGAAATGCATGGCGCCGGATTGCGAGTACAACAAGAGATCTGCAGCTGTACCAGGCGATGGTCAGACCCCACCACGCAAAAAGCGCGATCGTACCCTGGGACCAAGCGAACTACTTCAAATCCCTCTAGCCGCTGAAACGGTTCAGCGATATGCATTCCTCAAGAGGAAGAAAAAAATTGAAGCCGACAAGACCACAGTCTACTGTCCACGGCAATGGTGCCAGGGAGCTGCACGATCCAAGCGGCACCCCAAGCCAGAAGATCCCATGTCGGATGACTTGGATAGTTCGGACGAAGAAGATGGATTCGAGCCCCGCAGCGAAGTAACAGGCGGAGAGCTTCCTCCCTTGGCGGAGCGTGTGTCTATCTGCGAAGATTGTAACTACGCCTTTTGCTGCGTCTGCAAGAAGGGCTGGCATGGCGAGTTGGTACGCTGCTTCCCACGCCGCGACGGCGAGCCCACAGAGGAAGAAAAGGCAACCGAAGAGTACCTGCGTCTGTACACTACCCCTTGCCCGACTTGCAACGTGCCCTGCCAAAAGCAAATGGGATGCAATCACATGCGTTGCTTCCAGTGTGACACACACTTTTGCTATCTTTGCTCGGCCTGGCTGTGTGCAGACAACCCATACAGACATTTCAATGACGAGAAAGGCCAATGCTTCAATCGTCTTTGGGATTTGGAAGGTGGTGATGGCATCAACCCCGACGGAGCCGAAGCACTCCACCGCATCCCAGATGCACTCCTAGACTTTGATGACGACCCAGCAGTGGTAGCCATCCACGAAGAACCCGATGAAAGCGATGACGACCGCCCCGCATTTGAATTTGATAACGATGAAAACGATCTCCACCGACACCCCCCTCCTCCCGCTCCCGTTCCACCCCAAGTCAACCGTGGTGGTGGCAGACCTGGTCAACGTGATCATGCAGCTGCCCGCGCTGCAGCAGCTGAGCGTCAAGCCCAAGCTCGCGCCATGGCTGAGGTACGAAACCGAAATGTACGACGACAGGCCAGACGCCCTATCCAATGGGCAGAAGTTCCCCCCCAACGTCTCCCTCCACAGGCAGGCGATCCTAGACGCCCTGTCCGGTGGGCGGAGGTTCCTGCAGAACCATTGGCAGACGAAGAGGGCCCAATCCGATGGGAGGCTATCGCAATCCGACCAGGTCGAGCACAGGCACATCCTGGCCTGCAGCGATTTTTGGATTTGGTACAAAACGACCGTGAAGATGAATGGGACAGTGATGAGATGGATGATGACTTCTAGATCGAGATTCTATGTGCACGGCTCAACATTCGACCGCATGAGAGTTATCATATTTTCTTCCCATCCAAAAAGCGTCTTAACGACATTGATGCATACAACGAATTCATGTTATTTTCTTTCCCTTTCTTCCTTTCCCGATTTGTGTTTTCATCAATTCCCCCTTTGTCTTCTGTCGCATTGCGTTTCGCTTCGTTGCTTTTTTGGTTATTTTCTTTCTTTCGTTTTTATTTGCTTCTGATTTTCATATACTAGGTCTTTCTTCTCTAGCCAAGCGCAGGCAGTGTTTATACATACTTTCCTACACATATAGCGTGTGTCGCTAGCGCCTTGCTTATTTGATATTCTGCTTTTCTATTTGATGCTTTCATAATTTCAGCATGGTTGATCGTTTGACTGTCTTTGTTCTTTGACAGTAAAACAGGGGCCATATGGTTTACTATCCTTATGGTCACTTAACCGGACCAGATGTATACAACAGCTTTGCATCGCCTGGGTATAGAATACTATTTTGGTTATGGCCACCGTCTTTCCAGATTCAGGAAAAGTACCTGTACTACTTACGTAGTTCGAGGAACCATTGCCTCTCTCGTTGGAGCTAAGGCTATTCCTACCATATCCGTAAGATATTTTTTTCTCAATGAATTACTCGGTTCATCTCTATCTCAGCAGTGACTCTATCCACACACGGTCTTCATATAAAGCGCCAGTTTCTTATTGTGATACCCAACCCATGCTCTAATCCCAGCTTTAAGATAGGCTAAGTCAAAGACTATAATATCTTTCAAGCAGACCCTATAAGATTATCAAGAAAGTTAATAACCCCTACCAACTTTATCCACATCTGACTCAGCTGGACTAAAAACCTTGGAAGGGCTTGACTACATTGGGATCCCGCCATTTGGGCTTTTGTTGTAGTCGAGTCATAGTGCTATTCTAAAGCATGAGAACGCTTTGTCAAGAGTGCCCGACCTTGGAATATCTAAGCTCGGGTGTATAGAGCACACCTCGACTATTGTTTAATAATACCCAGTAAGCTATGGACTACTCATTAGAAGTATAAGAAGCTGTATAAAATTGACTATCTCGGGGTTACCATCTGCATCCGGGGTTGATTGGGAATCACCGTTGTACAATTGTCCTGCCCATAATAAATATCACCGTATGATTTTGGCCAGGAGAAACTAATCTTGCACGTTGGCTTGACAGAAGCTTCGGCAGTGTTGTCTTCATCGAATTGTTCATAGAGGGTTACACTGAGTGTGTCACCATTTCCTGGATAATTAACCTCTACAGATTGCGCAGTAAGCCTGAATTCAGAAACAAAGACGGGGCACCCACTTACTAACACTTACTAAACGTATCGCAGACAGGTGTATCGCCATTAGCGGTAACCCACCCCTCGTTCACATGCTACACCAATGGGGAGTTTGCATGATGATTGGAAACGATAGCCTGTTTGGTCTTCGCCAGACCCTCGCATACAGGGATATTGAAGAATCCAGGATAACCGATTCTTTTCACATACTGATCGGCATTATCATTCTTCTTAATCTCATCCTTGTAGCCGTTCTTGTTGCCAGCGTTCTCATATCCGGGTTAAGGGATGTAGGGTAAAACTATGAAAAATATAGAAATGAGTAAAAGAAATACGACGGGAATCCAACTATAAGGTTTTCGCTTCCCATCTTCTATTGAGAGCTACAAATGCTTTATACTACTACGGAGTCTGAATAGTGATACTGTCGAAGGCTGCGCTTGATAGCTTGGGGATATCATTTTCCAATACTCCAAGGTTGATATCAAAGTGCGGACCTTGGATAAATATATTTTGAGGGAAAGCTTGTTTCAGGTGAGTAAACATCGCATTTAAGCTTATTTTGCGTGGAACCAATCAGGTTCACCTTGTTAGAGCCTCAAGCCGCCGCTGTACGAATTAGTTAATCACGTTAAACAATGACATTTCTTCATACCATTTCCCGACTATAGTTATTGAGCTTGATGTGTAATATTGACATAGATATTTTGTATTGCTCAATTAATTCATTTGACATGCATTTGTACAATTAGATACTAACACAGGTGGATTTGTTGGTTTGGATGATGCTTCTTACACCCATGATTCAAGAAGCGTAACCGAATTTGGTGATTGTAATTAACCTCTCCAGTCATGCCAGAACTCATAGCTCATGACCGTGAGATCACAGAATAGCAGAATCAACCTGTAATGTCGAGAAGGGTGGTAACCATGCCAGGTCTCATGAGGTTGGTAGATGTCCGAGGCATAGGCATGGGTTTCAGGAATAGTGAGGTTCGGGTCTTCGGAGTCAGGGCTAGGATCCGGGTCAGAGGGACTGGAAAACCCGTATTCGGGCGGGTCTGCGACACAAGGCTCATCTTTATCTGGGTTGAGCAGACGGTGGTTGAATCTCAACCGATCTTTGGGGTTAACATCCCGAGGGATACAAGGGACATCTGGCGGTATCTCAAACCCAGGCATGGGGCTTGCAGAAATACCCATAATAGGTGGTGTTGGACATCCATCGTCCCTGTCCTGGTTGGCGAAAGGGAGAAGCCAGTCTAGGCGAAAGGTGTGGCCAATTTCCTCCTGCCAAGTAAGAGTGATGATGGCAACTCCACCGGCCTGGGAGGCGGCAATAACGATCCCAAGTTCAGGGAGGTACTTGACCAAGTTTAATCGATCACAGGAAGAGAATATGGTATCTCCTACCATCGATTCAAGTGGATCCCGACAGAGCGACCGGAATCCATGGTCCAACGGATAAGGATCTAAAGTTATGTTATCTCCAGAGAAGTGGAGAATAGGGAAAAATCGAGGGTTGCATGCTGAGTAACAGGTTAGCTATCTAATCCAATAAACCGAGAGATATCGCTCACTTACGATGGCGTATAAAACCGTGTGAAACATAGTCGTCAACAGCAGGATCATTGCCCCACTGCTCATTTTCTTCTTCAATCAAATTGGCAATACCACGTCTCACGCGGATGGATTGACGGGGTGGAACCACCTCATAGTCTTGTGATAATTCAGTGCTGGTAACAATGCTGTCACTAGCGCTGGCAGGAGAAGCAGTTTCCGAGGCCTCTGGAGTTGTATGATCACGCTCTGAGCCCAATGATGGAGGTCGAGATTCAATATGAAGACCATCGGGAAGAAAAACATCTTCTGGTAGAAATAGCCTCGTGATTGTTGCACGTTCTTCAAGCGCAACTTTCTTAGAAGCAGCGGCCGATCTCGACTCAAGAAAATCAGCCGAATCTGACACTTCGAAAACCATCCGACCATTCATCCGTTTTAGGTCTGGTTCGCATCCACAGGCATCGAACTTGAATTGGTGCTGCTGAACTCTGCGAGGATGCAAAGGAAAGACAAACCAGCCCCTTTGTTCTTGACCACTCCCAGGACAATCATAACTGGATGTATTGACAGGAGTTAGGTTGTCCCAGACTCTCCATACAAAGACTCGGTTGAGGATATCGGTGCTGACCATCCACAGACCATTGGGGTCCAATTCAAAGTTGGCAAACGACACGCATGGGATGTTGTCAAAATGACCCTTATAGCTGAGCCGCAGGTTGCGTGTCCGATGATGGGGCATGTCCTTTTTCAGCTCCTCCATCGACAGTGCACTGTCTATCGACACCCATGTGCTTTCCAATACATCAGAGCCTCCCACATTTGAGGTCTCAGAGGAACTAGGACTGTTACCGTCATTCTCAGACACAACATCCACCAACGCGAAAGCAAAGACTGTGATAACGCCCGTGTTCGCGCTCACGGCAATCAACCGAGCAAATTTGTGGGTGGCTAGGCCCCAGGCACTTAACTGAACATGTTCAGTGAAGAAAGGCTTTACTTCATGCGTATCAAATGGTCGACTGCCTCCATATTCGGCGCTCCTATTGATTGCTGAGAAAATAGCCTCGACATTGTAGCCAGTAACGTTTCCAGAGTCTGTCGCTAACAGCAAAACCTCATCAACTCCCAGATCATCCACAATGATATGATTGATTGTATGAGGCCTAGAACGGTCGATGTATCCTGGCGAATTGGGTTCTTTCATCACCGGGTGAATGATCATCTCGGGTTGGGAGCCAAGGAGCTGGCGGGGTCCACTGGGAACCCATACGTATATGCTGTCGAGCTGAGCTGTAAAAAGCAAATTTCGACGCTGTGAGAGGGCCGCCTTTCAAAAACAAAGTCAGAACCGAGGAGAAATTATACAGTCGAAACAGCAACTCAGTCAGTAGGTACTCACCAGGTTACACCTCCAAGTAGATACAGTTGGCCTAGAAACATCACTATAGCTCAATGATAATCAGCCACAGTGCATTTAGGCAGTACAAGTATAAACACCCACCTAGGAAACTAGCACGAGTCAGTTCATAGTTCTCACGTGAGGTAACTTAAAAGACAAACATACGCGTTCCTCTTCTGTCTCAACATTCAAGATTTGTACCTGGGGCCGATATCGCGGAAATTCCCTCTCAGTATCCGTAGAGCACGTGTCCTCAGAAAGAGAAGACATTGCTGTAGGCTAAGGGTGCTTGTTTTCAATGGCGGAGCGCAGAGAAGAATACTTCCTTGGGTCTGAGCAGAGAGAGTCGTGAATAGTAAAAGAAGACGCTTGTTCTGTCATTGCCAAGAGTATAAAGTTCAAGCCACAAGAGACAGAAGGATGAGAACTTTGTAAACAGATCATGATCAAGCTGGTCGGAAACACCTCCATGCTGCTGCGGGGAGGTGCAATCATCCGATGATGGAATGACTGACCGCCCGCGCACGGACCACCATGAGCACGTACAGACCTACAGCTTCGAGGGATTTAGCTTTCTCATTACAACATAGATTTCTTCAACACAGTTCTATCGCATGATGGATTTGGTTGCTGGTGTACGCAAAGAAGGCAGCCGGTAAGCTGATTCACTGGTTATCATCATTTTAGATATGTTCAAGTTCGCTAATTTTTGTAATAGCGGCGGCCGCAATGAATTCAAATGGTCCGACGTCCAAAGTTCCGCGCACCGCGAGAACTACCTAGGCCACTCGGTAATGGCCCCAGTCGGCAGATGGCAGCAAAATCGTGATCTCGGCTGGTATGCCAAGGGAGACGAAGACGAGGAAGAGCGAATCCGGAAAGAGCGAGAGGAACTTCAACGTGTCAAGGAGGCAGAAGAGGAAGCAATGGCCGTCGCTCTGGGTCTCCCGGTGCCCCCGAAAGCATCCGAAAACGCCAACATGGTTCCTTTAGGAGGACCAAGCAGTAACGACATAGTGTCAAAAGAAGAAGAGATGCCAGATGTTGGAACAAGGGAAAAAGACCGCCGCTCAAGTCACCGACACCGACGCGAGCGAACCCGAAGTCCACGACGGGAAAGGCGACATGACCGCGGCGATGATACTGCACGTGACAAGGACCGGAGGCACCGCAGACATCATGATGATCGAGAGCGCCATCATCGCACCCATCGTCACAGATCACGATCTCGCGGTCGAGACCACTACAGACGGCGTTCGATGTCCCGTTCTAGGAGTCGACCCAGCCGAAAAGACGAGGAACACCAGAAAAGACGACGGATGGAGCGCAGCTACTCACCGGCTGAGCGCCGGCGACACCCCGAACGCAGACGAGACCGAGATGACCATGATCGCCGCCATTGAGCTACAGACCAGGGATATAAATTGTTACATTAGCTTGGCGTTGGAGGAATCGATTCAAATGTCGGATATAATTGATTGAGTACAACTATCAATATGACCATCTAATCTATGTGACGAACCTTTTCACATCGAGGCTCAATAGCTTACAACTCGTCATGAGTGGTCTTTTCAACTCCGGCCAAATCAGGCATGGACATCATGTTCACCACCATACTGGTCCAGCCGGTAAAGTGCTGTGTCCGCTGGCCATTGCCCGAGTCAGGGTTGTACTGTTCCCAAGCGAACCCAGTCTTCTTCCACTCACGGAAGACATTCTCGACCAAACTCTTCCGCAAGTCGGAGTACATCTCCCGCGCCTGTTCCTGGTGAGGACCGGAAACCGTTGCAGTGTCCTGTGAAGGTTCTGTCAGATTTTGCGGGCAAATAAATTAAAAGATGTAAGCACTTACATAGAGATTCTTCAACACCAAGTAGTTGATGTTAATCCAGATAGGGCTTCTCCAATAGTTCTCCTCGGTCTCGTAGAACTTATCCTTCTTGCTCAAACTGCGGATACCATAATCACTCCACAGCTCCTCGGGGTCACCGATCAAGTCCAACACAGCCTTGAGACGAGGGCTGTCAGGACCCAGCATACCAGTCAGGAAGGGGAAGATGGAGATGTAACCCTTGTGGCAGATGTGGACACTCTCTTCGTATTCATCGATAGTCGCATCACAGAAGGTCTGCTCCTTCTCGTCCCAATGCAAGTCATCAATGTTGCGAGTGATAGCGGTCTCGTAGTAGGCGAATTGCTCGGCATCTTCTTCCTCACCGAGGCTCTCAGCAATGCGACGCATAGCACGAGTCATCATTCCCATCCAACTGATCAGATCAACATGCAGCTCACCGGGGTGCGGAGGCTGAGCTCTGGGGTAGTCATCGATGCCAGAAGTGAGGATGTGCTGAACGGAACGCCCGCGCCAGCGGTAACCTTCCTTGGTCGAGAACGCTTCACGGTCATACGACTTGATATCACCGCGCTGAGTGTTTCTGTACCAGTTGTAGTGCTTCTTCAGGAGCGGGTAGAATGAACGAAGGTATGCTTCAGACAGTTCCGGGTGTCGGACAGTGGCAGAGCGCAGGCTCGCGGTTGCATCTTGGTTGTCCAGGGATTCGAACTCGTTGCTCTTGTTGTTGCTAGTCTTGACTTTGTCCATGAATGCTTCCAAAGCCATGAACAGAGTGGGCGGGTTTGCGTAATGGGGATATTGGATCGTAAACTCCGGGGGTACCTTGCTGCGTGCCTCTTGACCGAGAATTTGTTCACGGGCAATCCATCCATCCTCGTCCATCAAGTGGAACCAGCTTTTGATAATCTCGAGTCTGTAAAGGTCAGCATATCAGCCAAAGCCAGTAAATGAAAAGAAAGTAGCTATGAACGTACGCAAGGTCGGTATCGTATTCGATCACAGGCATCAAATGGAAACCTTCGTCCCAAAGGAACCCCCTAGGGAAGAACGGCCGGGAGGGAACACAAGTGAAAAGCTCCTTTGGGCCTTCGATAACAGGCTGTACGGCAGCCCTGGCCTCGGCGGTCTCTTCCCAGAAGCCTTCATTCTCCTCTTCATATGCAGGGTTTGCGGACCGATCCACGACATCATCACCGTGGAAGAATCCAATGCCACCAATAAGGTTAGACAGCATTGCCTTGGAGAAGCCCGAGTACTTCGGCGAGTCAAATGGTGCCTGTGGTGGGAGAAGTTGCTCAAAAGTCTCAGAAAATGAAGCCGAAGCATCATCAATTTCTTTAGTGAGGGTTTCCGAAGTCAATGGTTCGGGAGCGGAGCCAGAGGAGAACAGGACATCGAACTCGAATGCACCTGTGAAAACCTTCTGAACAAGATGAGCATTGCCCTGGCCAGGCTTATGCTTGATAGTAAACAGCTGGGCCGGGGGCGGAATGTTCTCTTTTCCATACTCTTCAAGGGCTTCATCAACCTCTGCCTTCAGTTGAGTGAAGAAGATTCCCTTTGCTTGCCAAAGTTGCTCCTCTGGGAAGGTCACACTGGCTACAATGCTGCGATCCAATGGCTTGTCTGTGGAGCTAGGATGATTGTAGCGGGGGTACGAGTTGGTCTCCGGTCCAGTGGTGACATCGATAGCGAATTCACCAAGTTCAGTAGAGTATCCTTCGAGCTTGACATTACCTTCCACGCCAGTGGACTCAGAGGATGAAGAATCGGCTCCCAAGTGACCGAAACCCTCAAGAGTGGAATAAAAGATCATTGAGATGGGCTGGTCGGGGTCTGCGCCCTCTGTGGGCGTGCCTTTGACTCGGAATCCCCAGCTACCTCCGTGCTGGCCACCGGGAACTTTGATGAAATCGATTGTCAAATCCAAGCTGTTCCCAGCATCGTGAATGGTTTCCCGTCCACCCTTGCGGATATCATACTCGTCCCAGCCATACCCAGCCATTCCTTCATTTTGTTCGCATGTGTGTCTAAAGTCTTACGTGGATATTAGCTTCAAAGTTCACCAATGGAGCCGAGATACCAAAAATCACATACTTTGTTGAGCACCTGCATAATCGTCAACCTTTCCCCAGATCAGTCCTGCCGTAAGACTCTTTGGAATGCGAGGACGCACTCCAAAGTAGAGATTCGACTTGTAGGGTCCCCATAGCAGGGACTCGTTGCTGGCGCGTCCGGCCTCTCGAATCAAGACAGACACATCATTGGAATCTTCGCTTGCAACAATCCCAGTTGCACAAAGCAGCGAAGTCAATAACGCTGAAATTCTGAGGTGACGCATTATGTAGCCTCAGTCAAATGACTGCTGTCCTCTCCGCGGCATTAAGCTATAGGTGTATGTACGTAGACCCTCTTACCGCCTACCTAATCTAGGCTAGTCTCATATGCGTACCAGATAATGCCTACGAACGTCACCCGCCTTTCCTTTTCCGCTTTAGTGCTCCCCTCGTTTACACGCTTGTTCATATACTACATATGTTATGTCTCATGAAAAATGCATTCAAAATTTCAGAAATATGTGCCATCTTTCTTATTATAGACATTGTGGTATCAAGTATGTATTCACATAAACTCGCGAGGATCCAACGATCCAATCTTGGCGCTCTTCGCCTTGCCATCAAATACAAACTCACTCATGAGCTTCCCAGTACCCGGGGCATTCTGGATACCCCAGCAGGTATGGCCAGCTGCAATATACAGTCCCTTCACATCAGTCAGGCCGACTAGTGGCCCAGCACCAGAATCACAGTTTGGAAGATAGCAAGCTTGGCGAGCGCGAACCTCTCCGTCGCGCAGCTCGTCAGAAATACTACCCACATGGTCTATGATTTCCTGGCAGCGTTCTTGGTCAACCTCAACATCTGTAGTAGTCTTTGGTAGCGGGACTGTTCTATCCCCGTCGCCACATGCATAGACAGTGGCGTCGGGACGCGCGTAGATCTCTGGCGCAGCCACGGTTGGGCGTGACTTCTTTTCAGGGTTGAAGTCGGCCGGGATTTCGATGTTTGTAAACAGGCAGTATGCACTGACTGGTTTCTTGGGCTGGATCACCACGCTGTGGGCCCGCATGGCTGAAATCGGGACCTCCGGAAGGATAGTGTTCGTCCACGGACCAGCAGCAACGAGCACATCGGTAGCGGCGATAGTTTGTGTTTCACCGGATGTTTTATCGGTGTATGCTACTGACTCGACAGAGCTTGTTGACCGAGCGATATCTGTAACTTGTCCGAGAATGATATTTGCGCCCTTCTCCTGCGCGAGCTTTGCAAGGGATGTAGTAAAGAGGTATGGGTGCACTTGAGCGGTTTCGCCCGGTCCACTCATACTTTCATAGGCCCGCAGAAGCTCTGGCTCAATCCAATCCAAGTCGTGGGGTATTTTGGCAGACCTCAGCTTAGACATAGCCGCTGTGCTGCGTTTCTGGAGGGATTCCGTATTTCCACCCCCGGCTTTCCCTGCAGTATTCTCGGCAAGAGCACGACCTCTCACGACGAGTTGGCCACAATTGACCTCTCTGTATCCCCATCGGTTGATACCATCATGCTCTTTTGCAAGTTCGGCATGCAGCTTATAGCTGAGACCAACGAGGTTGCTCGGAAAAGCCCATTGCGCCAGCATACCACCCGCTTTTCCCGATGCTCCGCCTGCAATTTCAGAGGCCTCGATGAGTGTGATTTTGTGACGGGAAGGGTCATAGGATGGGTGTCTGGTGAGGTAGTATGCAGAGCAACATCCAATTATGCCACCACCTGTGAGTATTTCGGTCAGCGAGTTGTGAATATAGCGCGCGGGGTACGAAATACTCTGTTCTTACCAACAATAACAATCTCACGCCGGTCTCCTGTCGACGACATCCTAAAATTTGGCGTTATTTTGGGCGCTAATGATCGTAACCAAGCCACTGTGTAGGAGGTTGTAACTGTCAAGTTTGGACTGCAGGTGTGCTTAGATACAGAGATGCCTACGTCACTGGAGATCTAATATGCCTGGTCATATGTCGCATCCGCAATCAAGTCCACCATGACCGGTTTTTTCTACAGGATTGATTATGAATCATTCAGATAAAAATTTTTTTTTTTCTCACTAATATTTGAACTGATTGGTAGTAAATTCACAATGGATTGGGCCAGTGAATAGAAAGGTGAAATATCAAGCCAACGAAACAATACTCCGCAAATGCATGTCGTGTCAAAAGATGGCAGAAAAATGTCCAGTGTTTTTGAATACAAAGAAAGTAGGAGACCGTTGAAATACTAAAGATGTGAGGATTCATCGCGAGGGACTGAGAGGCCGGTTGAAACCGCCCTGGCGGTTCATGTACTGTCGGTACTCGATCTTCTTCTCCTTCCGCACACCATAGATGTCGTTTCCGGGGATTTTGGTGTTCTTTGTAGTCCGGAACCTGCTGAAACCCATGGTCTTTCGCATTTGTGCTTCCATTTCGTCCTCGTCCGCATCTTCCTTGAAGTCTATGTCCATCTCATCCTCGTTGCGACCCGGTGCTCGTTGCGCGCCAGTTGCCTTCCACCCATCATCTCGCGATCGAGGATCTTTGCGGTCACTCTTGGGGCCTCGAGGGGGTGACCGGGCCTTTGTGCCATTGCGATGCGGGGATCGGGAGCGCGAACGTTCGCGGAACTTAACGCTTTTGGGTCCATTACCTGATATTAATATGTTAGCAACGCACAAATACTCCAATAGGATAATATTTCACCAACCTCGTCTATCCTGGTTGCGCTCCCGACTGGTGCTCCTCTTTCGGTCTTGGGTCCCGCGCCCATCTCTGTCTCCGTCTCGTCGATCTCGGTCGCGGCGATCTCGAGACCAGCTCCGTTCTCGCCTTCCATCCTTGCGTTCTCGCGAGCGAGAGCGATACCGGCCGTCGCGTCGGTCATCTCGTGGAGCTGGTGAACGTCTGCGGTCGTGGTCTAACTCTTGATCTGGCACACGAGACCGTTTATCGTTTGAATCCCACATGGTAGAGCTGTCAACTCGCCGAGGACGCTTTGCAGGTGGCTCCGCCATTGTGAAAAAGGCCTGGTCTGGTTTGGGCGTTGACCCGTATGGCGTGGGTGTTTGTTGCTGCCGGGGGCAGATGAGGATGGCCTTGCTCAAATTTCAAGAGCTTGAGCAATTAGAATAGGGATTAAAGAGTAGAAAAGCGAATGCTTCTAGGGATATAAACGTAGAGGGTATCAAGTTGGCGCAATGGGTGTTGGCCTGGATATCTCAGGACCAAAGAGAAGTTTATTCCGGCTACGGGTAAAAACCAGTTGCGCACTTTGTGACATGGCAGGTGACGGATGTATAACTCTACAAACAACATGGACTTGTACAGCTTTGATTCACTTTTAATAACTGCTTTGATAGGTGTAAATAGAACCTTGATGCGATATGTGATACTACTGTAGCTTTGAATAAGCAAAAGGAAACCCAGTGAAATATATTATACATGCAGCTATATATTCACGACATGTCCCCATCAGTAAGCCCCATTGTCGACACCGAGAAAGCATTGCATTGGCATCGTTCTTGCAAAGTTATAATAAATCTAATAGCTGGAACTCGAGGGACGGGATAGGATATTAGAGGGCGGTAGATGGGAGAGCAGCATTACAAACCCATAGCAAAACAAAAGCTCAGCATATACCACCACTTGATGAGTAAAGGAATATGGGCTGGTGATGCACTTGGTCTCTGGATGAACAGACTAGTTCAGAGGATCATCGTTGTGATTGTGATTCTGAGAGCCGGGGGTGCATACTACAACCCACAATCTCATATTTGACTTTCGAAGGCAAAGTGCGGTACGCATGTGCATGTCTATTGTTTCTCTATTAATTGTCACTATTCTAGTTTTAATAGGGCCTTCGGAATAAGGAGAAAGCCATCAGCGGAAGCAGACTAGCAAGAACATTGTCCGACTCAAGCCTCTCCAATCTTTTTCATCTCCTTTTCCAGAGTATCCAAAAATAGCTCAGCCTGATCATCTGAGATCAAATCCGGTGTATACTCAACTTTCCACAACAGCGCATCGTCTCGCTCGCTAGAGCTCACCTCTAAATAGATAGCACCAATGCCGGGCAGACCTTTCCAGTCAAATTGATCAACAGAGGTCTTCCCGACCGGTGGTTCTTCAAACTTAGAATCAATTGGAGAGTCGACGGGTAAGGGGACGAAAATAGAATCGTTGTCTTGTTCAGCAGCAGAACCATTGAGTTGACCCCAAACAATGTTGACGATGACGTTAAATTGCAGCTCATTCCCCAATGCTTTCATTTTATCACAGAGAGTCCGAAGATCGGCCTGATCATGGAGATTCCGCTGAACCAAGTCATGCTGCATGGCGACCAAAGCCTGTGGAGTTGGGGATGTCGCAGCATCTGGGATTACCAGTGGTAGCAAGTTAACGGTAGGACCTGCCATATCTTGGATTCGGGGATACTCGCTTGAGCGCCCAGATTGGAAAAGGCCAAATGTTGGATGAGAAATATCAGCGGTACGCGCAAGACTGCGACCCACTGCCAGCAGAATCAAAGACGGCACGGAAACTTCGAGTCTCCGGCATTGAACTTGTATTTCGTTGAGCTTGCGAGAGAAGATGCGCTCAGAGGATCGAACGTGGAGAGCACCCTCATGACTAGCAATACCTGGTCCGAGGATAGTCCGTTGACCCATTCGGAGTACACCTTCCCAGTAGCTTTGTGTGGATTCGGAGTTCGCTGCTTGAAGAGTGCTGGTTACGAACGAAGGAAACTCACATGGAGGTGCTAGGTTCTCTCCCTGGTACAACGCTTCTAGCTCTTTGACAAGGATTGTAATCGCCCAAGCGTCATACAAAGCATGATGCAAGGTAAGTACAAGAACATCCGAGTTGGGGTGCTGGATTATATGTAGCCGAGCAGGAGGTGTGAAGAGATCCGAAGGGCTACGAGCAATGCGATGAACCAAGTCTTGAACCAACGCATTCAGGTCTCCAGTGGATTGCTCATTGTACATTTGAACTTCTCCATTGGCTTTGCTCGCTTTTTGCACAACCTGTAAGACTTCATTTGAAGACACGGCTGCGAATGACGTGCGAAGGATTGCGTGTCTCCTCTGTAGCTGTAGCCAGGCGTCTTGAATTTGTTCCGGGTCAAGCTTAATGCGACTGTTAAACGAAAACGTGAATTCCCACAGTTGTCGTTTGCTTTGGAGCCACGCAGATATGTAGAATAATTGGCCGCTAAGGCAAGACATGACTGCTTCCACGCTATCTTCAGATAGACCCAGTACATCCAATGCTTTGATTTTTGGATCCGAGTCGACAATGGAAATATTGGATTTCACCACTTTTGCTGACCCAAGAGTTTGAGTGGGCTTATTGGCAACGAGCATCGCGATTCCCCGAATTGTCCGCCCTTGAAGAATATCGGCCACTGAGACCATCAGTCCAGCCTCGCGACAACGAGCACTAACATCTAGCGCCAAGATGGAGTCGACTCCAAGAGCGAAGACACTGTTCCCCTCCTGAATTGTGTTCATCGATATTTGGGTAATATTTGAAAGGACTTTCCTAAGTATTTGCACGTTTTGGCCCAGGACAAGTGTGTCTACAGGCTGCTCAGCATCTTGATGCGGACCCGTGGCGACCAAGGGCAAATCACCGAGCCCAGAAGGGATATTGAGAACTTGCTCATTTTCAGATAAAATGGAATTCTCAATATCCCTAGCAAGATTCTGTATCCAAATGCGCAGCTCGTGGTTATTCAGGAAATCGCGACTGGTTACCCGGATCACAAGACATTCGTTAGTATGGTCGAATTCCACATTCAGGCGGTGGTGGGGAACATCCGGCTTGCGAGTAAATAAGTAGGGTTGGAAAAATGGGTCTTTCTTTGAATCTTTTGATTTGTTGAAAGTAAAAATGGCATCGAATAATGATGAGTTGTCTCCGTTAGTTGTCAGCCGCCATCTCTTTTGAATGAGGCTTAACGGGGCATGGTGGTGAGGTTGGGAGTCGATGCAAAACATTTGGATATCTCTCAAGGCCGTTCGGATGCTCTGCGAAGCAGAACCAAGTTTCAAGCGGAAGGGTACGGTATTGAACAGCGGGCCAATAACTGAAGCCGTAGGATCAACATCAAATCCTCGTCCTGATACTACGTGACCAAAAACAACGTCTCGCTGACCAAGAAGTAATGCCAATGACCTCCCAAAAGCAAGCAGCGCCACGGTCTGTAAGGTAACATCAAGTGAGCCGCATTGACGTTGCAATGTGGCTACTGAGCTCTCAAGCTTGGTCTCTGCCCACTGGACACTGGTCGTTGGGGTAGAGGCTGGAGGAGACTGTAGTTGTGGGTATTGGTATCCTGCTACTACATCAGCCCAAAACTGGACAGATGATTCTTGCGTCGATGTGATCTGACGTGCTACTGGTGCGAACGAGTCAACACGGCTTTGATGACCATGGTAATGTTGCTCCACACAAGTAAAGAGCATGGCAAGAGAAAACCCGTCGTAAAGACAGTGATGCATAGTTACAACCATAAGTCGCTGGGAAGGTCCAGTGAGAAAAATGATCTGCCATGGGGGTCTGTTAAAACTTTTGATGTTCGGGTAGGCAGCTCGCTGGGATATTTGCTCAACAGCCTCAGGAAGTGATACAACATGTTCATAATGTGACCACTGTATGACAGCAGATTGATGGACTGCAGCATGGAATTCACGGCTTGCCTGGGGCCGGTGAAATGAGGTACGAAGGATATCGACCTGTTGGACTACATTTTTCCAGGCATTGATCAATTTATCGATGTTGATTGTGCTTGCAAGCTCAACTGAATGGTGGTGGACATATCCTTTGCCCTCGGAGCTCAAACATTGGCCAATCATTGCTGTTTGTAAGGGTGTGCAGTGATAGGTTTCAATAATTGAGTCGTCTGTATCGAACAGATCAACACACAAGTCTTGATCAACGGTAGTCTTCTCAATGAGCGGTATACTGGAGACGACGTTTGTGTCATCCAAGGACTTGTGGAGAGTGCCGATAGATGGGTATCTCAGAATATCACTGGAAGACACTTTAAGTCCATTCTCCTGTAAGCGCCGAGCCAGATGAATGGAAATGACAGAGTCAATTCCCAAAGCGAAGAATGACACATTCTTCGATACCTGTAACTCAGGAATACCGGTAGTCTCAGCCACAGCTCGGCGAATAACGGTTTCACTTTCGGTCCATTGCGTTTCGTCCCATCTGACCTGCTCTTTTCTCTGTTGTTGAGAGATCGTTCCAGCATCAATGATGGCATCCCCATCAGAGAGCAAGTCTTCAACAAGAGTGGAGATTGCGTCGACCAACGCATGGCCTTGCTCGGTGGAAGAATCGTCACTGGAAATCCTCAAGCGCAAAGTGACTGCGTCGTGATCTGACTCCGCTTTAATCTCCAGAGCAAGAGGGTAGTCCACTGACATGGAACTGTCCATTTCCAACAACATATTGTAAGCTGGTGACCGAGGACCAGATGCAAGATATGAAAACATCGAGTTGAAAAGTGGACCGGACGCATTAGCGTATCGCTGAATATCGCGAAGTGGTGTATGTTGGTATGGTAGGGATCCAATAATGGCCTCAGTGTGCATCTTTATCTGGTCAAGCACTCTCGATTGACCAGAAGGAATCTTAAACCGACCAGGGACCGTTGTGACGAGGGGGATCAGCATTGATTCCACTGACCCTACTGGAATCCCTCTGCCATTCATTACTCGCCCATAGATGATGTCCCTTTGGTTCAGGTGCCTTGCCAATGTGATTGCCCAAACTGTTTCCAAAACCATGGACGCGGTAGTGGAATTTTGGGAGGCGTATTGGGAGATTTTGGATAATGGGAAAGCTAACTTCTTCTGGACAATTTCATATGAACCATCATTTTCTCCATGACTGGGAATGATACCTGGTAGGCAACCAGATAGATAGTGAGTCCAAAATTGCTCGGCTTGCTTTGCGTCATTGGTAGCAAAATAATGATAAAGTGGGGTGAGATCAACTGGGGTCATGGCTGTCTCCCCAGTGTAGTGCTGGTGAAGCCGGCTGAGGAAGATATCCATACTGGCACCATCAAAGATGGAATGATGGATGGACAGCATTAACCACCCCGATCCCTCGTTGTTTGCTGCGCTGGCCGCAAGAAGATGTAGTGGGGGCTTGGTCTCAATTTGGCGGACGATGCTTGATGCGATCCCAGTTTGAACACTGTTAAACAGACTCCGAGCGGTGCTTTCGTCCGATACAGGGATCTCGGTCCATGGGGTGCTAACAGCACGAGGTTTCAAAACAACCTGTACTATCCTGTCATCTGCGACATGGAAGCAGGTGCGCAGAATCTCATTCTCATGTATCAAGTCTTCAAAAGCCATTCTCAGCGCAGGAAGCGTGATACCCGACCCCAAACGGCACATGATGTGATTGACATACAAGGGGACTGGGCTGCCCACGGAATTGGAGACAATACTCTCCTGAAGAGGAAGACATGACCGAACCACAGAAATACAGGCGCCTGCGAATTGTTTCTGGGATATTCGGAAGACTTGGTCAAGTTCCTTCATTTTCCGTGAAGCTTCATCTGATTGGTCCGAGAATAATTCTCTAGATCCTTGGCCTGGGGCTCCGTAGGTTCTCGGCAAACGTGCAAGCCGTACAATTGTAGGATTGGAAAGAACATCGCCCGCCGCACAAACATAGCCCGCCTTGCGCATCTTGGCAGCCACACCGAGAGAAGCGAGGCTATCGATCCCAAGCTGAAATATGTTCGAGGCTCTGGTGATACTCTTTGGTCCCACTTGCAGCTGAGAGCAGAGGATATCACGAACCTGCTCCTCGTCTGTTGTCAAAGCTGTGGTATCTGCCTCCATGATCGCCCGAGCAAGCTGAGTGGCTGTCTCTCCGGACCCCAGAAGCAGATCTGACACAGGGATACTTTCATATAGTGCCACTAGACGACGGTTGTCTGCTTTCCCTGAGATTTGAATTGGAATTGAACTAACAGTGAGCAAGACACTGGGCACCATATACGCAGGTAGTTCAACGCGGCAGCGCGCCAAAATATTTGGCACCCATTTCTGGTATCTGTCCTTTAGAAAAGTGGGTTGTGTTGCAGTATCTTTTGGTCGGTTACTGGAAGAACTGATGAAGGAGATTAACTGAGGGCGTTTCGTAATTGGAGAGGGCGCCACTATTGAGGTGACATTGACTGGAAAATCTGTACACCGACGGACCACCACTGAAACCTCTTCGAGCTCAAGACGCTGACCACGTATTTTAGCCTGGCTATCTTGCCGGCCCAGGTACTCAATGCAGTTGTTGGCCATCAAGCGCACAATATCTCCAGTGCGGTACATTTGTTGCCCATTCAAATCAGTGAAGCCGCCTGCGTCGGGTCTGTGATGGTACCCATTAGCGACTAAATCACCCGTCACGCAGAGCTCTCCTGCCTGGCCTCGCTTGACATATCTCGTCGTGTCAGGCTCCAAAACGTGAATTGTTATATTACCTACAGCCGTACCAATATTGCGCACAGTAGACCGAGGCGTTACCGTGTGGCTTGTCATCCCAATTGTCACCTCAGTCGGACCGTATGCGTTCACGAGTGCAATAGATGGTTTGCCAACGAAGCGCTCAATGATTGTCTCTGAGATCTTCTCCCCTCCGACGCCGAGATATCGCAGATCCGGGAGCTGCTCAGCGCTAAGACCAGCATGCTCAAGGAGTGAAGGAACAAATCCGGCATGACTGATCCTCAGTCGACTCAGAACTAGAAATAAGTTGTCTAAAAGCATGGTCCGAGGACCTGTTACCAGACGAAGGCCATGTCGCCAGCCTAGCACCATCTCACAGATGTGTACATCGAAGGCCCGACTGGCATGCGCAAGATAACTTCCTGTGCCTTTCAACTTTAGGGTATCTGGTACATCCCGACAGATATATTCTGACTGCGCTTCAGTAAAGGCAGAGAGATTTCCCCGACTGACAAGCACGCCTTTGGGCGTCCCTGTTGACCCAGAGGTGTAAAGAAGATAACAGTCATCAGTTGGTTTAGGATTGAATTCAGTGGCTGGTTCAATTACCCAGGTATGTTCAAGAAGCTCGGGGTCTTCAATATCAATCACTAGACAATTCTCAGGAGGGACAATTGTCTTAGTGATGCTCTTGTCCGTGAAAAATGCCATAGCACCACTGTCTGTGAGAAGGAAGATCTGGCGCGCCGCCGGGAGATCTTCTGCCACAGGCACATAGCAATTTCCACTTTTCCAAATTGCCAGAACAAGTGCATAGGCCATGAAAGAGCGACTGAGGCAGACTGCAATGGACCGATTGCGCCATCCATGAGCTTTAAGCCATGCACATAGCTGATTGGAGGTTTGGGACAGTTCATCGTACGTCCATGTTTGAGAAAGAGTCTCGTTCTCACTGATATTCTCTATTATCTCGAGGGCACTCCACGTGGGATTACTGGATGCCCAATGGTCGACCCAATGTGCAGGGGATATGAGGGGGGCTTGTTGGAGTTGGCTACTAGCCAACGGTGAGTGGACCGAAAGCAGGTCATTGGGAAAGGATTGTGTAAGATCCCGAACTAATTGGGCTTGTTGGGAAGACATGACAACAATGAGAGCATTGATCTGTCTTAGCACCAGCTCCAAATGGGGTGTATCCATCAAATCAGCTTTGACATATAGGGTACAGATGGGCACGCCCTGTTCTGAACGTTGGAAGTTGAGCTGCATCGGAGCGCTGAAGGATGCCATACGTGTCTCGTATGATTCCACGTCCAAGTTCTGACAAGTTGAAGCATCAGATTGATGCGTAAAGAGCGCATTGTATGGTGTACTGTTTGACGAAATACGCAGAATCTCACGAAGCTCTTCAAAAGGCAGGGTTGGGAGCGTGGCTCCTCTTGCGGCGAATCCATCAATTCGAGATAGCAAGTCTATCACAGCATCATCGGCGGAAATCAAAATTGGGAGTGGGGTTATAGAGTCGCTATCTCTAGGATTTGACAATGGCCAATCCCCTAGGATCACCCTGTCTGACTCGATATATTCGGATAGGATACATGCAAATGCCGCACGAATCATTGAGACGGGTGAGGTCAGATGAGATTCTTGTGCCAGGCTCTCCAACCTTTTCCACGACACACCCAGTGCGAGTGTTTGCGTCAGCACTGGAGTGCTACCGGTTAAGGCGACCAAACGGTCACAGGATATCGTGGGAAAATTTCTTTCAGGACAGCCCACAAACTCCGCCAGCTCCTTTCTCCAAAAGGTGGCACTGGAATCCTTGTCTTTCGTTTGTTGCATATAGAATTCCAGCCGATCAAAACTTGATATAGTCATTCCCTCCTCCAATTTCCCTCGATAGGTGAGATTGCCACGCAACGAGTGCAAATCAATGCACAATAGTACTCGAATCTGTGAGACATGAAGTAAATGTTAGCCATTGATCTTTCATGCAACAATGCTTTGTTCCAACTTACGGAATTTGGCAAATCCACCGCCATGTCTGCTGCCTCTACAAGGCGCATTCCGAATTCCACGTTATCCGTTCCTTCAAGAGCAGCCTCGTACGCCTCCCACGTGAGAGCTTGAGGTTCAGCTGTGCGCTGCGCTATCACGATTGCGTATCTCGCGGTTGAATCTGCATCCTCCGCCATGATCCAAAACGAGATGTGACTTTGATCACTCACGGACATAATCCAACGGGCATATCCATGAATCAAGAGACTGATACCATCTGATTTTCCCACTCCCTGCAAACAACTGACGTCAAACTGCGCACTCTGGAGACCCAAAGATTGACTCGTCTCGGTCTGCAATGAGAATGCAGTGGTTGGGATGTTTGGTCCTTCCAAGTGAGCTGACGGCTGCAAAGAGCATTTCCATGGCTTGGTCTGAGCTGACATCTTGGATTCGTTGATGAGGTCAATCTTGGAAATTCCGCGTCACTGTAAGAACTGTGAGCTTGCTTTAATGGTTAAGAGTTACAGCCCAAAAAAAAGATCAACAGTCTTACTATGTACTATGCTTCGGCATAACGGTTAATACATGCCGTTTGGTACCGTCACGCTCATGCAACCCTAAATTCTCACCACCCGTACGGCAATACACGCCCCACCACTTGTATTTTTCAAAGCTCGGAAACCGGGAACAACGGTCCAGCGCTTGAAACAACTTGTATCATCAAGTGGACACATCTGAGGATCTCGGAACTGCGTATTTCCTTTTTAGTTTGAGACATCTTGGCAGAGAAGAAGCAAATAGACATTTTGTCCTTAAGAGAAAACTAGAAATTCCTCAGGGGCATCTATGTATCTCATACATTGTACGCATATTGAAATATGTATGTTAGTCTTAAACTACGCTGTTTCCCAAGCTGCCTATCATCCACTACATACTTACTTACATATGTAGGTATTAGTAGGGTATGACCGGCAACTTGCGCTAGTAAGAACTGAAAAACGATATCTGATCTAGATTTACAGGATTAATAACTACTAGTGTCTTTAATAGATTGGGAAGGTGACGTCCCCCAAGCTGTATCAATCAGTACTAGGACTTCACGAAAATAGTGGTCAACCCCAATATCAAGGATTTGTTACACACCAGAGTAACAAAACATGGCCATATTATACTCACATGATGTAGCCAGCGGTTTACAGTGAAGTTGCACCACAACAGACGCAGCTGAAGCGTTATGGAGTTACCTGGTTAGGATCATGTTCATGTCCTAGGGCTAGCTCAATTCAAGACATAGAGATGTAAACTCATGTAACGGATTTCAAAATACCGAATCATGCCACCATTCCCAGACAGGATTGATGTCCGTGATTTGGATTTGTGTGGTAATCTCTTGGTCACAAATTGCTTTTCACTGTGGACCAATTACTGCGCAGCCTCACCACAAGCGCTAAATCTAGCCTACAAAAAAGTTATTTTGTACCCTTGCAATAATAAATGCCGAACTCGGTGCTAGAAAAGTGGCGACGCCTATAGACAGAATTATGTGGTTAGGTCATCAACTAGATCTTTTTGATATTTATTGCTCCTGTTAGGACCCTCTGAGAACCGTTTCGATCAGGATCTACCAATTTTCCTTCCTTTTCAGACAGATCACTTGGCTGTCTCAGCTTGTTTCTGTCATCATGAGCCAGCCTGCATCTAATCCTTCTAAATTGGGCGCGCATTCACTTCCGGGTCAAACCGGTACGATGTCTACAACAGACCCTGGAAAGGCTGAGCCATCACTCTTAAACCAGAAAGAACTTGGAGAGAGGCCTGACGGAATTGTCGAGGATGGCCCATCTGGTGTTCAGAAAGCCGAAGCGGTAGTGCTTGCATGGAGCAAAAACACCGTGTGGGCCATTTACGCTTGGTATGTGAGCACTTCTGGGCCAGCCACTCACTTAACAATATGGTACATTGATCAGGTTAATACTAACGTCTCATTTTAGGATTTGGGTCTGCTTTTTCATGTTGGCGTTCCATTCATCGATCGGCACCAATGTGATTTTCAACGCTTACGCCAATTTTAATACCGCCCCTCAAATTTCGACCGCAGCTATCCTAGCCACAGTCGTAGGTGGTGTGGTAAAGCTTCCCATCGCCAAAATTCTGAACGTCTGGGGTCGAGCTGAGGCCCTCACTATCTTTACGGCACTGTTTTTGCTGGGGACAATCATATTGGCGTCATGCAATGGGCCCAATGGATTTGCGGCGGGATACGTTCTGTATTGGGTTGGCTACAACGCAATCTATTTGATCCTTGATGTCTTCATTGCTGATACATCGGGATTGAGGAACCGAGCATTTGCGTTTGCCTTCTCCAGTACGCCTTTCATCTGCACGGCGTTCACAGGTCCATTGGCTGCCCAGTCTTTCTTAGATATGACAACATGGCGCTGGGCATACGGAGCATTTGCCATCATCTTCCCATTTGTCTTTCTGCCCCTCGCTATCGTGTTCAAGTTCTACGAGATCAAAGCCAAGAAATTGGGTTTGTATCACAGAGCGGAAAGCAACCGCACTTGGTCTCAATCCGTCGTCCATTATGTCCACGAGTTTGATGGTGAGTACCCTTCCCCTTGTGAAAATAAGTTGCACTCAATTATTAACGGTGAATAGTCGTCGGTGCCCTTCTGTTGATGGCAACTTTTATTTTACTATTGCTGCCGTTCAGTCTGGCAATCTATGGACGAGCCGAGTACGGATCGGCAACCTTCATAGCTATGCTAGTCGTCGGCTTCTGTCTGTTCTTTGTCTTTATGGCATGGGAAAAGTTCTGCGCTCGCAAGCAATTCATTCAGTACGATTTGCTGAAGCAGCGGACAGTCCTCGGTGCCTGTCTACTATCGGCTATGCTCAACCTCGGATACGCCGCTTGGGATCTCTATTTCCTCAATTTTGTCATGGTGGTGTACGACCTCAGTGTCTCGGACGCAGGCTATATGAACCAGATATACAATATTGGATCTTGCTTCATTGCGCCCGTGTTTGGTATTTATATCCGACAAACCAGACATTTCAAAAATGCTTGTCTTTTCTTCAGTCTTCCCTTGATGATTCTTGGCTCAGGGTTGATGATTCACTTCCGCAGTCAAGGTGACGGAATCGGATATGTTGTCATGTGTCAAATCTTCATCGCCTTTGCTGGTGGTATGTTGGTCATCGGACAGGACATGGCGGTGATGAGCTCAGCGGATCATGACGGTGTGCCGATGATGCTTTCAATTCTTGGGCTTTTCGCCAGTCTGGGCGGAGCTGCCGGAAATACCGTTGCCTCTGCCGTCTACGCCAATGTCTTCCCAAGCACTTTATTGGCCAACTTACCTGCGGAGGCACAAGCTAATTGGACGGATATATACCTTGGAGGGTATTTAAAGCAGATGAACTATCCCATGGGATCAGGGATTCGGACCGCCATTAACTTGGCCTGGGGTGATACCCAAAAGTATAGCTGTATCGCAACCACTGCTGTCGTGGCACTGGGATTGCCTTGTATTGCCATCTGGAAAAATGTGAATGTCGACAAGAAGCAGGTCCCTGGCACTGTCCTTTAAACCTGACTACTATTAGATAGCCTGCCATGGTCGTTGATATTTAATCGGACAACACCGTTGTTTCCGGAGATGAGGAACTTCGACTGTATTTAGTATATCGTTGCTCTCTTCATGTCAGTTTTAATATTTAAATTTGGATTAAAATAATAATCTTGCCTTCCTTGCTGCTTCTAACTTCCTTTATTTTTCTTTCTCGGACCGAATGTAGTTGCACGTCTCCGTTATACAGAAGTTGGCCATTTCCTTTTATTGTAACAAGTAAGTGGATTCATTTATATCAATTGATTGTCTAGGTCAAGCTATCTGGTAATATCTTATCATGCTTCATCTGTATTAAACGAGTAGTCAGGTCCCCTGGAAACAAGCTAGAAAGAACAAGAATAGAATACATGAAACAATACCTTCAGTGGGCATAGAGGAGGATCAAAGGAGATCCTCAAGCCTTCTAGGCCTAGTGCAGTAGAAATATATGACGTGAATTATTTGAAGCAAGAACCAATTAATTTCAATAATAACAAAATATATCTCTTGTAATACGTCTATTCTGAAACATAGATCCGACTGGAGGTCAAAGACACCCCCAAATCCAATCCGACATCAGGTGGCTAGTGACTGATGCAACACACTCTCTCGATACATCTTACTCCGATCAACAAGCTCCGTGTGGGTGCCGTGGTCAACGCAGTGACCATCCTGAATGAGGAAAATCTGATCCGCACGATATATGGTCTTCAGCCGATGTGCAATAGCGATGATTGTAGTTTTTTCCGCAAGGTTAGACAAGGCGTCCTGAATCTTTCGTTCAGATTCACCGTCAAGAGCACTGGTAGACTCATCAAGAAGTAGGAGACCCGGCTTTCTGATCAAGGCCCTTGCGATGGATAGACGCTGGCGTTGACCGCCCGAGAACTGCTTTCCATCGTGCGTGCAGAATGTATCGTAGCCGTCAGGCAAGCTCATGATCACATCATGGATCTGAGCTTGCTTACAAGCTTCCTCAATATCTGCTTGTGTGGCCATATACCCGGGTCTTGCCCCGAGCCCTATGTTAAAGGCCAGGGTTCCCTCGAATAAAACATTCTCCTGTGGAACAAGCGCAATGTCGTCCCTGAATGTCGTCGACAATATACGGTTGATGTTCTGTCCATTGATTGTAACACACCCGGACGTGGGTTGATAGAACCTTTCCAGCATGTTGAAGATGGTTGATTTCCCTGAGCCACTGGGGCCGACCAGTGCGTAGAAGTTTCCTGGTTTGAAATCGATACTCAATTCATTGAGCACCGGAATGTGAGATGATTTGGGGTATGCGAAGCACACTTGGTGAAACTTTGCACCCACTGGTCTTTGGCAATTTTCAGAAGAGGCTGCATCAGAAGATATGTTGGCCTCAGGATCTGTATTTGGCATTTCCATCTTCATCATTTGCTGTGTGTAATTGCCACCACTGTGTTCCTCCTCAGCGGAGTTTGTTTTCACAAGATCAACAACACGTGAAGCAGCCTTTCCAGCCTTCGAAACATCTGGTGCCAAGGCAAGCATCTGACCACACGATTGTGTGCTGAACAGAAGAGCCGGTAAAACAATAAAAAATTGGACTTGGGAGTATAGCCCTGAGGCAATTTGCTTGGATCCCCACCAGTATGCAAGGGCGCTGATGAGATTGCTCACGCTGAAGGCCCATGCCAGCCAGAAGTTTCCCCAGGCGATCGCCTTTGTAGTATTCTTATATGGCTTCTGGATTGATGACAAGAACTCCTGATAGAGCTGATTCTCGAGTGAGAAACCTGCAACGAAACGTAGATTTCCCAAGGCCTCCACTGTAAGCTCCGTGGCACGAGAAAATGCTTTCTTATGTCGCTCCGCAAATTGGCTCTGAACACGTAACTTCATGAATCCGGCCACCAGGAGAACAGGGATTGTCGGGACCAGAACAATTGAGATCTTCCATGCCACAACAAATGCAATGATAACTCCCGCAAAAAGATTGACTGCAGTCGCAAGGAGAAGCCCGATGGTGGTCCCGGTAAGGCCACTAATGGCTGATGCATCACCCGTGATATAGGAAATGAGAACACCGGGGCTTCGTCCCTCAGCACTGTGCCATGTCATGGTTTGGTTAAGGAGTGATCGAAGTGAGTTCATGCGAATTCGGTACAGTGTCTGGTCTGCTGCCCATCCATAGGCACACCCGCCGATGACATTCGCGAATAGTTCGACAATTCCCACAACGAAAAACATCAGACCGAACAGGTTTCCGCTGTGTCGGATGTTTGCGGTACCTTTGCATGCACTAAGCCCTCCAACGGTATTACCAAATAAAATAGCGTTCGAGCTGTAGCTAGCTCCGATGATTGTTGACATCACTAAGCCTAAAAGGATGAGAAGGATATTGGGACGGATGAAAGCGAAACAAATTTTTGCAGTGAGGAACTTTGATGGTTTAGACTCTTGCTTCGACAACGTGGTATCGGACTCTGCTTTCGCCTCAGCAGGCTTTTCTTCTTCAGTCAGATAGACACTCTGCTCTTTGTCCGCCAGGATCAGATCTTGGTGGTGTGAGCTTTTGGTCTCACTCAATGTATCTTCTAAGCCATCTATTCCAGAGTTGGCGAGTCTCTGTTGATTAATCATTGCGGCGTACGCCCCGTCACTCTCCAACAAACTCTGAGGAGAACCGCTTTCCACCAAGCGGCCATTCTGGATGACAATAACTTGATCCGCATCCCTGACGGCAGCTAGACGATGGGCAATAGATACTATCGTGGTGGTTTTAGATAGTGTGCGTAAGGCGGCCTGAATTAACTGCTCACTCATTGAATCGAGTGCAGCAGTTGCTTCGTCCAAAATAAGCAGTTTGGGTTCACGAACAAGAGCCGTGGCAAGAGCAATGCGCTGCCTTTGGCCGCCACTGAGCTGTCCACCAGAAGTTCCAACTGGGCTAGCTAGACCAAATGCTAGAGACTCAATAAATGAGAGTGCATTGGCCTTGCTAGCTGCCAGCTTTGCCTGTACGAAAATTTCAGCAATCCTGGGGTCACAATCTCCCAGAGCCTCCTCTTCAGAGCATCCAGCCTGGATTCTGGCCACAAGATCAGCCAAGCTCATATCCAAAATAACTTCAATCAGATGCTCGTGGTCGGCAGATCCAACCAGTCCATACGCGATGTTTTCCACAATGGAACGGTTCAGCAGTTGGGATTCTTGCTGTACAAATCCCATTTGGCTTCGCAAGCTGGCCACATTCAAGTGTTGGAAATTTTGTTCTCCGACGTAGATGTTTCCACTTGATGGATCATAGAAACGTTCTAGAAGTGCGACGACGGTAGACTTTCCACCTCCCGAAGGACCAACAAATGCGGTATGTTGCTTTTGAGGGATGGACAAGCTCAACCCTTGCAAGACTGGAACCTCAGCCCGGGCAGGGTATGCGAAATGAACATCCTTGAAGTGGATCTCTTGTTCGCCCAAGTTCACACTTTGCTCTCCAGTAAGTGATGTGCCGTCGATATTGGAGTCCCGGTGAATCACCTCCAATAAGCGCCTCGATGCGCTAGTAGCAGCGCTGAAAACGTGCATATAAGGGGAAACTTGGCTGAAGATGAAGGTTGCTATTATTTGTATTAGCCAGTGAACTGAGTGAGTACGTTAGTTACGTTGATAGGAATCTTACCATCAATCAGAATAAAGATCACAGTATACACTGCACCAATGGAGACTCCGGAGTTCAACCCATCAACGGAGTCTGCTATCAAATGGGCTCCTTTCCAGTATGCCAAGGCATTTGACGAGTAGACTATAAAGAAAAGCATCCCCATTTGTGTAGCATGCACGGCAGCCTTTTTCAAGGCATCCTTTCGAGTCTGAATAAGATGAGAAGAAAAGAGGTCCTCTAGACGCTTTTGGGCATTGAATGCATGTACAATCTTCAAGTGAGAGAGACTGGACGATGCAATTGAAGTGGCGAGGTCGACCTGCTTGCCTACACGGGTACCATACCGTGACGCAAGACGGCCTCCAACAAGGGCCATAGCGAAGAAGCATGGAATCACCGCAATCAGGATGCCTGCAATGACAGGTACCTTGATGAAGGCCACAACATACGCCGTGACGAAGTATGACAACGTAGCAACGTAGATGCCAACTTTTTCTGAAGTCCCAGATTGCAATGTCTCAATATCACTGACCAGTCGAGAGATGACCTGGCCAGAGGGTAGACTGTCATGGAATGCTGCTTCCTGGCGGATTACGCTGCGGAAGTAAGCTTTGCGATAACGACGGGCTAGCCGTTCGCTCACAAGAGCCCAGCATGCCGCATAAATGTATATACTCGCAAAGTTGAAGATGGTGATATAAATGAGGTATAAGACTTTCGTTCGAACAGAGGAAGCATCGTACACCGTCGCAGAACAGGCGACTTCGTTGAGTTCATTGATAAGTTGACCAAGCACGACACCAAGTAATGGCTCAGGAATGCCTGCAGCAATGGCGAAGAATGTTCCCACAGTAATGAGCGCGACATCAAAACCGGTGTAATTTAACGAAAAAAGAAGCCGGACGAATGAAAAGGCTGTTTCCAACTCCTTCAGCTTGGAAACGAACCCGGACACAGGCTTGATCTGTTGTAAAATGAGTCAGTATCAAAATTGGTATGGAATAGTGAGATGGTTCTCTTACAAACCAATGTCCTGGTCGGCTCGCCGTCTTTTTGTCCTGTCCATCGCTATCAACAGTCTCTGATGTCTGCATGACTGTTTCTCAGGGCTTGCGTGAGAATAGAAAGGGATTTCTACAAAAAAGAAGCAAATGAGGTTTTGCTCAAGGTGTGTAGGAGCCTTGCCCTCGAAATCTTCCCGCTACTAAGCCACTAGATCCCACATAGCCACGGTGAAAACCTGAGGAGCTCCAATGTCGCAATGTTGATCTGTATTTTACAGCTGTACACTAAGTGCAAAAATACATACACCCCATAATAAAATACTAGGACTCTTATCAGATTAGACCCATTTATGTCGCAAGCCACGGTGGGGCTATTCTGGAGTGCACTGGCAACCTTGCGAAGATGGAATTATGTAATGTTTGAACATCCAAAAGGCTTCGTGGGTTTAAAATTACCACCTAATTGCTTGGTACGTAAATACTATGTAACTTGATCCTTATCAGATCCGACCCACACTTTATGTCTTAAGCCCGATGGGGCGCGGGCCGGTACCCAAGTTACAAAAAATGACTGCTTAGCTATATAGTTTCTCAATATGAGAAAATCTTTGGTTTTCAAATCGCTCCGAATTGCTTGTTATCAGTCATACAGGTTCAAATTTCGCTACAATATGGCGTTTTTTTGCCTTGGGAATCAATGGGCTGCTTACAGGAGTGGGTGCCACATCAAATTCTTGGCGCACCCTCGCATTACTTGGTAATATGGCTTGTCGTCGCGCCGACGGCAAGTACAATCAATTTAGCTTTTTTAGAACTGCAAAGTTCCGGTCAGATAGATTAAAAAACCGGGTAAGTTCCGAATACCCAGGACGTGTGAAGATTCACGGAGGCAAATTTTCCATCCATATAGTATGTGTGGCATAGCCTTGCTTCATGTGGGCTCGTACCCGTTGTTTACTATTTGAGTAATCGGCGTATCACGGGGAAGGAATCAGGTGATAAATAATGTTCAAAGTCCTTGAGCGCACGCAAAGATCCGGTAGAGACGAACCAAGCCAGTGAACTGATAGAGGCCGAAGATGCCCTACACTCTGCCTACCTAGGTAGGAGCTTCAGTATTAATGACCCATACATAAATACATTCCGATAATCCGGCGAGAGTACGATAATTTTCTGCAGTTTTTCAGCCTAATGGGTAGATATGGTGGAACTTCTAAAAAAGAGATTCCGCTGAAAATCGCGCATTGTGTTAAAGCACAGCACTCGATGCCATTTTCGTCGAACTTTGAGCTCAAATGTCAAATGCGGAAACTCCACAAAAGTCTAATCAGATAAAAACAGCGACTCCCGAGGTCAGGAACGGGAATGGTCCGTGGTAACGTAACCGCTTTATCAGATTGTATTTTATGATATGAATTTTTCGGAGGTTGTTTTTTTGCAAAGCATCAACTTTCTGTAATATTGATGTTACATCGAAAACCCTTAATTAGTTAAATAACGTAACGTTATCCACCTAACTATTAGTTACTAATTATACCCTGTGGTGCGTAAATATTCACCACCTATGTATATTCAACATCTAAACTCTCAGGGTAAGAATAGTAATCTTCGCAGGAAACCTGTTGTTAATATCTCTTTCGCTGATGTAGGGATCCGGTTGCAAGGCTGGAATCATCATGAGGCTTGTACCGCCATGGATCATATTTTTCCGAATGCAATAAATAGACCTGCAACTTTTTGATGACAACTTTCTTCTCATCTTGCAAAGTAACCTCCACTTAATTCTTAGGTGGACCGGAGTGTATCTCGCTTACGCCAAGAGTTAACCTCAGTAGCCTGTGCGAAAAGGAACGATAAGAATGGAGTCCTGAAAATACAATTGACGCCCATCTAACCTAAAAGAGTATGTACACAGCGCGTGCCATAGATCAAGTTAATGTGATAAGAAGGTTGCGCCAAATAACAAGAGAGGCCAAGAGTAAGACATGACCAATTGTTTGATATTAGACACATCACAGCTATGTGTTAGTCTAAAAGGCCAAAAAAAACAACAACCGGTAAATGAGCCTAATGGGGACTAGCCCTTCAAAAAGAAATAGTGGTATGATTCGGCAACACGAAGTCCTTTTGCACGGTTTAAGTTTTAACCCTAAAAGGAGAAAGGCAGAGAGATAGGAACAGCATCGTTTTGAAAGAGCCAAGCTGCCAGGAATAGCTAACTACGTATGTAGATATCAACTACCCCGAGCTACTCATCTGACACCTCAGGCACCTATCTCATTCATTCAGGTATTTTCAGGACCCAGACAGTGAAGCACAAGCCACGTTAGATTCTGGGTCCCGAGAATGGACATATCTCATACCTCGGCTTAGCGACTCGAGTATACCCAAACGGTATGGGTGATCTGCCCAAGTATAATAACAATGACGAGTGATCCTTTTGTGTCATCCAGCCGGAGATGTCAAGATCCAGGGACTGCGCATGGACCTGGGAGAGATTGACAAAATCATGCCTCAAATCCAGTCTCTCAGAAGTGACCTCATCTCAACACGAGGGTCACAAGATTGTTGCTTTTGTCAGAGCAACTGATTATACTAGCAGGAAAGTCAACTGGCCAAAAAGATGCATGACTAGTTTTCTGAACTCCTGCCCAAATATATGTTTCCAACCGCGTTTGTGTCAATGAAGTCCATGCCTTTCACGGTGTCATAGGAAATTTATCGACAGTAGCTTGTCGACCGCTTACTAGATACGGGCTAAAAGGACCTTCAAGCATACCACAAAGGGGGCTCTTTAGTCAATGCCTGCTGTAAAATCCCAACTACCAGATCATTGGCGGTCGAAATCAGCAACATTATTGCAGACAGGTTCGAGAGTAAGGGAAAAGACTTTGCAGGATCTCCCCAGGGAAAACACTTTCCGCTTGTTAATTTCTGCACCATGTGCTGGTATCATATCGAACTTGATCTGGAAGAAATACTGAAAGAACTCAATCAATATCGAAGTCTTGTAGGAAAATGCTCTGACGGTTTGCGATATGAAAATATTGATAGGTGCTGTATATTTCTCCGGTCTCAAGGAAAGTAACTGGAGTATTGGAGAAATGCCTCGTCAATCTCCGGTGTTTTCTCACCGATGCGACTCATCTCCGCATAGTTGAAGTTACTATTCATCCAATTTTCAGACTCGGAAACCAATCCAGTGGATGGCTGTTCAATTGAGCAGTCATTTTCGACAACGGCGGATATTGATGACTCCTCACTGTTAGAGCGCGGAAAAACGGGGCCGGGCCGGAGCTTCAGATGAACGGTGATAGTTTCCACCATGGATGGCAGAGTTTGCCCTATTTTGGTAAGTAGGAGTGGAAGAAACCTTCGACGTCCTCCGGGAAGATCGTGAATGAGAGTAAAGAAATGCTTGAGATAATCCTGCGGGCCAAGCTTGAATCCCGAAGAACGGAGCCCAGCCGCTGAGAGGCATGCCATCACATCAATCAAGGTGCACGCGACCTCAAATATTTTTTCGATCTACAATCTGTTAGAATGGGCTTGATATTTTGACAAGGGTGGATCATACAAGACCAATTCCATGAGTTTCCATACTCTGCCTGGATAACTTCCATGTTGCGAAGCAGAGATCCTGAGCAATTAGGAGGGGATATCGAAAATCCATGCATTCATGAGTAGGATTTGTCGAAAGAAACCCAGCAGTTGTAGAAAGCTGCCATATCATGATACGCAGCCACTGCTGGGACACACGCAAGTCCGCCATGAGTATATCGGGCAGATCGAGGTCCACCGGGACTGCACTTTGGATCCGCTCCTCAAGGCGAACTAGCGACTCAATGGAGCATGTGGCATTCGTTCCATTCCACTGACCCAGAAAACCTTCATCAAATGGACGGTAGAGGTTTACCAGACACCGAAACCCAATGGCTGACGCATTTTCAAGTGGATCATTTTCCAGTTGCGTTGGAAGTACATCGTCTTCTAATTGAGGGCTGTCGGGAGTGACCTGGAGCGTAATTGGTCTATGTCGGCGGATCGCATGGGCTCTGTCCCTGAATTAGCAAATAACTACTTGATAGGCGAAGAAAATACCTCTCGGACACCACCAAGAGCCAAAACAACTTCCCTGCCAAGGAAGGGTCATCGTCATCCACCTGCGCCGATGATGCTTGACTTTCCAGCGCGCTGGCCGTATAAAGCGTGGTAGATTCGCGGAGAAAATAATACGCATGCCGTTGATTTCCTAGTCCAATATGACATCCATACAGAAGAAAAGCGATGATAATGTTTTGCCGTACAGGATCTGTGAATGGATCGATATGCTTTCGAGCTTCGGTGGCTTCCTCGATAAGGGAATTTCGGTAGTCTTCAGTACAAAAGTCTCGAGAGAATTCCGAGGATGCGTGCTCCACGGCAAATCCGGTTTGAGTAACCACAAAAGCGCAGAAAGCAGTGACGAAACAATAAGCATGGAGGGATGTATCGGCAAGGTCGACCTGTTTTCGAAAGCCACCGGGTTGCAAAACCGGCACCGTTCCTCTCATTCGCGAGAAAAAATATAGTGAGCAGGCTTCGACAAGCTCCCGGCTCAAAAGGCACGGGGTTTTCGAGAACTGGCACCTTCCCGAGGCTTGTAGTGACTGGGGCGTCGGTATATTATCTCCAAGCCTAGAAGCTGCTGATGGCGGAGAAATAGTCGCATCCCGCACTAGCGCCTGTTCAAGTTCGTTTGCTCTGAGCTCATTAAGGATGTTGGCTGTTTGGCCCTGTCGCCCCTTTTTCTGCCGCTGCGAAGACGTCCGACAGACTAGGCCGGCAGCCCGACACTGCTCACAAGGTTTTGGGAAAATGCATTTGACCTTACGTCGGCGACATGCATCACATGCTTGTTTGACAGGTGGGTCTGGCATCTGGAAAGTCAGGTTTAAATATACCGAGAGAAACTAGCACAACGCAAAAATCCGGGGTTGCGGGGGGAAGTCGGGAAGAAGCCGGAAGAAATGTATTTGGTGGCCTTATTTGTCAGGCCTAAAAGTTCTGTCGGCCTACGCCGTATTGTAAAAATAGAGGGTCCAATCAATGGTGTTCAACTCTCTGTATTTCTGTATCGGCTCTCCTTACAATTTAGTTACAAAATATGGAGGATTGGTAAATCCTCCGGTATGCCGATGTCCTTGCGCCGATACATTCTTTCTGGCCCCCAAATTTGTCTATCCTGAACCCAGTGTGGCTATTTCAATTTGTAGCGGAAATCACCTCTTTACAGCCTTTATATTCTTATAGAATGAGAAGAAAATTCCAGACGCTCGGCCAAACCGCTTTGGGGGGTTCCCAATAGACTACACTGTGCATTGCTAAGAGACTACCGACAAGGGCAAGTATTTGTGGCCAGCTGCAAGAGGCCCTATGCAAAACAGTATCGTCAAAAAAGTAACATTTCAGTCAATATTTCACAGTAATAAATCGGTGATTAGTATTTCATAGCAAATATTTTATATATAGACGCGTCCTTCGAAGGGTTTCAGGGTTTCCAGCGATGAATCAGAGTAGTTGCCCACAAGCAACTTCATGCCTGCAATTTTCGCAGTCTGTGTAAATGGCTGAGCTCTATCAGTGAAGTTCAGAATGACTAATGCTCGTTCATCATCTCTCGACTTCACAAAGCAAAACGTCTCTTGATTCTCATAGTCAAGCACTTCAAATGCACCGTGAATAAAGAGCTCGCGGTACTCTTTTCTCAGACGCAGAACATCTTTCCAGAAAGACAACACACTTGATGCATCATTCTGCTGCCTCTTTACATTGATCTCACCATAAAGATCATGAGCTCGCATCCACGGTTTCCCAGTAGTAAACCCAGCATGTTCCGAGTCATTCCACTGCATCGGCAGTCTGGAATGATCGCGAGCCAGAATTCGGAGACCATCCATGATGCGCTCTTTGCGAGTAGGATCAGCTCCACTCGCACTGCGTTGCTCTGCTTCTCGGTAATATCCTAATCCTTCAATGTCCTTGTATTCCTCAATGGGCCACTCGCGTGGTGCATTGATCATACCAATCTCCTGTCCCTGATAGATGAATAGAGTCCCAGTCATGGTAACCATCATCAGAGCCAGCATTTTGGCCGAGACCTCCCGGAACTCGGGTGCATCCGATCCAAACCGAGAGACAGAGCGTCCGTTGTCGTGATTCTCACAGAAAGCGGTGGTCCACCCATCCGTTCCCTCAATGAAAGTCTGCCACTTCTCCACAATAGATTTCATCTTTGTCAACTTCCACGGCGTAAAAATGTACTTTTCCTCCAGGCTGGGTCCCATGCCAATATGGCCAATGTCTAAGTGGAAGACCATACTCAGCTCCTTGGCTGACGCTCCCACATATTCGAGGACATTCTTAGGATCGGGTGTATTGGCCAGTTCACCCACAGTCATGACATCCCCGTACGGAGCAAATGACTCATCATACATTTCACGCAAGAACTCGTGAATCCGGGGGCCGTTGCACCACATTCCAACAGCGGGCTGAATGTAACTTTTCGGATCTGTGATGGGGGTATCTGGGAAATTTGTGTGCTTGCTGTACTTGTTCACTGTGTCCACTCGGAAACCGTCGACACCTTTGTCTAACCAGAATCGAACCGCACTGTTGTAGATAGCCTCACGCGTGGCCTTGTTATCCCAGTTGAGATCGGGTTGTTCTTTGGCGTAGAGGTGCAGGTAATATTCTTCCGTTTTCTCGTCCCAGGTCCCTACGTAAAAGCTTCGTTAGTTCAAAGATATCGGATATTGCCAAATATTTCAACTCACATGTGCTTCCTGCAAAATAACCGCGATAATTACTTGGAGGCATCCGATTTCCCGCCTCATCATATCGAGGAGGACGCCAGAAGTACCAATCGCGTTTTTCATTGTCCTTGCTACTCCGACTTTCCTGGAACCAAGCATGCTGATCACTGGAGTGATTGACGACTAGATCTAGAATCAACTTCATGCCTCGCGAGTGACAAGCTTCCACAAGATTCTCCACGTCTTGTACGGTTCCATAAGCAGGAAGCACATTTTCGTAGTCGGAGATGTCATAGCCCATATCGTGCATGGGCGAGTCATACATCGGCGATAGCCACACGACATCAACCCCTAGCGACTGGAGGTAATCGACCTTTTTGACAACGCCTGGGATATCGCCCCAGCCATCACCGTTGGAGTCATAGAAGGAGGCCGGGTATACCTTTCAACTCGAGAAGGCAACGTCAATTTCATGTTTTCGGGAATACCTGAATGCTGTGGCAACTAACCTGGTAGACAGTGGCTTCTTTCCACCAGTTATTGGTCCCCGTAGGAACGGCTGTGTCCTGCGTCGCGTGTGGTGACATAGTGGCTTAACACCTTTATTTTCCATCCCGACACCCCTCTTATATCTTTTTATTATAACTCGGCACCAACTCGGCCTGGGTAAACGCGGGGATATCTTCAGGGGCCCTACCAAGCCTCTGACGGGATGTTGCATCTCCGACTAACGACCGACTTGCCGCCGAATAGCACCTTTCCAACACGGTGATTGGCTACGGCTAGACCTCCGCACTTCGGCTTCCCCAGTTTTCTCCAAATCCTCGGAAGCGAGCAACAGGCCATGTGGACTTCCCCGGATCAGCGATGGGCGTGAACTGAACTATACGTACTTTTTTTTTAATTTGGGATTTACTGTATAAATGACGCATCGCCCCATGTGCTATCGGCTTTGATAATGCCTGAAGTATCGGGATATTATCAGCCTTTGACTTTTACCAGGCCTTGACCAAGAAACCTATTGTTTCAAACTCCTTGTTTGGACTGCGATATCCAACGGGCCCACCCATATTCAAAATCACAACACAGTTTCTCAATGGTCTCGATGGATGACGCATCCGCGAGAATGGACGGCAAAGTCTCCCCCGTCCTTGCAGAGGGTAGACAAGCAGCCCGGAAGGAGCAGTCCATGACCCTCTGGCAAGCTTTGCGTCTATACCCAAAAGCTGTAGGCTGGTCAGTCCTCCTTTCGTCTACTCTGATTATGGAAGGGTATGACCTTGCATTGCTGAGTTCAATGTACGCATCGCCTGCGTTCAACCAAAAGTTCGGAGAACAGACTGCCTCGGGGAAATGGGCTGTTCCTGCATCCTGGCAATCCGGCCTTTCCAATGGTGCACGCTGCGGTGAAGTCATTGGACTTCTCATCAATGGCTTAGTCTCTGAACGCCTGGGATACCGCAAGACCATGGTCTGTGCCTTGGCCTCCATCACAGCAGTTATCTTTCTGTTTTTCTTCGCAGTCAATGTTCAGATGTTGCTAGCTGCCGAGATTCTCGCCGGTATCCCTTGGGGTATCTTCCAGACCTTGCCAGCTGCCTACGCCTCCGAGGTTTGTCCGGTAGTCCTGCGACCTTACCTGACAACTTTCATCAACATGTGCTGGGTGTTCGGGCAGTTCGTAGCCATAGGTGTCAACCGCGGCTCCATTTCTCGCGATGATCAATGGGCCTGGCGCATTCCTTTCGGTGTGCAATGGGTGTGGCCAATCCCAATCATGATCGGCTGTCTTTTCGCACCTGAGTCCCCTTGGTGGCATGTTCGTCAGGGTAATGTGGAAGGAGCTCGACGAGCGTTGCAGCGGTTAACGTCTTCTAATGACACCAACTTCAACCCCGAAGAGACGATCGCTATGATTCAACACACCAACGAGTTGGAGAAATCACTCTCTCATGGGACCACATATTGGGACTGCTTCAAGGGAACAAATCTTCGCCGAACTGAGGTAGTTTGTCTTGTCTGGTTAGTGCAGACCCTGTGTGGCCAGAATTTGATGGGTTATTTTGCATATTTCTGTGTTCAAGCGGGACTACCGACCGTTCAATCTTTCAATTTGTCTCTGGGGCAATATGGTCTCGGCGTTTTGGGTACAATAGGATCATGGTTCCTGATGTCCTACGCGGGCAGACGAACTATCCATATCTCCGGCCTCGCCAGTCTTTTCGTCCTTCTAGTCATCACAGGATCTCTCTCTTTTGCTCCGGGGGACAACAACATAGCTAAATGGGCAATCGGTGTCATGCTCATCATTTTCACATTCTGCTATGACATCAGTGTCGGCCCTGTCACATACTCCCTCGTTTCAGAACTATCCTCCACCCGTCTCAAGGCTAAGACTATCGTCCTCGCCCGCTGTCTATACAACATCAGTAACATTGTCGTCAACGTTCTGACCAACTACCAGCTCAACTCCACAGCCTGGAACTGGGGTGCCAGGTGTGCCTACTTCTGGGCTGGTACGTGTCTAGCCTCCCTGGTCTGGGCATTCTTCCGACTCCCCGAGCCGAAGGGCCGCACGTATGAAGAACTGGATTTGCTCTTTGAGCGCGGAGTTCCAGCAAGGAAATTCGCAACTACTGTCGTTGATCCGTATGAGGGAGAGGCGATGGAGGTGCACGAGGCACATGCAGATAAAGATTGATAGTTCAGCGATGTCCCTTGGTGTGCATCTTAGGATACAATCATTATACATACCCACCAGATGACAAAATCAAACTTTTGAGTTGACTTCTTTCTTCCGTCTTGTGCCACTTTAAATTTGAGAATCTAAAATAGACTGCAAGTCACACAATATTTATTTCACAATCAGAACTAGGTAACGTTAATAACAATTTGAATAATATTTATAAACTGATAAAAGCATGCCATAAGCCGGAGTCAGTTAGGCCATTGGAGTTCGTATTTAATGCTCACACAGATTGAAGCTACCAGCCTCAAAGTTCTTATTATGTCTTCCCGATCTGTGCCCACGCTCTTTCATGAGCTCCAATCGGTATTCTTTGGCCTGCTCTATGGTCATAATAGGCTCCAAGCCATCTTGAACGATATTCTGCAGCTCCACTGGC